TTGACTAACCCAAATACCAGCGAGTCAGATCTTGAAAAGGACCGATCGACCTGGGTCGGCGAAGCATTCCTGGTCCATCTTTCGCATATGGAAAAGGCCCACGCTACCAATTTGAAGACTCGCGATTCTGCGAACAAGAAGCTGGAAACTATGCAGCAGAAACAAAACGTGACTATCTGGTTGAATGAGTGCCGAGAATGGGCATCCGATCTCACCGATGCCTGGGATCTGAGTTCACTACTTGTCAAGCCTTTCCAGCGCGTGCTCAAGTACCCTCTTCTCCTAACTTCTCTCTTGGAGTCCACGCCTACCGATCACCCCGACTACGTAAACCTCGCCGCGGCTCTTCAAAAAACAAACGAGATGACGGAACGTCTCAATCGGTTGAAGGGTCGAATTGAGCTCTTTGATCAAGCCCTCGGGCGCGGCCGCAAAGAATCGGATGTGCGCGCGAACCTGACCAAAGCATTTGGACGTCGCACAGAGAAACTGCGACAACAAGTTGGCCTGTCCGATATACTCGATGACAAGATCTATGCTGCCATGGCTTGTAGATTTGACGAGAAGATGTTGCAGTTGCGGGTGATTGTGTCAGATATCGGGTTGTACATTTCCCAGGCTGAACAGTTCGCCGAGCAACTACTCGAGGTTTCTCTAGCGATCGAAGAGATGATCGACGTGGCGAAGACAGGCTATCCTGAGTTGGAGAGCAAGTGGCGTCATTTCAAGACAACGACTGTTGAGATCCGCACTGTAGTCGTCACTGAGCATGTCAGTTCCACCACCACGCACCCGAAATGAATTAACCCAGGGTATACTAACACTTGAATAGATCGAAGCCATCCACAAAGGTGTCAGGCAACCGATTGAGGAACTTGTCGCCATGCACGCCAAAGCATTTCGAGCCATGCAACGGCGCGAGAAGCGACTACTCGATCACGCACGTTACAAAGTTCTCGAGGAACGTGGCGATACTCCTGACAGAAAGCTCAAAGAACAGGAGGCGCACTTTCAAGCTATTGATGAAACCTTGAAGGAAGAGTTGCCCCAGCTCTATAACCTATCGTGGAAACTCACCCAAGCCTGTCTCAAGAACTTCGTTTCTCACCAGTCCTCTTACCTGATGGCACTCCAAAGGAAACTAGAGCCTCACGTGGAAGGCCTACCGGTGGACTTCCCGGTTGATTTCCAAAAGATCCTCAGTGACTGGACCAATGACCACGGTTTTGCCGAGGCCCAGGTCCTTACGCTAGGTATCTGCAATGGATCTTTACTGGCTGACGCGGTTAACCTGGTCAACTTCAATACACCCTCAACAAATGTCAATTCTCCCCGCCGACCTTCTACCGTCAACAGTTCAACGCAACGTCCCGACTCAATGACGGAAGCATCGCCTAAAGTTTCTCACGACTATGGCGTCGGCCAGCTTTTCCAATCCCCTCAACTCGACAGTCAATCCAGCTTCAGTCGTACCCGTGCCAATTCCACCTTTTCCGGCCGAGCACCGCCAGAAACACCAGAGACCGGTCGCAGCCAGCTCTTACAGCAGATAACGAATTCATCGTCCACCCCGAGTGTCGGGCAACTCCCTCAGCCCGCGGAGACAGAGCCCTTCCCAAGTCTACCAAGACTGAGTCTTGACACGCCTTTCCTCGCAGACATGATCAGTGCTTCATCGAGTGATCATAATCTACCAACCTCTCCAGCCGGTCGATACTCCGGCTTTTTCTCCTCCGCCATGCCTATGTCTGATAATCCTCAGGAGGAAAGCCATGTCGACAACAATCTCCCGGCCGAGCACCATCCAAGCGAGCCGCGAGTGTTGTTCCTCGCGGCCAGTGTCGAGCAGTTCCATTACGAAGGGGAACGTCGTGGCGAAGCAGGATATCCGTATCTCACCTATGAATCCGGGGACATCTTCGACGTCATCGCTGAAAAGGGTGAATTATGGCTTGCGCGAAACCAAGACGACGACTCTCACCAGGTCGGGTGGATCTGGAACAGGCATTTCTCCAAAGTTGGCTCATGATTCAAGTTCTTTGTAACTCTGACGACTCTATTCTTCACGCATGGCATATTACCCCCTCATCCCCCGAAGACGAACATGTTCGGGTCTATGGCATCGCCGATGGTCTACATACATTTTTCTACGTGGTCGTGGTAGCTCCCCTGGGAGCTGATGATTCCCGTCGGCTTTATTTCTCCCGGCCTCTTTAGCGGGCCATATGCCACTTTTCACCTTCTTCATGTTTTTTTTTCCTTTCCCCTTTCCTCATTTCTTTTCATTTCTTCCTGTATTCTCAGGGTATGCGTGATGGATCTACTATCTACTGGAGCTTTGGGATGTAATTTTAGATACCCCTCTTTCATGAATTCGGTTTCACTTGTGTTTGTCTTGTAAATTAAGATAGACTTGAATAAGGTAACGGCCTCTACAAGTAGAATTAAATGGATAACTCATATGTATACTAGGATCTGCATGTGAAGCTCTCCCAAAGGGCCCACGTGACCTACATGTGACGTGACGAGGAAGGTGGGAAATTGCCAGGGCATTTCAGGTTGGCATTTGCGGTGATCTCAACCTCCAATCTCTTTCCTGTACAGTCCCATATTATCCTCCGATAAACCTTGCCTATTCCGACATCATTCTCCGGTGCAGACCTGCACTTTGGCCTCGCATCACCCCTTGCGACACTTCCACTTCCGAGTCCATACCCAGCCCAAGCCCGAATCGCACCGCAATAGAACCTTGCACCAGTCGCGCGTGGCCCGGCCTCCCTGTTTCCGATTATCGGCGTGTGATATCTGACAGGAGAACACGCCCATATTCGTTACTGTTACTTCACTCTTTTACCCCTCTACGTCCTACACTGCGCACTCACCTTCGTTCTCACCATAAGGCTGACGGCCTCGTTCCCCGAAACCCCCGGCCTCCCGTCCAATCCAATCCAATCCGCGTCCGTTGAAAGCCCCACCTATTGCAGAAACCAAGAAACTGGGGTTTGACTACGACGCCCTGCGCCGCAATTCGTTTGCCGTTTTTTTCGAATTTAGCGCCACGAACACAATCGACTAGGCAGCCTTTTTGTGCCATTGGGGTTTGCACAACTTTCTGGGACCTTGACATTTGTTCAGCCTCTATATCGTTATCTTCTATTTTTAGCAGCGATTGCCATTGTCGATCTTGCTGCGCTGCTCCGCCGTCCTTTGGTCCTTTTTGGAGACCTCTCCTCACGGGAAGTATTTGATCCCGTGTGGTTGTGGATTCTGTGGCGCGGTAGTACGTCTGTGGCGACCACGATATCCCGATCATTGAGGTCTTTTTGATCTTTTCTTTTGCATATAACATTCGTCTCATTGTTTCACCGAGAAGGTTCAGCGACCATCATGTTGGACGGTGGATTAAATAAATTGCATAAGCGGATGCGGGGACGTTTTAGTGATATGGTGAGTTTATCTTGAAGATTCGCTGTGTAGTCGGTTGCTGATTCTTTTTAGTTGACGCCAGATGATGCCTACTTGAGCTGTGAGTTGTGTCACGTAGACAGTCTTGCAGGGGTTGGTGGCATATGAAACTAACGAATGCATTTTTTTTGGTTGTATTCAGACTACGATGTTCGATGTAAGATCGTTTACTGTGATGACTATGTTATATGCGCTTGGCTTACACTTTTCTACAGTGACACGAGAGGACATGTTGACTCTAAAGAATGACTGGCTCACAGACAACGTGGGTTATCTCACGACCGAATGATGCGTCTTAAAGTAAAAGCTAACCTATCACAGGTTATATCATTTTGGGAGGAGTAAGTCTCTACCGACCAAATTCACCCTCAACCCGGCCCCCCCCACTCATATAAGATCTAGATACCTAGAACACGAAGTCCTCGCCAAACAAAAATCCTCCAACATCGTCCTCCTCCGCCCAAGCATGTCCTTCATGATCCTCCAAACTCCAAACCCACACACACTAAAAGACGCCCTCCCAAATTTCACCGGCGTCTCGCACGTCTTCCTCCCAATCAACGACTGCCGCAACGTCACCCAAGCTGAAGGCGGCACCCACTGGTCCTTACTCCTAATATCGATCGTCGACCGCGTCGCCTTCCACTACGACTCCCTCTACCAAGGTAACGTCTGGGAGGCGCACACAGTAACACAGAAATTCGGATACCTCCTCAACATGCAAATCCGCTTCATGCCATTGAATGACTCCCCCCAACAAGACGGCGGCAGCGACTGCGGCGTCTTCGTCTGCGTGAATATGCGCCAACTCCTCGAAAAGCGCCTTCTCCGCGCCAGTGCGCATGAGAAGGTTAGCATGAGTCTTGGTGGACAGAGGGTTGATGCTAGTCATTCGCGGAAGGAGATGGCCAAGATTATCGAGGGATTCCGGAAGGAGGGGGAGCGGCGGAGATCGTAAGTCCATCGCTCTTATTTCATTCTAGGGTTGTTTTGTCGTCTGGTTTGAGGCTAACTAACGTTTTACCAGGGCTAGTCTTAGTCGCAGCCCGATGGGGAAGAAGTCAAGGAGTCCGCCACGCATTGAGTAGCTTTATTTACGTTTACGAGTTTATGCCCGTTTGATGTCTGTTTTCATGCATACATATTTCTTGTGCTCTATCTTTCATAGGAATGACTGAGACCACTATTTAGAGGGGTCTAGCATTGCATAAGGTAATTTACTTGTACTAGTAGTAATATTTATGGATATCACCACCTGGGCAGTAGTCGGAATACTAGGCGGCATTGGCACGCATGAGTCATTATTACTACCAGGCACGAGCGGAGTCAATTAACTAGTTAGTGCACTAGTACTACCTGCTAGTTATCATTTTTAAGGCTACCTAGTTAGGAGGTGGTATGTTTCACTAGTATTTAGGCTTGGCCCCCAAGCTTGGAATCGTAATCACGTCAACCTCGTCTGCCTAGCGGCCACAACACCCTTTGATACTACTTTCCTCACTCGTCTCTCTAGATCGCCACTGCGGCCTTTCATCATGGCCAAGAAACAATGCCCATTGCAATGTCACCTCGAACCCATCGACTTGAATGAGGAGACTCAGTTCAGCGAGCTCCAAAGACAACGAACCATCTGTGGCTGGAATTACGAGCAGCAAACCCTACAATCATGGAAAGGAAACACGAACTTCAAAAAGCTCTTTTGGATCACCACGCCAGATCCCGACAATGAGACCAAGTCTATTCGTGCAGGTCATATATCGCTCGATCTGTCGTCTGGCATTCTTGAACCCGGTTTACTACAGGGAGACGAGATCGACCTTTCTCTAAGCACATTCTTCATATTGCCCGAACATCGTGCTCTCAAGCTTGGAAAGAAGGCCGTACAGCTCCTTGAAAATCTCGCAGTTACAGAGCCGTACGGTGATCCGCGCTGTCGTTATCTCACCCTGTGTGCTTTGAGCAAGAGGTACATATACGATGAGAGATGGCGAGGGTTGTGGTCGAAAGTTGGGATGGCACAGCCACCGTTCAGTATTCAGGAGTGGTATGAGAACCTCGGCTATACCACATGGAAGGAGGTGCCACTGACCGAGGCAACTTCTTTGGATGGTGAAACCTTTCAGGTGTGGGAGGCGTTGATGAGAAAGGATCTACGGGGGATTTCATAGATTTAGATACATCTTTATCACAACAGACCTAATTTTCAAATTTGTATTCGGAAAAATGCTGCTCGAGTGGTTCTTGAAAAATCAAAGTAGTATTAAATTAAGCTTTGCCAGAGGCCTTCTCCCAGTCATATTGTGGAGGTGGAATATAAGACTCAGTGGTCCATTTTATGGAAATCGCACATGCGGCCAAACGCCTATCGACTTCTTGACTTCTTTGAATCCCATCCTTGTAGTATCTGCGAAATTTATGCTCACTTTCTGTCCAATTATCAAGCCTCGCACCTTTGTCGAGAAGAAGTTGAAGTATTGCAATATCCCCCATTTCAATAGAATGCATGAGACTCGTATAACCATCTTGGCCGAGGTCGAGATCTGCTCCGCTCTCGATGACGAGCCTTGCCAACCTTCTATTGCAAATTTCGACAATAGCCCGAAGAAGAGGAGTACCCATATCACCCCCGTCAGACCTTGAATTCGGATCAGCTCCCCCGGCAAGTAAGAGATTTACAATCTCAAACGCGATTTTGCCATGTCTAACCACATTGAAGATGACAGGCAACCCCAAAGAGGTCTTCGTGTTGGGATCTGCTCCCTTTTCGAGTAGAATTTCCATGATTGGGACACTTTGAGGGTTTTGTGACAGCTCTGTTGACGTGATCACTGAAAGCGCACTCACTCCGTCATTCCGCTTTAGATTGACTGCTGCGCCATGTTCTAGTAGAACATCAGCCATCTGGAGATTGCCGAGACGGCATGCTGCGATAAGTGCAGAGTCAGACTCTGGAGCATGTAGGTCTATGTCTGCATTTCTCCGTAGAAGCAATTTGACAAGAGAATAGTTGTTGCACCGGACAGCACTAATCAGCGCAGTATCTGACTGGCAGACCTTTGAAAATAAATTAGGGTCTGCACCATTGTCCAAAAGAAACTTGACAATGTTTCCTTTGTTAGCTGCAACTGCATGAATCAAGGCAAACCCCCCCGGTCTCACTGATGATGTTAGGGTCCGCCCCATAGTGTAGCAGAAGTGCTATCATGGCCATGTCTCCGCTCTGTACAATTTCTTGGAGCATCGTTCCACATTTGATCACTAAGTTAGGGTCAGCCCCCTTTTCGAGGAGAACTTTGACCATTGCCCTATTTCTCAATCGTAATGCCTTCCAAAGTGCGCTTTCCCCTTTTGAGTCGACCTCATACAGAGTTGGATCTCTGTCAGGAACAAAGGTGGTAACGGACGCGTCATTTGTTTCACGATTCTTCTCATTTATATTTGATGCTGCTTTGAGAATTATCTCGACCAAAGAAGCGTCATTTGTCTCCACCGCTAAAAGAAGGGGCCTCACTCCAGCCTCTGTGCGCTTTTTGATATCGGCCCCGTTTTGTAGAAGAAGTCTCACTAGTTCTGTCTTGCCTTTTCGGATAGCATATAGTAGAGGGGTTTGGCGTTGATCATTGATCAAATTGATTGCCATTTTTGCCTCGCTTTCTAGAAGAAGCTTGGTCGTCTCTAGCTGATTCTCAACGCTATTCTCGTATTCGGAGTTGTGCATAGCTGCCCAGTGCAAGGGCGTGTTGGATGAGGATCCGCTGGTGTTTGCGTTTGCCCCTGCACTTAACAATAATTTGACGATACTCGCGTGGCAAGCAGCACATGCTAGGTCCAGAGCCGTAAATCTTTCGTTATTCAGGTGGTCGATTTCGGCACCGTGTTGTAACAGGAGCTGAACCATTCTCGCATGGCCACGTTCCGTAGCTTTAATCAGCATCGTCTGACCAGTAGCATCCACGATATTCACATTAGCGCCTTTTTTCAATAGAATTTTGACGATAGCTTCGTGATCTTCTTGGATTGCCGATAGTAAAGGCCCGTTTATGCCAATGGATTCGTCTTGATGTGGGACCCCCGCATCGAGAAGTAGCTGGACAACTTCATAGTGGCCGTTCACTGCAGCAGCTTGAAGAGCAAGAAAACCATTCTTCTTCGTTAAAATATCGATCCCATTGTCGAGAAAAAGTTTGACAATATCGCGATCTCCATTTCTCGCAGCCACCAACCAAGCTACGCGACCGCTTCTAAGTCGGCAATTGATATCCGCGCCCTGGCGGATTTCATCCCTGACTAAAGCAAAGTCGCGCCGCTCGACGGCATCTGCAAGGCTGTAGGAACTGTGGCTGACCCTATATACCAAGCGAGAGAATGTGCTTTTGTTGGAGACACTTCGAACCTGAAGTCTCGGATTCAAATCAATATGGGACGGAGTGGCCTTCTTGATCACGACTACAGCTGTTTGAGCGGGCGAGGTATGCGATGTTCTCATATCATTGGATGTAGCCGATGATTGCTGATCCTGAGAACCAGAATCATACATTCCATCAAGGTCACCACTGATGATAGCAGATTCCAGTTCCTCGTGAATGAACCTCCTATTCCTTTCGAAGGCTTCGTGGTCCATACCAAGATCTTCCAACTCTTCGCGTATTTTTGTCCATGTGCTTTCTTCGTTCAAAGATAGCGAGCCAACAGAGAGATAGGAAATCACGGAAGCGGTCTTAGTCTCGCTTTGAGATTCTTTTATCCATCGCTTGATATAGCGGCTGATATTCGCCTGGGATAGCCTAGTGATGGGCGGATTAATTATAGGTAACAAATAAGTATAGCATGCGAAACAGGAATCGCCAGACTCACCTGATCATCTGCGTATTCAGCATCGTGAAAGTCTGCCTCGAAGATGTGATTCGTGCTCGTATCTCTGTCAGACTGCTTGCGCCTATTCCAGTGCGTTCCCACGCAACTCTGGCCTGAGACGGGAGATTGTCATAATGTTGTTGTAATTGCTGCAGGTTCTTCAGGACCTCCTGGCAGTGCTGCAGCTCCTTATTTAGCGCTGGAAAATATTGGTCGTCTTTTTTAAATTCTGGGTACTTTGCGACCGCAATTCCCAGGAAGGGGATCAACTGGTTGAGTTCATGTTGGATCTGGTCGAACATATCTGGGTAGGAGGAGGCGAAGAAGGCAGCATTTATCTCGTCGGCTAGGGTTCGGATCGTGGTATGAACTGCTCGACATTTGTCAAGTCCCCGAACTCGTCATAATCCATCATATTATACAAAACTTACCGATATTGATGTCTCCGTTCGACGAGAGATTCCCAAAGACCGCCCCGCCTTCGGTTTTATTTGTCGTTATCTGCCTCTCGGAGGCCATCGCGCCGTTTCCAGTTTACTTGTCCAGCGAAAGCTCTGTGAATATGAAGATGGCAAAGTTTTCGGACTTGTGAAGCCAGTTGACCATGGCGAAGGAGGCGAGGGTGAACACTGTGCCTCATTTACCCTGGGTTTTGGATTCACTTATTCGCCCGGGCTTCAGCAACTCGAGCCATACCGTAAATAGGTTCGTGTCAGCTGCAGTTTGCAGCAAGCGCCTACAATACGAACCTATCATCTTTCTCGGCTACGATTGCCCTGCCCCCAGCCCCTCCCCCGGCTCCCGACAATCCATAAGGCATAGAATAAAAGGAAGCTAATATAAGGGAAGAGTTCCCGACAAAGATTGTCCCCGAGTGATCATCCAGAATGTCCGAACCATACTCAACAAAGGGGGATTACGGTCTCAGATTTCTCCATGAGCCCCCCTAACCCGACTGTCGAGTAGGGCATAATCTTCTCCAATCTTTACTCGTTTTCCACGCTTACCCTTCTGTCGCAGTATTGTGTTTGTTCACGGACTGACAGGTAATCGAGAAACTACCTGGACATGGTCTCAGAAAAGGGAAACCGTATTTTGGCCGCGGGACTTGCTAAAGGATGATCTACCCAACGCACGAATCATGACATTCGGCTACGATGCAGATATCGTTCACGCGCTTACTATCGCTGGCTCTAATACATTGCGCGACCACGGGAAATCCTTCGCACATGAGCTTGCGATGAGACGAAAAAGGACAGGCGCAGTATTATATCCTTTACCCAATCATGTAATAATGTTTTCTGTCTGACAAAACTTGTACGGTTAGGAGCATCGCCCACTCATATTTGTCGCGCACAGTCTAGGAGGTCTTGTAATCGAGCAAGCTCTATTAGTATGCCGTGGAGAAGCACATTCATATTTCAAAAGCATACTCTCGAGTACTTTCGGTATCTTATTCATCGGAACACCACATGCTGGATCCGGGAAAGCCGATCTCATGAAGCCCCTCGCGAGTCTTGCGAAGGTTTTGCGTGCCTCAAACACCGAGATTGTCGGTGTCCTGAAACCCGGTTCTGAAATGCTTGCAAATCTGCAACAAGAGTTTCATGGAATGCTCGAAGACCGTCGGCGAAACGATAACAACCTGATAGAAATATTCTGTTTCTATGAAGAGCTGGAGGTTGAGGGAGTCGGCAAGGTGAGTACAGGTTACTTGAATACTTGTCTGATAGAAACGAGTCTCACATTTGGCACATTTCAGATTGTTCCGAACTATTCAGCCATTTTGAATAACTACGGAAGTCGTAGTATTCACGGCAACCATATGCAAATTACACGGTTCAGCGGCAAGACAGATCAGGGATATGTGGCTGTGAGCGATCAACTCTGGGCATGGGTTGAAACGATCGAATCGCGGTCACTAGAAGAAGGTGCCACAACTGTTCCAAACTATAGAAAGCAGGGGACCATTGAATCAGGTGGCGGTCCTATCTTTTTGGGAACTGCGACTGCCGGCCGTGATTTCAATATCAGTAATCGAAGATATGCCAGTGAGTACTGAGTACCTAGACATATCACGATGGCTTAGTAGTGTTTGAAATAGCAGAATGTTTATATTATAAAGACTCCTTGAGTGGCTAGTATCTTCTCTTTTCACTACTGGTGGTTGGTTGAGGCTTACATAAGGAGGAAAGTGCAATTCACTGGCACAAGAACCCGAATCTCATTTCCCATAGCTTTCCTCATAACCTTCCCCGCCAATATATGATTGATTACAGATCCGATCAACCTCTTCAAGAAACACCTTCATGGTGCCTCTACCACCTATCAGAATGTCTCGAGGAACATAGAATCAGACACTGTATCGCTGGTGATGCTATCCTTGCATGCTACTACACGATGTCGATTTCCAAAGCGGTCGTTCTATTTGGATGGTAAGCTATAGCGTGGACGCCTCTTTTAATTTTATCTTCATTCTTTTAAGTTTCTGAGAGTCCTAGTCGTGTACTAATCTTCTCTTCAACTCTTAGCTCTGATAGATGTTATTGTCAAAGACGCATTGAAACCCGGCGATAACCAACGCCTATTTGAGTATTTGAAAATGCAGTATCACTATCTAGTCGCCCGTCTCTCCCTGGATACTCTTAGCCTGCCGCCGGAGAATCAATTCTCTGTGGACTTATACGGTCGACTCCTTCCGCCAAAACCCCGAGAGACAGTCTGTTTGAATCGGCGGCGGATTCAACAGGGTCTGATGAACGTTGAGGAGGCATGGAAGTCAATCTCGAGAAGAGCTCTGCTGTTTGAAGAGATACACCGTAAATCTCCGAGTCATAGCTAGTGTACTATTTGAACCAGCGATAGCTAATAGATTCTAGTCTTTTTTGTTCTAAATATGAAGCTTAAGATTGATCATGATGGAAATTGATTAACATGGACTTGCATATCACGAAGGGGCCCAGCTATTTTACATCTTAATTTATTACCTTCTTCATAGTACAAGAAAGCCTACTGATAAGCACGGCGATGTGAGAATGTATTAGTGCTCTCCCAGGATCTCTGACCAGATTGAATGACCTTGACTTCCTGGGAGCTGTAACGGGTATCTTTCAAGGGTCTACAAGGATACACGATAAATAGGGACATATGGTGTAATGGATCAACATAGCTTACCTGGCTCTATTGAACACTAGATTATCCAGTCCTTCGCTTCACAACAACGAAAGTCAGCCAAAGCTCGATAATGAGGCCAAACCAACTCTCGGTTAGTTCGGTTTTGGGTAATAAGGCCAATAAACCTTATTTGTTTACTATGCCTTGCAAAATTGAACGACCAGACCCTCCTTAAGTAAAAAAGCTATGAACGGACAAAATCCGGTTTATATGCGATGATGCAAAAATAATAACAAGAAAAAAATAATTATCATTCAATACTGTCCTCCTATAACCTTCAATTTGCCCATTTCCCGCCCAGTCTGACCCCTGAACGTATTTTCCTCAATTATATGACACGCGCCTTCTATGTCAACTCGAGCCCTAAAGATTCTCCGAATCATTCTGACATCTCAAATTCTCGATCGCAAAAAGAGGGCAGGCAGTATATAAGCTCAAACTTATAAAACACTCCCGGTTGAAAATTAGATCAAAGCTTGTCCCAGTGGACAGCTCGCAGATGTTGGTCCAGATTATCCTTGCGATTGAAGACTTTCTTGCAGTTGTGGGGACATTTGAAAGCTCCCCGTGCACGATGCTGGGTTTGAATATGACGATTGAGCGTATAGCGATTGAAGAATGGGCCCAGGCTTTCACACCCCTCTTCGTGGCACACTGAAGGTGAATCCGCCCTATCATAAACCATTGTTAACTTTTTTTTTACATATTTAGGCTTCTGAACGGCATTCTATCAAACGTACATGGTCTTCCTTCGAGTCTGACGGGAGGGCTTTTGCTCATTGCTTGGGATTCCCTCTTTTGTGCCGTTCTGAAAATCGGGCACTTGATATCTCTGATTGCAAGTCGAGTTTGATGTAGCCACCTCAGAGTTTGGAGCAATACTTTGAAACAATAATACCTGGTCTAGAGGAAGAAGGTCTAGCTCGACCAATGCTGTATCCAGTAGCACGTCTTCGAAAGCGCTGTGGATGCTTGGGACAATTGTACTAGTAGTATACCCTTCTGACTGGGACACTCCTTGTACCTGTTCTTGGGTTCCAGAAAAGTTTGTATTGTTCAAATGTTGGGCCATGGCACACGGTGTTGCAAATTTAATGAAATTTGAGGTAGCTGGTAATGTGAAGATAATATTGGAAATCGATTAATCTACAGACCAGGAGAGCATCAGAAGGAACAACTTATAGGCCTTCCCAGGGCTCGGTCTGTCCACTCCCCCTCCCCCGGCACAGGAAATATGACCTTGCATGCACTGCGCACAGACGTGGTGATGTGGAGGGAAATAATCCATATGTTAGCCTAGCCAATAACATACAAGCCACGGCTGGGACGAGTGGATCGCCCGAGCCAATCGAAGGTATAAATGGATGCCCCTGCGCTGGATTATCTCCTTTTTGTACTAGGCTCGAAGGGTGAATAAAAAGAGAAGATCGACCTATCGAATCAATGTCAGTTCTCAGCTTTATCGGCAACTCCGCGCCACATCAGGAGCGCGCCCCCTCAGCCACAGCAAATACCCGGCTGTAAGCAGGTTTGCTACTTCAAGTAGATCCACTGGCACTGTTTCCTAATCATGATCCAGATTAGTACCATAGTATATTATTTCCCATGCAATTTTGTATGCATTGTAACTTGTAATTCTAAATCATCCTTACTCTCGATTAAAATAGAATAATGTGTTTTCGACAGGTGCGAAGCGATCGTCTCGCGTCCCAGACCCAGCTCAGGCTGTGCTGCTGCTCAGACTACATGTACACTGTGTTTAAAACAAAGTTGAGGCTCTAGAGATGGGGAAGATGTTGCGGAGGCGGGGTTGAGGTACAATCAGAAAACGATTGAAGTGACTAAATGATCAGAGAAATCGGAATTAAAAGTGCTTATTATTATACAAATATTCCGAATGTGAACTAAACAGGCATGTCGAATACTTAAGTCATCATCTGATTCCAAACATCCGCAGCCTCCTGTCCGGACAAGTTGGCAGTAGCACTCTCCGCCGCGTAGCACTGGTCAATAGTCGCCTGGGGCGCATTACAAGGACTCTTCAGACGATTGCAGACCAGATCCTCAGGAGCACCGATGGTAGGCGATGAACCGAAAGTGAAGTCCTTCTGGTTATTGGTGGTATAAGAATATTCGGTGCGGCCATCCAATCCGTATTCCCACTTGATAGTAGGGTCGGTGCAAGTGCCGTAGTCAAGACCGTCGCCGCCGGTACCGGTCTCGCCACAGTCGTCAGAGGTGACAGTCTTTGTGACTTCGAGGGTCTCTGTTTGGGTTTTAGTTGAGGTCTCGGTGATGATTTGGTTCTTGGTCTCGGTGCTGGTCTGGGTGATTGTGTCTGTTTTCGTCTGGGTTTCGGTCTTGGTCTCGGTGGATCCCGGGAGAGTGACCGTCTCTGCGGCTTCGGTGACTGTAGATGTTTCGGTTTTGGTTGGACCGGGAGTTGTTACTGTTTGGGTGACTGTTGGGCCATCGGTTGTGATGGTCGTGTAGTCTGTTGTTGTGGCGGTGCAAGCAGTGATGCTTGAGATGAGAGTATCCGTCTCTGTTTCGGTCTCGGTCACAGTATCGGCTGCGGCATCGCCGGTGGTGATTGTCGCAGTGCATTGACTGATTGTATCCGTTACTGTGTCGGTGACGGTGATGGTTGCAGTGCCCTTGCCGCTCTCATCGGTAGTGATAGTCACAGTAGTTGTAGGCGCAGGGGGGGCTATTTCTTATGTTAGTAATTGGCGGACTCATTATCTGGGATATTCAATTTGGACCATACCATTCTGAAGTCACGGTGATTGTCGGTCCAGGGTATCCTGATCCACCTCCGCCTCCCTCATGGCCGCCGCCCTCGTGGCCGCCACCCCCACAGTGATTGTCAGGATCACCTCCACCTCCATACTGGTTCGTCGATTGCTGGGCAGCCTGACTAGGATGATAGGCAAATGCCTGACTAAAAAGCATCTCAAGGTTGCCGCTTTGGGTGAGATCGTCAAGGTCTTCGGGTACCACAGGCGCAGGATGGGCGATTGCCTGGAGGAGTAAGGTAGACAAAGCGAACAACTCTTTTCGTGAAGGCATGTTGGGTAATTAAAGTGGATAAAATATAATCAAATATGAACTTGAACTTTTGAATTAAATTGAAGAAAAGAAGGCACCTGGGTAGAGACGTCACGAAGGAGCGCAGCAATATGGGAATTTTCCCCCAAGTCAAATCCGGGGCCTCAACTTTGAATAAATACTAATCAACAGAGCGCAATAAGTCTACCCGCATCGGATCCACAGAATGAAAGATTGGATGTTTGGTAACCAGCCCAACCAACCTGTGCTATCGGGGAATACTTGCGGGTTTAAGTATGCTAAGAATGCGCCAAAGAATGTAGTGGCACCAATTGAAAACTCACGGGAGTAATAGCCTTTGCCTGGCCGCTATCAATTAGCCATTCCATCTATATATGACATTCTTCATCTAATATATCGGTCAAGGATCGCCTACTCGAATTTCTACCAGAGTTGATTGCGAAGTCTTCGCAAAGCATTCCATAACCACCAAGCGACTCGACGACAAAACAATGGGACAAGACTCGATCCTCCTTGAGGCGCAGTCAGCCTCACTAAGTAGACCAAAGAACTGCAATCAATTAAACATAGTATGGTTCATGGCTCTGGGAAATTGTTAGACCTGCTGTCTAAGCCGGCCAAGTTTCCTAGCGTCCAGTGATTCGGTCACGAAGTCCTTACAGAGCAGACGATTACTAGTCTAGCTGGACTCAATTATTCAACTATTCAGATAAGAGATAAATAATGTTGTGAAAAATTTCTCTCCCGCAGTAATAGCTACTATTGGTAATTTGTTAGAAATATATTCCCAATGAACCTTGGAAGCTTGAAATACGAACAACTCAAAATTTGATTTGAGACACTTACTCTCTAATACTAACTAACGTGTTCCACAACCGAACGGGCCGGACAACCGAACGGGCCACCCCACCTAAAAAACGCGTCGCGTGTTGCAGCTCTCTTTTTCAAACCACCACCATGCCACCAATTCGTACTGCAAAAACTCAAAAACGAATTGAGCAAGAAGGCAGGATTGAACTTGCTATACAGGCGCTAAGAAATGAAAAAGTAGCTTCTCTGAATGAAGCTGCGCGCGTTTTTGAGGTACCTCGTGCAACATTGCAAGCGCGTTTCAAGGGAAGACATTATCGCCAAACCCTTCGCGCAAATTGCACAAAATTGGATGCAATTGAAGAGGATTCGTTAGAGAATTGGATATTGGATCTAGATGCACGTGGCAAGGCCCCTACCTTTGCTCTTGCAGGAGAAATGGCCAATTTACTACTCGCTCAACGTTCAACTACCCCCTCTCTTACAATCGGTATAAACTGGGTACAGAACTTTGTCAAACGTCGCGATAAGCTTAAAACACGTTTTTCACGTCGCTACGCTGCACAGCGTGCATTATGTGAGGATCCGAAGCTTATTCGTGAATGGTTTAATCAATATTGCAATACTATTGCTCAATATGGTATTCTTAACGAAGATATCTACAATTTCGATGAGACTGGATTTGCAATGGGGATTACTAGCACCTCAAAGGTTATTACCAGTCGAGAGTGGCAGGGGAAGCGCAAACTCCTACAACCGGGTAACCGAGAGTGGGTTACTGCAATTGAGTGTGTCCATCTGGATGGTGTTCTCCCTCCGACTATTATCTTTAAAGCGAAGGTATTGATGGCAGCGTGGTGTAGTACTGTCCCGAATGACTGGCGCTTTGAGATCAGTGCTAATGGATGGACAACTGATGAAATTGGCATTTCGTGGCTCGAAAATTCCTTCATTCCATACGTCAAAAAGCGTCAACATGGTGCCTGGTCTGCCTTGGTTATGGATGGCCATGGGAGTCATGTCACCCCTCAATTTGACACTATCTGCATGAAGAACAATATTGTGCCAATTTGTATGCCATCTCATTCATCGCATCTATTACAACCACTAGATGTAGGTTGTTTTAGTGTATTGAAGCACTTCTATGGTCAGGCAGTACAAGATCTTGCACGTGTGGGCTCTACACATATTGATAAGCCTGACTTTCTTAGTCTATACCCTAAAGCACGCGCAGCAACATACAAAACCTCTATAATTGCTAGCAGTTTTATGGCAGCGGGCATTATTCCATATTCGCCAGAGACAGTACTATCAAAACTTGATATTCATCCCCCATCGCCTACACCACCACCATCACATGGTAGTGATAGCAGTCGTGAATTCATACCTCATACACCATCCAAAGCTATCAATTTTCAACGGCAGGCATCCTCAATCAAGCGATTACTAGTCTATAGGGATATAACCCCTGATAATGACATATATCGACAATTGGAGCAGACTACCAGAGGTGCACAATTACTTGCACATGAGATGGTTATGTTAAAGACAACATATGAGCGTGTAATGGCCGAAAATGGACGTAAGCAAAGAAAAAAAGCTTTACCAAATAGGCAATTACCCTACGAAGGTGGAATTACAGCAGAGGACCTGCAATTGCGTGTACAAATTGAATATGAGCACCAATTGGCAATACCCCCGGCGCCACGCCGCGCAACCAGGACGACGATTGAGAGACCTATACAGCGCTGTGGCAATTGCAGGGAGCCAGGGCACAAGCGGAATAGGTGCCCAGTTGTGAATAACGCCTAGTTTTTGCAATATATTATATGGTGGTTGAGTTATATTCAATATATATCGTCGTAATGGGGTGGGGTGGCCCGTTCGGTTGTCCGGCCCGTTCGGTTGTGGAACACGTTAGTAGCTTATATGCCACCTGCAGTGGGCAGCGGCCTACTAAGCTCACCGCCCCCCCACATATCTGCATAAGTACATACTACTAGTACAGATACCTAAGTAGTAGTCCACAAATTCGCTAAGAATTTTGAGAATACTTTACTTCAAAGCCGAGTGTAATGGTCATCAACTACTGCTAATAGCAATGCATGCGTTCTACTAGACTCCATATTCAGAGGGTTCTCGAAGCTAGCAATCTCTAGGCTGAGAAAAACTAGTACGGACACAGAGTTCAGGGTCTGTCGTCAGACAAATTAAGCTTTACATACGAGCACTAGCACTAGTATAATCGTCATTGGCCGGATATGCAGAAACTACAGATTACTAGCCTACGACTACGGAAACAAAATCCAGATAGAAAGACTGATATTCACGAGGCTATAATCAAAAAATAAAATCCGCCAAACGATAATGCAAGAAGAAAAGTGAAAAAAAGGAGGCGCCAGCAACACCTAACCATGACTAAGAGAGAAAAAAAGAGTCACAAAAAGGGAGAACAAGAAAATAGGCAAACCGTCAATCAAAACATGGATCCCACGAGAAAGAGCCCATAGATGTGTAATGTATGGAAAAGTGCAAGAAGGGGAATAGAGAGAAGTGAGCAGAAGAGATGAGAGCCCGATCAGCCAGCACCGGCTAAGTCAAAGTCTATACAGGTCATGACAAATGAAGCAATGTGGAAGTAGTGGGTAACTAAAGGGGAGGCGGATACTGGAAATGAAGATGGAAGACCGGCACCAGGGGTCTATTCGACCGAAAGCACCTGCACAGCCAGTGGATTTGTTTGATGAACGCTCAGCGTGTCATGGAAGGCGAGTCAAGCGGGTGTCCAAGGCTTGCCCTAGGTAAAGGCAGGACATGAAAGGACAAGGCAGGACAGTATAAGATGCAATTAATCTAGGGCGGGGTGGGGGTTTGCCCCAGACCTGGTTGTCGTTTATCACGGGAGGAGCGCATATACATGGCCTCTGAGTGTGGATCAGAGGACGGATTGATGGCTCTTGGAATGGCCATCGCGCGCTCCTGGGCTTGTTGCGCGACAACTTCTCGCGCATAAAATTCTACTAGCATTGTGCCGTAGGCCTCCAGTTCTTCGACTGGGATTGCGAGGCGGAAGTCGTTTAACAGGAGGAATTGGAGCTCGAGATGGTTCAGCTCTACTAATGGGAGGCCGCCGACCTGTGGAATTCCGGAAAAAGAAAGATAAGTGGATGTCCCTTGCGTGGAATTGAACGTTTACCGAGGGTGGAGATGGATGACGTACCTTTGCATATCGGGAATTGGTATAGAACACGTCGGAGAAAAATTTACTCGCGCAGGTCACGCCCGCAATGACCAGTCGATGAATATTAAAGCTATCCACGACAAAAAAATGGGAGAGGTTTCCCTCTTCGCCTTGTGGATATAAACCGGGTGATATAGAGGAGTTGGGACTCTTTGGGTCCTGTGCGGCCATCCGGGTGGATGATGGCGGTGTTACTATCGAGTTATCCGGTGTGTGTTCGTGTTGATTTTGATGTTGATGTTGGCCAGCGGATGATCCGGGTGGTTCAAGCGAAGGCCCTTCCCAGCGACTTTGTGACTGGTCCTGGTTGACCAGCTCGGTCATACGGTCAAAATAGACCAGCAAGCTGAGGAAGACCTCGTATGTGGTAGGGCAGTATTTATGTATGCGGGTGAGATAGCTGAGGATGGAGATGCTGGGGACGTTTTTGCCGTGAAAGGCAAGGACGCTGGTCGCTTGTGGACTTAAATTATTCGTTCCGTCGGGAGGTGGAATGTGGCGATGAATATCCTCGTGGTGTTTATCATTGGTGGTGGTGATTTTGGTGAGAAGGCCGGCGACCATCTCGATGATATCAGTGACGGGCATCGAGCTGATCTCATATTTGCGCGGCTGGAGACCATGACCGGGGAGATGTGATCTCTGCGACTGGGCGAGGAAGTCTTCGCTGGCCAGACTCTGGATGTGCGACAAGCTCTGGACACGAATTCGACTCGGGGAGTTGGCTTCGGAGCCAGGGACGGATTGCATGGAGCGAGAGGTCGGGTGTAGACGTGGAGACTCGGGGGGAGTTTTGAGCGTAGGTCGAAGGGCCGGAGGTCATAGGGTGGTCGTTGTCCTGATCGGTTGAGACATGGCTACGCTGGGGCTGGTGCTGAGCATGGGTGTAGGCAGACGGATGGTCGGGTTGGATCCCATAACTAGAATGAGGGTTCATGGACGGCGGAGGGAAGTGGGAGTCTGGGGTTGTGGTTGGGGCTGGGGGTTGAGAGTGAGGGTGATAGGTGGGAGTTTGGGAATTGATGTAGGCGGGGACATCGTTAGATTGCGCACGAAGCCGAGCAGAGCCTACGGTTGGCGGGGCGGTCGAGGTGGGGGTCGTGTTGGAGGAGCTCGATCTAGAGCCATCCCGAGGACGTGAGTATCCGTCCTGGTAACCTCCTAGCATCTTGCGATCGATCGGATCCGACACGTGGTGTGGGATGATCACAGCGCTCATGCCATGGGGGTGTGGAGTATCCGAAAGGAGGAGTTGAGTGTTGAGTTCAGATGGTTTCGTGGCAATATCACGATATCAACGATGTCACAATATGCTGGATGTCTCCAAGATGTCGCAATATCGCAATATCTGCGAGGGGATGAATCAGCAGTGATATAAAGGATTGAGTTTGACCTTTGACTCTCCACGATGATTTAGGATTGGGGAGGAAGAAGAAGGTGGAGAGGAGGAAAGGAAAGGAGGGGGTTTACCTTGGATGACGAAAAGCTAGACCCGGCGATTTTCCAAGTTTCCTGATTAGCGCACCGGAGCTTGTTCAGTGGGTGGACCCGATCATTGCAGATGGGTGAAGGAGAGGAGGGGATTGGTAAGTGATGAAGTGAAGTTGATGATTGAGGGGAGTTGAAGGAAGGAAGTTGGAGTGAAGGAAGTGGAAGTGGAAGTGGAAGGATAGGGGATTCCCGTTTGGGCTGCTTTGGTGGTTTGCTTGAGATAATACTAGTATTACTATTTGACCTGTCTTAAATTCAGTTACAGTATTCACTCGACATGACAGGACATATTATCTGCTTACATCTAGGTACTAACTACTAGTATAATACAACTACTACTTTATTCTCCTGTACTCCGTACCGGTCTACACATTGCATGCTCCGGATAGATCCGTATCACATCAAGCCTCACCGATATTACTGTATTCTGGTATAATACCCTATCTGATTAACTAATAGGATCTCGAGGGTCTGACTCTTGCCCCGAAGGTGTCAATTAATTACTATCCAATGACAGCTCAGTGTGGACACCCGTGGGAGTAAGTGGAGATATCAAGTACGATGCTATTGGAAGTATAAAGTGGCGAGATCAACATGAACATGATTAGTACAGTAGGATCCCCCATACTCGTACCTAGTGGGGAGACAAGAGACTAGAAGGACTAGAAGTACTAGACAGAAACTAGTCAATACTGTTACTTAATACTATCCTAGCAGTTCTGACAGCTGGACTGCTCTCATCTACTCTACCCTTGGGTACACATCTACCACTCTTCCATCCAATCCAATCCATTCATTCCAGACAATATGCATCTATTAGTACATCATTAATTGGTCACTCCAGGACCCGTGTAGCCATTGTCCGGTAGGTACAGATGTCGCACGGCTCCCTTCTTGGTGAGAACCACCAGACGAATCACGCCGCCCGAGCTTCCATCCCACTTAATCGCCTCCTGCAAGGCACTTCGCACAAAGTCAATTCCCTCTTGCTCGGTCATTTGCTCTCTCCAGTGCGCATCTGTGTATCCATAGATGTAGGTTGAGCCTGATCCACCGATCGCGAATGACTGCTTGTGTAGAGATCCTCCCAACGGTATCGAGTACACCTGACCGCCGTGTCGGGGATCATATCCAGCAATGATGATACCGGCACTAACCCGAGTTAGCAAATGAAACACCAGTGTTGCAACGTGACAGATCACAGATAAGCCGTCTGCTCACTCACCTCAGGGCATCCTTGTTCTCATAGCACAGTTCCTGGAAAAGCGACGCCGCGACCTGTGTGCTGGGGGCTTCATTGTTGGTCACTCCGTACATGTTGAGGTGGTAGGAGACAATGTCGGCGACGGCTTGGGTATCAGCCGCCGACCCGGACCGGCAGCACCAGATGGTGTCGTGCACCTGTGTCAATTTGTCGGTGACTCGGTTGGCAATGTAGGCTCCGGTGGTTGTGCGACTGTCGGCGCCGAGAATGACTCCATCCTTGAAATTGATGGCCATACTATAGGTGATTGATTAGATGGGAGGTTGGAAGGAGCTGGAGAGAGCTGAAGGAAGCTTGTTATGTAGCTGGTTGGAGCTTAAACTCACATCGAGGTACCGAGGCTGGAAAATCAGTTAGTATATACTCCTTCTCTTTGATCGATAATAATGGTAGGAATCGTGAAAGTCTAACTTACTTAACCTCTCCACTCTTCAAGTGTTGCATATCGACGTGGATGCCATCTGAACGAGGGAGGCGGGTTAGCTGCGGATGATGGATGACGATTAGCTTGACTGACCTTCACCCAACATGCCGGTGACGCCGTGTGGTGCGACCATTGTGCTGAAATGTTGAGAATAGTGAGTATAGAGGTTATCCAAAATAAAAGAAGGCCGAGGGAGGAAGATGAGAAGGGAGTTAGAGTAAGGAGGAGTTGATGGGGATGAAAGTGACGGTGGAAGTTGGTTGATTATCCCAAAGGCAGCAGAAGCTCCCACGCGTCCGGGCGGTGAAGGCAGCCTAGAACGAGTTTGTTTCCCCCCACAAAGGCATCAACCTCCTTGGTTGATACATCGAATTCCACTCTCTACTCTTCCATCTTCACAAGTCGCTCTTTCAGATCACACCTACACACTCACAGCTTCAGCCCGGAACTGCGGTCACCTCTACCAGGACTTGTCATGTCCGAATCCCCTCCTCCGCCCCCAGCCTGGAGCATCAGCGCCATGGCAAACAACACCATGCAGTTCTTACGTCTGCCTGTTCTGGCTTCATCCGGCCTCGCTGTCATCGCAAGTGGTCTATTATACTTTAAGCAGAAGTGAGTGTCCACGGCGATGCTCCAATTCTTCAACATCTCAATCCGGATTTGCCATTCTAACCACCTCATAGCGAATTGATATATCCCCGCAGTGTCCCTGCCGATGCTCGAATCAATGTCCCCAGCCCCCGACAATTCGGTATCAAGGACTTTGAAGACCTACAAATTCCCACCCCTGATGGTGAATCCCTCCATGCGCTCTTCCTCCGTCCGCCTATGGGCCGTCGTCAGCGCAATCTCACTGTCCTCATGTTCCATGGCAATGCTGGTAACATCGGTCACCGAGTTCCGATCGCGAAGGCTCTTCAAGATACCCTACATTGCAATGTTTTCATGCTTGAATATAGAGGTTATGGTATGTCTACGGGAACCCCTGACGAAGCGGGTCTGAAGATCGACGCCCAGACCGGATTAGACTACCTAAGACAACGTCCTGAGACGAGAGATACCAAGATCGTTGTATATGGCCAAAGTTTAGGCGGCGCCGTGGCTATCAATCTTGTTGCAACCAACCAGGAAGAAGGTGATGTTAGTGGATTGGTCCTCGAGAATACCTTTTTAAGTATTCGCAAGTTGATTCCTAGGTGAGTGATCACAACAAACAACAAACGCCTCGTCAATCCAATATCCGGCTCTGACAATCATCTCCCAGCGTCTTTCCACCAGCACGCTATCTGGCCCGTTTATGCCATCAATACTGGTCCAGTGAAGATACACTGCCCAAGATCAAAGATGTTCCAATTCTCTTCCTCAGCGGACTCAAGGACGAATTGGTCCCACCCACCAACATGACCCAGCTATTCTCCGTCTGCAAATCCGAGCGCAAAATTTGGCGCACCCTACCAAATGGTGGCCACAACGATTCCGTTGCCGAACCAGGTTACTTCGAACACATCCACTCCTTCATTACGGAAGAAGTCATGAACGACGAAAAATGATCTTTCCAGCCCCAACACGACAGTACTTCACAGCAACATTCACCGGTCTCGGCTGTCTTAGCCCAATTCCTTTAATGATACCCCCTCTCACGATTGCAAGACAAGACCAGGCCTTTGTATTCATTTCTCCACCCACCTACTAATTCCCCGCCACCATCTAGTCGACCACCCAGTCCAGCTCTCTCCACCGGCGTCGCGCTTATGGGATTTGTAATTGTTTCCCGGCGTTCTCTTCATGTCTCGCCTTTGAACTTATCTTTGATTATTTGATTTGGGTCGGTGTTGATTTGGTACATGATATTTCTTTTCGGGCGACTATTCTGTAAATACAAGTCATCCCACATGATTCATTCTTTCAAAATTGGGTTCTCGTACCCAACAGGGGGTCCAACCTTGATCCTTGTAAAACCTCCCAAACTTAAACAAGACAAGACCACGCAGTAGACGCAATGAAGAGTCCTTATGTACCTAGGTACCGTACCCCACCATGATCCTTGATTTGTCGTAACACACTCGGATCATTCTGTTATAATAAACGCACTGCCCAGGTGGCATCTGGGCAGTGGGCAGTGATTTGAGGAAACCTTGGAATGTACTTGGGATTTTATGGGTGCCCAATCAAATTGGTAGGTGTTTAGTATACAATTAGTAGTATGCGACCACTCTACTAGTATGTAGTTTGAACGCTGTCTCCACGGATATAGTAGGGTTTGAATATAGTTACAGTTATATGTGATTGAACCAACCTTGGCCCATATCTATCTAGATCGTCAAAAACAGATGTTGTACAAATGATCCACGGTAAATCCGAATCTAGTGAATCTTCTCACTCTCCTCAAGCAGTTCCTCAATCTTGAAGTTCTCAACATCGCCCTGGGTGAACATCCTCACCAACTCGCCCTTGCGACCATTAGCCTGGCCTTCAAAGTCATAGAAGCGCTGGAGACAGCTAATCAACCAGGTAGCGTCCGCATTAGAGACTCCACTATCCGGCATGACCTGACCATGCATAAGGACCAAGCCCTTATCATCCGCCAAGTCCAGGTAGTGCGTGACAGTCGTGTGGGGTTGAGCATAGGTACCGTGCATCTTGAAAGCACCGAGGTTGGTAAAGATCACAGTAGAGGTGTGTGTATTGGCAGTTCCAGCGGCGGGAGCGACAAAGTCATCAGCCGGGGGGTGAAATCCCCACTGCAGGAAGTGAATTTCCGCAGCGTTCTGAGTCTCCGTTTGGCCTTCTACTTCGCTCTCGACGGTTTGTTGGACTGGCACCGGGAGGACGAATTGCGGGTTCTGGCGCGCGGCTGCGGCAATGCGCTGATATGTTTCGAGAGAGATGACGGCGCAGATACTTGTGGCGCTGTTGGCATGACGAAGGCGCCAGAGGGCTTCGATCTCCTTGGGTGGCAGGTCACGGAACTTGTCGAGCTCCAGGTATGAGCTGAGAGGTTTGATGGGGGTTTTGCTGCCGGAGACGCTGCGCGCGGCCTTTTCGGTTTCCGATTGAGCCGGGGAGGAGGGGGGGGCTTGAAAGGGGGGGAGGGGTGCTTGCAGTTGCGAAGCTTGACATCGGGGAGTTGGGCTCTGGGGTTGCGACGGTCGATGCTTCACGGCGGAGGTTTTGGATCTTGTCGGTGTAGGCTTCCTTCAAGGACTCGACTGACTCGTGGCCCTCCCTGTGATGAATCAGTACATGCTTCATGAAATCTCCTTGCAGAGAAAGGAGAAGAAAACGACTCACTCTTTGGCCTTCTGATCCAGCTTTGACCTGTACTTGTCCTGGACATACTTGGGGTCGTGGTGGGAAGCTAGGAAGCGCACATCGTGGACCTGCGCCCAACGGCGTTGAGGGGTGCGTAGCAGGCGCGAGTTGCCACGCAGGAGGGATTGGAATCCTTGCAGTCGGAAAGAAGTCATGATGTCTGCAAATGCTGATGTTTTTAAAGGTTCCAAGCGGTTTGAGTTGACGATAAGAGACCGCATTTTCTTATGTCATCACTGCTGACATAATCCGAATTAGCTAATGCGAGTCGCTCAGATATTAAAATCGCCAGATTGGTTAGCAATTCTGTTGAGCTGGGAGAGAGAAACAAGGCATGGAAGAGTATGTCATATTTTGGAAAGTTCAAAGACTCGGGCATTTGCTTAAACACCTTGGCGCATCTCTAGTACTGTGGAACCGTCGATGCAGAAAGTATAGCCGGGGCAAAATTTGGAGGAAAACGAGTCAAATTGAATCCTCCAAATAAACAATTGATTACTCAATTTTTTGAGCAGGCACTGCTGCTGAAGTTGTAGCTAGTTATAATCAACATTTTGTCGGTATATTCGGGGTGAATTTGCCGATGGATCGGTGAAAGTGTGGACTTTGATTCGCCTTCGGGAAAAAGAATCATTGAAACCTTCTTTTTCTCCGATCGCCAACTTCATAACTTGTATCTTTATTTCAAAAAGATAATAGTATCCCAAACCACCCATTCATATATTTGATATTCCTCTATCCTCTTGACCACTACATGAAAATGACTTTCCAACAAAAAGAGTTCACCACGCCTCCATCTCTTCCCGCCCCAGGCACACCCACAAACTCCGAAACAGCAAAGCCTTGGTACTCCGTCGCAAAAGGAATTTGGGAGTTACGCTTGAACGGAGACGGAGAATCTAAAGCTGTCTTACAATGGTGGGAGCCAAATACTACTACACCCAATAAGCCGATTACACATACTTTCATCGAAGAGGTATGCTTCCTTCAGGGGAGATTGGAGGATCTATCGCTCGGGCAGTCATGGGGTGTTGGAGCCTATGCATATCGTTTACCCGGCATGGAACATGGGCCATATAAGACCCACAAGGAGGGGTGCTTGATGTTCGTTAAAACTGAGCCTGGGCCGGAATGTTGATTAAGGCATAGTGAACGCTGTGAATCATGAAGAAAGAAGATAAACTGGAGATGACCATACAATATCGTTTTCATCAGGCCTGGTTCCAAGGTTGACAGATAATAAAGTCAAAGAACACATACTACCTCTAAAGCCTATGATGATTACGCTATTCGAAGGGTCCATGTCAAGCGGGGCTCACATTGCATACTCGAGTGAGAGGCACTAGTAAAGAATAATATACAGCCAGTGCCAGTGCTATTCAGCCACTAGCTACGAGCCTGAGATAATCCACAATGCCATGGCCTTCTTCCCTACGTCCTGGCAGTTGACTTACAACTTCAACTGCTTTTTCAAGTCTCAGCTCAACAATCTTATCTCCGTCGGAGCTGATCTTCCACGAGACCTCCGCTAGGTTATCCTTACCAAGGGCAACCCTTGCTTCCAAAACCCCAGTCAAACGAAGCCGCGGCCTAAACGATATCTTGGATGAACCAGGAGCGACAGGCTGAACACCCGCCAATTCAGTACAGTACTCGTAAATAGGCACACTCCCCCAAGCATGACAATCAGATCTCTGTCTAACATCATCCTCCTCCCAGGTCGAGAGATTATTAGCCAGCATCCCTCGCCATGGAGACCACATCTTTGCCCAGAACGAATCATACAAGTTGCCATCATCAGCCAAGGACAAGGCCCGGAAAGCGTAGAACCGCATCATGTAAGAACATTTCGAGAAGCGATCATTGGCAAAAGATTCCCTCAAGATCCGGGTAGCTTCGTCCGCCTTCGCTGCGCCACAGATAACAGCGAAAACCTGGCAGTGCTGGGAATATGACAGTTCATCCGCAACATCAGCTGTTGAATCGGTGAAGAATTCCCCATCGTAGCAATGGGCTCGTATAGCTGCTCTCAATGATGATGCCCTCGATTCGTATTCGGAAGCATGTCCCGGTCGACCAACATCACGAACCAGCACAGCGGCCTTTTGCAGAACCCAGGCATATATCATACTGAAATAAGTGTGTCGATTGGTCTTTCTGCCCGAGGTTGGAACGCCCTTGTCAGGATGGTCTTCTGTAGCACCCCAGGTCGTGACCCAATCAACGTACTGCCAAACAACATCCGGCAGTCCGCTGACAAGACCTAGCTCGTCGACATGAGAATCGAAGAAATCAAGAATTCCATCAATTCGCGGAATGAAGAGTTTCGAAAAGCGCGTATCGCCAAAGTACAAGTGATGATCACACACTTGTAATATCCAATACAGGGAGAAGCCGGCTATGACTTGCGGTACGTGTGAAGGGAAGCGAGACTGCGTGAGACCCTCTGGTGTTACTGAGGCGGCGAAGTTGGTGATTGCTTGCCGCATCAGCCGGTCGTCGCCTGAGAGGAGGTAGTGAAACAGACCGACAGAGCGACTGTCTCCGGAGTATCTAATTTCATAGTTAGTGGGGGTTTAACGATCGTTTGGATGTCTGGCGCGCACTGTAATTGTTCGTAGAATGGACAGTCTGAGTATCCGTCGAACATGCAGTTTCTCATCGTCCGTATAGAGACATCCCAGATTTCCTCACTCTGAGGATCACCAGGCTGTTTCCAGCTAGCCTTCACGGCTAGAGGATAGTTGACCTGAGTAGCGTCGAATGATAGAATTTCAATTGGCTCGGGTCCAACTGTGATCTCGATCTTTAAGAGGCGGAAGGTGCGGAACCAGAATGGCTCATAGAAGGTTTGACTGTCACTAAGAAGGTTCAGCGTTACCTCGTCATATGGTCCAATAATATGGCCAACACTTGCATCTAGCCTGTCTGCCTTGGAGCGGAAGAAGGGGTACGATCGGGGTTCGAGTTCGTAGCCTTCTGAGTGTGTCACTTTGAGCTTTATATTCGAGGCATTTGCAACTGATTTGAAGGCCCATCGAAGGAATGCAGTCGAGTGAACGGCGGCCTGTACTTCAAGGACGTGACTGGAGCTCGCTGGGAGGGTAATGGAGTGGTTTCGAGTAAACAAAGATTCCCAGTAATTAGCCTCTACAGTACTCTGGCAAGCCCTGATTGTTTCAACAACAGCGAGTGTTGATTCCGGTAGTGGAATCGATCGTGGACGCAGGTTCCAGGGCGGAATGTCACCGTTCAAAGTTCTCATCTTGTACGCAACCGGTATCATCATAGAGCCTTCATCCGTAGGAGCAACACGTTCGCTAATCTATGAAAAGGTGTCAGCTCAACCCCGGCGGGGTTTAATCCAGAGCCGATCTTACATGTAAAAACACATCATCAGCAAGACCCGTCGGGAACTCGATACTTTGATCGACGAATCCCAGCCAATTCTGCGAAGAATTGAGATCGATAAACTCCCCCGTTGCAGTCTCCAGGTTTCCAATGACTGTCAGACCAGGAAGCGCCGTCCGCTCAAAAGGCATTGCGCAGCGTAGAGAGTGAAAGTACCGCAAAACTACGAATAGGATCTCATTCTGGCCTTCTTTTAGGTAGGGCGCGATATCCAGGGTATCGTAGTACCAAATCAGCGGACTGCTGCGAGTCGGTCCGACGGCAACATGTTGTCCATTCACGTAGAGTTTGTAACGCGTGTCAGCTGAGAAATGCAGTACTGATTTGTCGGGCTTTGACTGTAAGTTGAATTCTCGCGTGAAGCGGACGATCTTTCCAGCTGTATTGGCATCTGAAGAGTCAACCCAGTTTGGGACCCAGATCCAGTTGGCTTGGAGGTCGTTGATTGTCTTTTTGGCCACATGTCAGCGATGGTTACGGAGCTTGAGTCCAGTCTAGACTAGATACCTTTTGATCCTCAGTGAGACTCATATTGGGACGCTGGTATATGTTGAGCAGTGTACCCCGGTTTCAATTTGAAGGCGCCTTGTATAGCTCCGGCGGAGGAGGGGCTAGCGGGGCTCGGGCGATCTTTCGCCGAGAGTTATTCCATCTCGGCGAATGAACCAAACTTGACGGGAAATCTATGTTATGCATGATCCGTTCTTCTGGGGGACTCTTCTGCAGGGAAAGTAATGGGAGACGAGAATGGCTAGTAGTAGTAGTAGCGAATGACCGAGGACATCAACATAGATGAAGCTCTGACTTAACACATCGGTACGGTCCGTCGAGATGCCGGCCATTAGTATTGATGATGCAAGCTACTACCTAAATAGGTAGTATTGATCAATACTTCTCTGCTCTGGAACTAGCTGTACATCTGCCGGTTATCTATGCTCGTGTTCCCTGATCATCGATCCCTAGTCTCTCGAAAAATCGATATCAGAGAGCTGATAGTATCGAAGGAACAAAGTTGCATCTAGCCGGAAGCGACATGTACCAAAAGAGCAAATGCTGCACAAACAGGTTGTTTGTTATATTTGACCATAACACATTGGGGTCTTCTCGTCGCCACAGTGAGTTAACTACGCCGTACTTGTGCTGTATTAACGGGGATGGCCCGCTGCCGATCCGAGGCCGCCCCCGGGGCATGACCCGAGCGGTGGCACTAGGATCAACCCATCCGGTGATCCTGTATGGTTGCGCATGACCCGGGATGTCTCGCTTGTCGATCGCAGTGCACCGCCATTCTAGAAGTATCGCGTACTAGAGGTTGCGAAAAGTGCCCGGGGGGTATCGGTAGTACACGAGCTAGCCGTCAATGTTGCAGAAAAGAGGGCGAGTGGGTGTATCGGATCGTCCTATCGCAGCCTCGTGATACACGACTTGAATCCAGAGTCTTGAGAGTCCCCATACATTAGTGGGACTATTAGCAGCATGACGACATGCACTGGCAGAGACAGGACATGGACCCCGCCGAGTCAACAAGAAAGAGTTAAACCTTCAAGTTGGGACAGCTAGCCCCCAAACACAGAAAAGAGAATATTAAGGAAACAACTGGGAAAATTGGAAAAGGCGTGGATGATGCCAGTTTCATCTCGTATTGCGGGAATCTCATGTATCAAAAATGCGGATTTAAGTTTGGCCAAAAATAGAGAGACGAGAGAGAGAGGAGGGGGACGAAAGGGGGGGGCCAAAATCCAGAATATCTCAGGTTCATAGTCTAATCTTCCGGGGATCAGCATGGCCATGGTAAGCCTTCAGCTGATAACAAATGAAAGAAGCAGGTCTCCTGACGGGTCCCCTGGAGGGAAATCCAGCCAACCGGAATGCAATGAGGGGACATCAGGATGGGGCGGGCGCATCTGGTCGCGCTCGCGCGTCCAGGCGCGACTTGAAACCGCGGGGGATAAATGAGGAGGGCTGCTCTTTATTTCAGTAGACCTATTTTCCACTCTATTACTTTATTATTCTATTACGGGGTATTCTATACTCCTCTACGCTCTGTTGTATACATTTTATACTTGAACTACACAATAACACTCCCTGACTGGGCCTAGTGGATACCCGATCTGGCCTAGCGTGCGGAAAAGAAAGAAAAAAAAAACCAAAAGGAAGGAGCAACTGGCGCATGCGCAACTGCGAAACTGCGAGAGACTGCGACTGCCGTCAAGGGATAACTTTATTCTTCACTTTCTGACTTCGCTTTCTTCCTTCTCTCCGACTCCGTCGCTTTGGCCTCTGCACATTCTATTCTACCCCTCTATCCTCTGGGTGAATTGGTTGTACTATAACGTCGTCTTCCTACTTCTTACGCGCCGCTCCGCACCCAGTGAACCCTCGCGATCAACATGGTCTCCTTCTCATGCGAAGTAAGCAACCCTCGACAATCAGCTACTATTCTTTTGAAGCATGCGACTGCTGGTGCCTATACATATTGCGCATGCACCAGAAGGGCTAAATACTAACAATGGTCCTTTCTATTAGGGTTGCGGCGATGTCCTCACCAAGAAAAAACTCGACCCCCACCGCAGCCAATGCCGCGGCGCGTCCTTCACTTGCATTGATTGTATGGTTCACTTCTGGGGCACCGAATATCGAGCACACACGGTATGTCATGATTTTACTGGTCTGGTCAAGAGGACTGCATTGGTGCTTGTTCCGGATATGCGCTGCGCATTCTCCATGGATTACCCGGATACAACCATCATTACTTCCCCCACCAATGATGGATGCTGATAACTTATTCACCCATAGAGTTGCATGACCGAGGACCAGAAGTACCAGGGTGCCCTCTACAAGGAGAAGCCGGCCAAGGGCCAAAAGGGCAAGGGCCAAAACAACCAAAACACCCCCAAGCAGAATGTGAAGTCGAACCCCAACGCGCGGAACCAGCAGCCCCGAGTCGATGATGCTACTTCCGACGGAGAGATCATCAAGGCCAACATCCCGCCTCCTCCTGCTCCCACTCCCCCTCCCACTAGCGACAAGAAGCCCACGTCGGCTGTGGTGAAAAACAATGACCCGCCTGTCAACGTTTTCGACTACCTCGTTACAGAGGACACACCCAACGCATCGAAGGTATCTTTAGCCCCCAAGGAACAAATGTCCATGAACCCCCACGCCCCATCTGTCTTCGAGGCTAGCAAAGCCCTCGCGCGACTAGACCCGAAGACAGATGACGAAGGCAACTACGATATCGCATACGAAGAAAACGGTTTCTCTTACGGCGCTGACCCTATTCCGCCGCCCAAGTTTCCCACCGCGGCCAATGCCTCCATGGAATTCGTCACCCCGGCGCCCAAGAAGAAGAAGGATCGCCGTGAGAAGAAGGAACGTGCTCCAGGTAGCGCGAGCGAGAAGAAGCGCAAGCGCGGCCAAGTCGATCAGCTCAGCAGCCCTCAACAGGATATCGACACCCCAATGATGGATGCCCCATCCAGCGTGATTAACAATGCTGGCACTCCCATGCTGGCTCACTCCGGTTTGACCGGCGGTCTGAACCGCATGATGCGCTCGCCTTCCCACGATATCGACGAGACTCCCGAGCACGGCCGCTCTGCCTATCAGGACGCCTCCTCCCCGATTAAGCGTACCCGCCGCAATGGCAAGGAATCCAATGGTGGCGGCGACCCTGGTTTAGGTATCACAATCAAAAACCGCGCGGAGCGCCTTGTCTCCTCCATGTTCGGCGGCACCGGTTCCGTTGTTTCCAACGGTAGCAAAGACAGCCATGAGAATTCCCGCGCCCTGGTCCGTACCCGTCGCGGCAGCTCCTCCAGTGTCGACGGCCAACTGGAAGTGCGCAAGAAGAAGTCTCATCGCTCGCGCACCACCTCAGATTCCCATGCCGAGCGCAAGTCTAAGCGCAAAAGCAGCAACCCCACTGACGGTGACCGCCCCTCTCGCCGACAGAAGCAGATTGACGAGCGCCGGCGCTCGGATTCCCAATCTCCCCCATCGTGATGGCCAGGTCGCAGTCTACCGGCCGTCCAAGACACCCGCCCGTAGCGAGGATGTCCTCCAGCGGGAAATGGCCACCCACTTCCTTTCTCTTGTGTCTCGGGACAGTGAGCGTGGCTGTTCCTTCAACAAAGCACTGAAACGGTTCCACCGCGATTTCGCAGACGAACAAGAGGACAATGGTCGGGACTCCCGCGAGCGCCGCGGCGAGGACGAAAAGGATTTGTGGCGTGGTCTACGACTGCGTCGCAATGACCGTGGTGAAATCGTCGTATTTGCGTAATAAAAGTTACTGCCAGCTTGGAAACTCTCTGGTTTCGGTTTTCTTTTGCACGACGGGTCGAATAGGGGGAGGAACTCTTTATCTTTATGCTTATGAAGTGAATGGATTAGGGCAGTGGTTTGATCTTGCATAGCGTGTTCTTTTTCTTTTTCAATGGGCGCGGTCTTTTTGCACACTGTTTTTATCTGACCTAATTGGACGCCAAATTTGATTAATGTATACAGTTGATTCGTTGGATATCCCGTGCCACAAGACAATGTTCTAGTGGGACTCCCGGTGTCTGTTGACTTCTTTGTCCTGTGAAACAATGTTTTCTAACGAGTTGCTACATCTATCTTCTCTAATGTCTAGAGTCTACTAATATATAAGTCCCATAGACGTAGTTCGTAGCATGACATTGTACGATTACTCAGTTACTACTCAAGTACTAAAGTCACTAACATCAGCCCCTGCCCTACTACGACTTAACCACCATGGACTACACACATTATGTACAGGGACTAGTTGATTATCTCTTCAACCATCACGAATACTTGACGGAGGACAATTCTCTAAGCGACAGGCAAGTTCAACTCCCAATCATAAACGACAGCGTCGAAAATGACGAAGAAGTGTTCATTTACATATGCCGATCAAGTTCGCCAGCGATGGACCTTCTCTCCCAAGTTTGCGATATGCTGAAGGAGTTTGCGGAGAAGAATCCCTTTCCTGCTTTGACAGTGCGCTGTATTACGACGACGGAGACTGTTCTCCAGGTCGTCCTTGGCATGAAGACTGATTACGATTACTCGCTACTTATGAATTGTCTCGAGGCCTTCCTTGATGAGGAGCTGGCGCGTCGTGGGATCATTTTGTACGACTCTGATGCCTGTGGGGATTCGGATTTGGACGACGTGGATGATGACGAGGATTTGATTGGTAATTCATCTGCATCTAGTGGGCTTCAGCATGCATTGAATGCTTATTGGATAGATGATGAGGGGGGCTGGGTATAGAATGTTAGAAACTTGAACCTTGGAAGCTTTATACCACTTGTCTAGGTGGAAGGGCCATGGCGTCAATGGTTTTGTTATTTCGATATAGAGATTGAACTTGAACTTTTTGTGTTTCTGTACTTGCCAAATGCATCATCATTTACGTCCATTATGCGGGGTTACGGCAGTGGGCACTTTAATATTTGATACTACTAGTACCATGGGTACCATCATTCCAAGCTTCCTGTGTTTCAAGTTGGACAATCCCGAGCCAGCCCCCATTATGTTTTCTTTGTTCTTGAACTAGTACATGGATTTTTGCATTGGGGATTACGGATACGTTTATCAATATTGTCGATGTTGAGTAGTCTTGTTGTGTTCATGCCGTTATTCGACCTGTGCCACAATCAATACCCACCTTGTTGAATACTAGTAACTAGTTGATCAGGAATTTCATGTCGAAACCCTATATGGAATACCTGCGAGGTAGAATCAAAACACGAGAAGGGAAAAGGGTCCTATGCATAGCCCAGGGTCCACTTAATGCCCAGGTGGATCTGTTCTTAGGTGGTCAGAAACTTGATATGCAGACTGCCTTCCATATTAGAGATACTACCCGCCCGTACCTTTCACATCTTCATAACATCGCCATCATAGATACTACTAGTAATAGTATATTCCGCCCCTTCCTTGTCTTATTCTCTTTTCTACTCCATCTCCTTCTCCTACTCATACACTCATTCCCTAAATTTCCACAGAATTACCTACCTCTGTCAGCCTAGGTAATTACCTGCAATACTTTTATCCAAAGTATAGTCAAGTCTGATTCATACAACAGATCGGTTCCATGCATTCATTACTTATTAATGACTTAGTAATTGAGTTTTGTTCTGTGGAAACTACTTCTGGTCAGAAAATATGTCCCTTCTTGTGTCCAATACAAGAGTGTGAAGATCGATTTCCTCAGGATAAACATATTCGACCAAATGTTTCGTCAAAAACTTGCTCCAGTCATGCGGGTGCCCAGTATGTATGTTAAATATCCACAATGCTCCTTGGCATTCAACAAGCTTGGCCCAATTATCATCCATTGTGTCCAAATACACAGCTTCTCTATCTCACAAATGGTCACCCTCCTCGTCTAACCAGGGCTTGCTGAGCTCTTGGAATGTGTTCGGAATTCAGACTGATGTTTAGTCTCTCTTTCCTATCCCCTATGAACCTCTGCTTCTAATGATTATCGCCACTGTCTTTGTTTGATCATGAGGTTTCTACTTCTACCTCCGTCTCAACATCTACTTCTACCCTACCTATGGCTCCTGAGTACTGTGACTATCATCACTCGATGCTTCTGCAAGCCCTAAATTTCTGGGCATCATTTCTGGGCATCATTTCTGGGCATCAATTCCGAGTCCTCAAACTGTTTTAAATGCCTGCCAGTGATTTATTCAATGACCTGAACTACTAGTTGGGCTCTATCCTGCGATCCAGTTTATAGAAATACACATATGGCTCCAGGGCTCCAAGCAATTCAATGCTTTCCTCTAATCACACTAGGATAATTCCATGAAAGAAATTAGGCCACAGATTCCTCCGGATTGTGCATTCCCCACTTAATTCTGCACTTGAGAAGCCCTGATGAAATATCCATGAAAAATAGTACCTAGGTATCCGAATAAGTATGAGTCACTTCGACTGGGTTTGAGTCACGGGAAAGTGGCGACTTGTGACCGCCCTTCCCTCCGCCTTTGCATTCTGCCAGTATGCCCACTGGTGCTTTTAATTGTGCGCGATGCTTTATCCATCGTCTTCCTCAATTCTTTTCGCCCTTTGGGCCTCACTGTATAATTTCCGATTTGTTATTTTTGTCCTGTGAGCTTCACCATTCACATTAGGCCTCCTATATCGATCAAACTTGCTTATTATTCACAAATCTGCAGCTTTCGACCCTTTGATCACCATTCCGTCGATCATTCCATCCATTTCACCTCGATATTCCTTTTCGCTGCATGAGCAGCACCACATTTTCCAGCCAGCCTGCGCTGGTCTCTCAAACCATGTCCAGCTCCACAGCTGCTCCGACTGTACCAGCGGCCCCACCGGCTCCGTCGGCCGCTCGTCCAAGGCATAGACGCCGTGGGAAGGGCCCCGCAAACCGACAAGGCCAGTCTAATCCCACAGCCAACGACCAGCCTCCTCAAGACCAACAGGGACAACCAGGTCGAGCTGCGCCCACCGACCAAACAACCGAACCGTCTCGTTCGCGGAGAGGGCAAAAAGAAACCAGGGGATCTGGAAGTCGCAGAGGGCGTGGCAATGGACCTCGACAAAGCGGGCAGGCACAAAATGCCGAACAATCGGACCAAACATCACAAAGGCAGTCTCGGGGGATGAGAGCACGAGGATTTGGGGCCCGACTGACCAAAGCCGACGATGCTCAAGACGAAACAGAGCCCCAAGGACCCGCAGACCCAGATGCCAATCTCCGTGCCGATGCGCCGGATTTTGTGCCTGGTATGCCCGCATCTGCCCCGCCTTCTTCTACAGCTTCGGGACAAGCTAGCAAAGGCAAAGGGAAACAAAAGTCTAAGCCGCCTCAAAAGCCGCCCAAGGTCACGACGAAATCTGTTGCCGACGACATCGCCACCCGTATCCACGAAGATATTGCTCACAACCTTTATGAATGCCCCATATGTACAAGCGAGCTTGGAAGAAGGTCCAAAGTCTGGTCTTGTGAACTTTGTTGGACCGTGTTTCACTTGAGTTGTATCAAAAAATGGTCTACTAATGAAGGAGCTGCTGCCGCGCGACAGCCACAAAATGCAGAAGGCTCTATTACGCCCAAGGCATGGCGTTGCCCTGGCTGCAATCTGTCACATGAGCAGTTCCCTTCCACATATACGTGCTGGTGTGAAAAGGAATCTGATCCACGACCCTTGGCTGGTTTACCTCCACACTCGTGTGGCCAGACCTGTTCACGGGCTCGGAAGGGATGCCCCCACCCATGCGATGCAACCTGTCATGCGGGTCCTTGTGCTCCTTGTACTTCAATGGGACCTACCCAAGATTGCTTTTGTGGTCGTAATTCATCCTCGAAGCGATGCCAGGATACCGATTATCAAAATGGCTGGAGCTGCGGGGAAATATGTGGCGACCTCTTACCATGCGGAGAACACACATGTCCCCTTCCCTGCCACGAGGGTCTATGTGGTGCATGCGAAGTCAAGATCGATGCGCAATGTTATTGTGGAAAGGTGCACACAGAGATGCTGTGTAGCTCCAAGGACGAGGAGCTGGATAGCGAGAAGATGAAGGACGACGGATCTAACGAAGAATGGATCGGTTGTTTCAGCTGCCCTGACTCTTGCGATCGCCCCTTCGATTGCGGCGTGCATTTCTGTCAGAAGGACTGTCACCCTCAAGATTCTCTTCCGGCACACTGCCCTCGCTCGCCGGACACGATTTCTCGTTGTCCATGCGGTAAAACACCATTGACAGAAGTCCCGGGATATACCCCGCGTACATCGTGCGAGGACCAGATCCCCAATTGCTTCGAGCCTTGTGGTAAGATGCTGCGTTGTGGTCATTCTTGTGATAAGATCTGCCACACTGGATCTTGCGGTACATGTACTCGTCGCGTTCCGATTTCATGTCAATGCGGTCGCAACACGTCAATGAGTATCTGTCACCAGGGTGATATGAATGCACCCCAGTGCTTCCGGCAGTGCAAGGCGAGTCTGCATTGTGGACGTCATAGCTGTACGGAGAGGTGTTGCCCCGGAGAGCAGAAGGCGATTGAGCGCCAAGCTGCCCGTCGAAAGCTCAAACCTCATCTTCGCCCCGCTGAAGAAGATATTGAAGCTGAACACATCTGCACCCGTGTTTGTGGTCGAACGCTGAAATGCGGTCGACACACCTGCCCTGAGCTTTGTCACAAGGGCGCCTGCAACACTTGTCGAGAGGCAATCTTTGATGAAATTTCGTGTAACTGCGGAAGATCAGTTTTATACCCCCCCTCTCCCATGTGGCACGCAGCCGCCCCCGTGTTCGCGCCCCTGCGAACGTCCCAAGGCCTGTGGACATCCTCAAACAGCACATAATTGCCACACCGATGATGAGTCTTGCCCCAAGTGCCCATTTCTCACGGACAAGGAGTGTCTTTGCGGCAAGCGGGTAATGAAAAACGTACCCTGCTGGCTCACAGACGCCCGCTGCGGCCAGGTTTGTGGTGCGCTGCTCAAATGCGGATCACACTTCTGCAAGAAAGACTGCCACCGACCAGGACAATGTGAAGATGCAGACAAGCCTTGCTCACAACCATGTGGAAAGAGCAAGTCTCTCTGTCATCACCCTTGTTCTGACCAATGTCATGCCCCTTACCCTTGTCCAGAGAAGACGCCTTGCCCGACCATGCACACAGTAACATGTGGATGCGGACGGATGCGCCAGGAACGCCGCTGCAATGCAGCAAAGGCAGTCGTCTCCAAAGGACAGGTCCAACAGCCGGAAAGATTGCCCGTACTCACGCCATTGACTTGCGATGAGGAATGTTCACGTTTAGAGCGCAATCGATCTCTGGCTTCTGCTCTGGGTGTCGACATCAACCAACAGACCACCGTGCAGGCGTTCACATCCAACAATCTCCCCTATTCGACGGAAACTTTAGACCAATACATCAAATTGGCCTCGACAGTCTCACTGTCCACCCTTCAGACATTCGAGTCGACCTTGCACTCCCTGGCAATAGATACATCGAATCGATCTATCCGCTTCCAGCCTGCAAAGTCAACTCTTCGCGGATTTACACACTCCCTCGCCACAGACTGGGGATTCGTAACAGAAAGTCATGATCCAGAGCCGCATCGCCACGTCTTCGTCCTGAAACCTTTAACATGGACACCACCCGTCTTCGGACTGGGAACTGAGACCACCATCGGCATCGGTGGTATGAGCGTACGAGAGTGCGTGAAACTCCGCGAGCGCGAGCGGAACAAGGAGCGCGAAGCACAACGTGTTGCCGCTTTAGAAGCCAAGAGCGCCCGTGACGCCGCCAAAGCACAGGCCGGCGGTAGTAGCTCGGACGGATGGGCACAGGTTGCCTCTCGGGTTAAGAGACCGGGGGAGACTAGCAACACTAGTACTAGGAGTACCACGCCCATTCAGAGTACTTATTCGAATGCGTCCAGAAATCGCTCTATGTTTGCTGCGCTTGCCGGTCATATCGATACGGCTGGTTCCGGGCCTAAGAAGGAGAAACTTGTTCTTCGGTCTGGCGTTGGTGTTGGCAAGTCTTTGCGTACACAGACTCCTGCTGAGGTTGTTGATAGTTGGGAAGAGGCTGAGGAGAAGGAAGAAGAGGTTGAGCGTAAACAAGAGCAAGCTGAAGCTCCCTTGGAGGCGCAGGAACAACAGAGGGAGGAACAACCCCAGGAACAGCAAGATGGAAGTCAGGAGCAGGAAGGTCTGGTGAACGATGCGGAGTCTCAGGAACTTGAAATTAGTGTATCAGAAGGCGAGGCGAAAGAGTAGAGTCTTAATTCCATGTTCTAATGACTCATGACTGAAAAGAAATGTTTTTTTTTTTATTTGAAACCTTGGGATTGCGTTAAAATAATACCCTGGTAGCAATATGAGGACCTCGGGGACCGTGGTATCCACCAATATTTTTGGATCGCTCCTTGAGGGTCTACTTCAAAATTTAACATCGGTGGACCTCTGGCTAAGAGAGAGAGAGGATAAGAAGACAAAGAAAAAAAAATGAACTTTGATCAATATTCCTTGGTTCGTGCCTTATTCATGAGTCTGAAAAGTATCGCTCTGTTCATTGTGTCTTCTGCGCCAACAACCCGAATTGGGAGGCAAGATTATCTCTCCATGGAGTGTAATAGACAACAGTAGTACTAGTGTTTCAAAGTTTATAATTCCATGCGTTCGTTCATTCTTCAAGATAGACCTAAGCCGCGGCGACCATCTCGTGACCCTCGCGTTGTTCACTCGAGCGCATTTGTACCTCGGTGACGTACCCCTTGAATTTCCGAAGATTAACTCTCTTTTCGAACCTTGAAAGCGTAGCCGGCTGGGTTAGTCTGGAGTTTTACAAAAAATAGTGAGGGTGGAGCATTGGGTGACATACATCTCGTCAATTTCAGCCGGTGTTCGGCATGTCACCTCGGGGAGAATGAACCACGCAACAACCACTGCAACCATACCAGTTCCAGCAAAGCTAAGAGAATGGTCAGTTAGTATTTGAAGAACACTCTAACTGTATTTAACAGCATCATTGTAAACTGACAAGAATCCCGTCTTAACACCCCACGCAGAAACTGGTGCGTTGTTGATCATCAAAGGCGTACAAAAGCTAAACATGATGGCAACCATATTCGAAGATGCAAGGGCCCAGCCGGCTGTCTTTGCACGCAAACGTTGCTGGGGGATCTCAGCTGCATAGGCGTAGCCAATAGCAGATGCACCGGTAGTTGACAAAGTTGCCAAACAGGCGAAGAAGATCTATGTTGCACAATCAGCAAGTTGCTCATTTGAACTCGATACTTGGACACCTACCAGAAGTGAGCTTAAGGCCACCTTGGTGTAATCGAAGCAGCCAACAATTCCAAGACACAAAACAGAGACCGAAGTCACTGCATATGGGTAGACTGTGAGTGGACGACGTCCAATTTTATCAGTGGTGATTGCAGTTGCCATCATGGATATTAACTGGACACAGGATAGAATGACTGTGACCATGAATGGATCTTTGCTGCCAGCATATTGAACTTTCATGGTATTAGCCTTTTGGGAAAGAGAAGCGAAGCACATTCATTACTCACAGAAGTATGTTGCGTAGGTATTAAAGACAGACAAACCGACAAGCTGCTGAGCAATCTTAGGCCAGGCAGCAATGATGAAACGAAGACGGTTACGGCCTTGAAAGACAGCCCATGTTCCCTCTTCCGAATTCCGCTCTGCGAGGATACGCTCCTCTGTGACTGTGGCAGTCATGACTTCCTAAATACGGGATCAGAAAATTGCTTGAATATCATTGAGAGGGGTGAGAAAATGACGCACAATCTGCTCGTCAACACTGTATCCCTCCACATTACCATTGCACCTCGTAAGGATCTGAGCTGCCTCGTCGATTTTGTTTTTGCTCACCAACCACCAAGGTGATTCTGGAATAAAGACAAAGATGATTGCAATTACACCCACCATAGCCCACTAGTTAAACAAGCACTTTTAGTAACCTCTTCCGTGAGCAACCCACAAGAGATGAAGATATGACGAACCTGTGTATAGATCGGAACACGGAAGTCATACGGGTCATTCGCGCTAAGTTTCTGCAATGCCACTGAAGCAAAGATCTGGCCGACCACAAACCAACTAGAAATCGTTAGAAAATGAAGGTTAATAACTTCTGTTCCCAACTTACAAACTGTACGCATTGATGTAGAAACCTCGCAACTGCGTCGGGGCTATTTCAGACAAATAAAGAGGCATGGTTGATTGCAACATGCCGACGCCCATTCCAGAGAAAAGTTTTGCTGCGAGCCAGTGATCCCATCTTGTTGCAAAGGTTTCAATAAATACGCTAATCACAAGATCAACCCAAATGATATAGAGTGCAGCCTTTCGGCCAAATCTTTCCGTCGCATATTGGAGCATCTGCATGAAAATTTGTTAATTGATCGTTTGCGGGAAGGGAAGACTAAGAAGTACTTACAATCTGGCCGATTGTTTGACCGGCGGATTGGATGCCTCCCCATGCGGAGATGTATTTACCTTTAATGATCGAGGTACCCGGGGAGGCCATTTGTCGAATGAATCCTTTGTTGGAGACAATACCACCATTAAGATTGATTTCTGCATACCGTTAGGTCACATCGCTCGTATTCGAAAGTCGCAGTGAACTATCTTACGGTAGCCGTCGAGTGATGCGCTAAACGCCGCGGTCATGGCAATGAGCGACACATGCTTGAATCGTCTCACACACTGCCAGACACCAAGATCGTCTTCCCGGGATCGCATGATTGGCCCCATATTCTTTTTAGGTATATCATCTCCCCGATGAGAAGATGAATGCTCAATATTCTTAGAGTCAGCCTTGGAGATATCCATCGTGAATACGACCCGGCACGGTGCTTGGGCAAAGAACAAGGAATCGTGAATTTTTATCAAATGAGACTCAGATGCGAGATGATCACATATTATATTTCATATCTCCGAACTAGCCTCGAAAGGAAACGGAAGCCGCCTTGTCGGGGTTACCAACTCCGAGTTCAACCAACATGAAGGAGCATGCGGGGATCCGGGGTAACTAGTGGAGCTTACTTAGCCCGGCACATAGCATGATCACAACCGACATCCCATTTCTCTTCATGATTAACCCGGAATAACGGTTCATTTGCCGATGCCCTTGTAAACAGTTTCTGATAGGGTAGTTTGAGTTTGAGTAGCCGGTAGGGCTTAGGAAGAGGAAATCCAGTGGACGCACTAAATACCGGCAACTGCCTCGCTTTGAATTAAACCGAACTAGTTTTAGGTGGCTGGCGATTATTCATTAGCGAGATCGAATACTGGTAAGCTTTTTGTTTTTCTAATTACTTTGCGTAAGCTTTTAGTCTTCATATTCTAGCCTTTTCTTTTCGCTTTTTTTGATATCATCTTGCGATTTTTTATTTCGGCTAGTTTTTGACTCGGAAGCTTTAAATCAAAAATGAACATGTCTGCCCAAGACACAGGTGGGCTTATAATGAGTCTAAACCAAATTTGAGCGTCGGATAAATACCAGTGATTCAGTTCCTAGATATTAACATTAGCATCTACTAGTACCTAGCAGCAGCTAACAGTAGATCATAATTAATATTGCTGAATCTGCCCAGTTTGAAAAAAAAAAGTATTTGTATCTAACTTGGAATTAGCGTCGAACTTCCAAGCTGCAGAGGCCGAAGTTGGATTATGAAGATGTTCGCATTCCAAGGTTTTTGAATGAATACCCATATAACTATCCCATAATACTTCCAATTAGTACAAAATTCCCTCAGTATCTGATGTTTCAAACGAATAAATCCCAGATCTTTAGTTTGAAGCAGTAGCATCGTTATGCCTGATGGCCCAATTCAGAGAAATCCCGGTGGGGTGGCCCCTCACCACTCACGATCCCGCTTTCGCTACATCACATTCGTTCTCCTATTTATTCCGATTGACTGTTCGAATAAACTCAATTGGTTTAAAATCAAGATTTTGAGCCACGTAAGAGAATGCCTGAATTTTACTAAAATCTACACATGAGGATGGCTTATATTGACAATCTCGAACCACCATGTAATTGTCCTTTGACGTTGGTGAGTTCATGGGCCTCGCGTAACGGTCAACCATAACCTCCACCTATCACTACTTTAGTACTACAAGTCTCATAAATTTCCAAAACACCATTCTGCATAGAACCAAGTTGATAGGAATGAGTGTCACTCCCAAGCTCCCACTTTAATATAAGTTCTCTACTAGTACTACTAGTACGAGCGAGGACTCGAACCATCTGGACTGTAAGATACTATGTGTTCAATATTATACACTTCAATACCTGAGTACTAGTACTACTCCCAGTACAATTTCCCAAGAAATTTTCGATTGTTCAGGTTGTTTAGCATTGCACGACTTACCTAGTACTAGGTATCTGCCACTTGACAGGCTCTTCAAGTTTCTCCAAGATACAACTTATCGGTCCCGAGGGACCCCGTCAACCCCGAGATTTTCCCCGAGGGAACAAGGGATATGGAAGACATTTTATGAGTCATGGATCGAAGGAATCCATACTGGAAATATAGATTCTTGCCAAGGATAAAAGAGCCATAAAACCTCACAGTAAATACCTTGCAGATGGAACGCGAAACAAGTCCGATTTCCGAGACAGTGAGGGATGGAACATCTCTGAATTGCCGAAAGCATCTATATACTACAAGTTCCAAAGTTGCTTTCACGTCTACAAGTATGGATATCGCTCATCTCTTGCTGTTTGAATGCATTTTAAATATAATGGACCCATCATCTTGCCGAAAATACGAGGAGAACCTCACTTTCTAAATCTCTTAAGACTTTAGAGCCACGATCAGCATCAGCCTCAGAATGAAGCAGTTTCTGGTTTTATTTACTGCCTTTGTGGCATATGTTGCGGCTATCGTATTCGTGGAGCCGGCTCACGCAGAATTACCGCTGCACTTTGATCATGGATACACATTGAAGTGGAAACTTGACGGGTGCGGCTATCGTTATTGTTCACGTCAATCTTATTGAACAATCTTTGTAACTTAATTGACCAGTTGCTGACCCGTCGAAGATCACCCCAGGACGTTGGTTCGGATATCTTACATCTTTCAAGAACGCTTTTCATATTTAAACAGAATGTGCTCACTGGGTGACTGTTTCTTGATTTTTACATTCCTGGTTCAAACGGAGCGCTTTTCTCGTCTAGTTTTCTTCTAATGGCATTCGATGAAAAATGCAGAGGAGAGGGTGACAGTATCGTCCAATCCCGGCTTCGGGAATTGAAATTATGAAGCATTTATTGGAAAACCGAAATTGAAAACCGTTGTTTTTCCTATCCAAACAAGATGATTGAAAAAGGTCTCAAATCTAGGCCACCTCAGCCTCTATGACCATCTCATATTGTTGAGGATCTGGCCAAAATTTAATGATCTTAAAGCCAGAATCATTTAAGAGGCTCTCCCAAGCACCTTGGGTTCTCTCAGAAGCTGAAAGAAGAGACATCATGTTAACATCCATCGTAGTCTGACTAATACTCGCTCCCGTAGGCGGGAGAACAATATCGTAAACGAATAACTTGGAGTATCCCTTGGTCATTGCATCCCTGGTATTTCCCAACAGATGCTTAGCCTTGTCATCAGGCCAATCATGCAGAACAGCATGCATGAAGTAAGCACGGCTTCCTATTAGTTGTGAGTATATAAGTGACTGGGTAAGATTGTCAAGAGACTCACCTTTCACAGGCTGGGGAAGAAAGAAGTCATGAGACATGGCCTTGACTTTCTTGTCAACTTGAGCGTTGACAATAATTTCGGGCAGATCTTGCAAAACAAGAGAGCCGACAGGAAGATTGGGGTGCTTGGCATGAACATGAGAGATGTCAATGCCGGTGTTTCCACCAACATCAACCACAAATGCAGAACCATCATCTAGATTTGCACCGTCAAGAAGTTTGTCCGTGTCATATACCTTGGTCCATGGAGTCTTCCATGCTGTCCACGCCTCCATATGACCAGTGAAGGCCTTAAAGTAGGAAGGACTTTCTTGCAGTCGACCGAAAAAGTTGAGACCATCCGGGTCCGAGTCGGAGTAGTTGTTCACCATAATATCTGTAGGCTCGGTGTAACCAATTTTCGCGAGGTATTTCGGTAGGTTGTGACCGGCTAGTATGTATTGGTTGGTTCTAACGCGAAGCGGTGATTAGTGAGAAGTATTAGACCCGTGTAATGGGCTACTTACGCCGCTTGGAGCGAAGCCCGGACCTTGGTGGACTCATTTCCAATGGCGAGTGAAAACGGAGTTGGTTTGAATTTGTCCTCACCAATCTCTTCGACTACGTTGAAAGCTGCGAGGAGGCGAAATAATCTCCCTGTTGCAACTGATTAGCTTCGGCATACGAGTCTGATAGGGAGAAACACACGTAGCAGGTTTGTGTCCACGGCAGGATTGGTCAACTTGACCAGATCAAGAATCGATTTCTCACCACCTCCCGAGATAGTCCAGGCTTTCCAAAGTCCCACATCGATACAGGTCTGGAGAGCAGCAAACACGACAGGATGCTCAAAGCAGAAGCCCCATGCACGCTCGTACGGTGACTCCACCCTTGCAAGAAGTCGACGTGCAGCCGCACGAACTTGGAGACGTTCCACCTCATTTCCCCCAAATGCCTCAGGGTGAACCCCATCGAGAGCGGCGATGATTTCTTGAGTTTGAGACGTCATATTTGAATCGCCAAATATAGACTCTATTGTGCAGTGGGCGATATATGAGTCAATTAAAAGTGAGAAAGTACTGAGCTAATCCAGTCTTATGAAAGCTCCCTAATATATAGCAATCATGCACTGGTTCAAACAAGTTACACAAGAGATTGTCAGATAGTAGTGCGCAAAATCCAGGGGGCTTCCTCTTAAGCAATAGCACAGACGCTTCCTCAATTAGCTAACTCAAAGTAATCGAGTGAGACCAACGGCTTACCCGGGAGGCCAATCCTAGGCCAATGGCACTGAAAAGCCCAAAGGGTTGATTTATCTCCACGCTAGAGGTTCCCCACTGTTTCCCTCTTTGAAACGTTAGACATGGTCCTACATCGAGGCCCGTGTCCGCTGTTCATTGCTCAATTAGGCGTATTGCATTACTGACAGCTATAGCTAATGTGATCCATCAACTCAATTATAAGCTTGCGCACCTCAAATCCCGCCACCTCTGAACTTATACATCGCACAAAGAGGGCAACCAATGCCATTGACACAGACCACCAGGTCAACGAAGTACGTGCGAACGTTGGCCCGAGTGGGACTCCACTTTAATTCTTACTAACTTGAAAGAGGTGGCTAATAGTCTCATGATAGTGGCCCGCGCTTTCGGGGAAAGGAACCCGCAACCGAGCGAAGGGATTTGGACTAAAGTTAGTCCAAGTCTGGTATGATCGTTCTTATCCGGCCCGCCACCTCGAGTCTTGAGACCGTGACCAGGGGGTTGGAACTCCGTACAAAGAGATCGCATATTTCTCAGTGGCTACATGCTGTGAATATCGCGGTGATGGTGTGGATCGTGGGGCCTTGCCTCTCGGCCAGGAATCGATCAACTCCCTCGCGATCTATCACAGCGGAGGATGCACCAAATCGGTCATCCCGATTTGTCCTACTTATGTGTTCACAAAAGCACTCTACTTCATTCGGGATTAAGGATCCGGGTGAGAAGAAGCCAAGGCTTGATCTAACATTGAAGCTTGCTGACTACCACCAAACTTTCTGGATTTCGCCGCAGTGCTAGGAATGAAGTAGAACTAGAGAGTGCAGGTAGCGAAAATCAGTTCTGGAGACGATAGTATGGGTAATTGAGTTACCGATCCCTGATGAGGAGCTGTCAAGAGCTGAAAGAAGGAGCCACGTTCATATAAACTTTTGCTGCTGTTTGAGGTCTGCCTTTCGGTGCCAAAAAAGGAGCGATATATTTCGTCATCCTCATCCTCAATTCTTCGCATATCGCCACCTGAACAGTGCGAAGTAGCTAAAGAGCAGACCCGCTGGTGGGAAAAGCCCCTCGAACTTGTTGTGGGCCTGGACCGGGTGACCGTGCAGAATAAACTCCGCCGCCGTTTTTTGACAGCTCCACAGACGTACCTCAGACAGGAAAATCGACATTGGAATAACCTATGAGAATTGAGTAGGATGGCCCATGTGGGTCGGTGGCTTCAAGGACACATTGTCCAAGCTCGTGGGAATGGCTGTCATGTCAATTCTGACACGAGCTCATGGGTCCTTAATTAGAAAGTGGATCCTACAGGTCACATTTGCCAAATTATTCCGACGTACTTTTGATTTCGACTTTGCGGGTGGCAGTTAACCTCCGCTCGGGTCACAACTATGAAATCCACCAAGGAAGTGTGTACTGTACCTTGGATCGACATGACAAGGCAAGCAGGATACAACTCGAACTCGAAGTTCACTAATGCAGAAGATCAATCCGGTCTGTTTGAGTCGTGTCGAACGCCGGAAAGATTCCTGTCGCTCAACTTACAGGTCATAAACATTTTCATATTAATACAGCATAGCTATTCTCTTTAAGATCTTTCTTTGACGGTCATTCCTGCTTTCATTTTGATCATCCTACTCCCGATGGTCATTCTTTTCTTCATCTGAATTCACTATACCCATCACCGAAATGAGCTACTACGGCGGGCTGGGTCCTATGGTGAATGGCGTCCTCTGGACTGAGGCCGTACTATTCGCTCTTTTTGTAACACTCAGACTCTATACTCGAAAGCAGATTCTCAATGCTGTCGGTTCTGATGACTATATCTGCATTCTGGCGCTGGTAAGAAGTGAATTACGGCTTTTTATAAGATCACCCCTGACTGACAGTCCCAGGTCGTCCACATTCTTTACACAATCTTCGTCACTATAGCCACTCACTATGGCCTGGGTAGGCTATTCGCTGATGTCGGTGATCCAGTCATCTATTTCACTGCTATAAAATACGAATTGTTTAGCCAGGTGGCTGGTATAATGGTTATTGGCATTGGAAAGGCCGCTGTCGGCGTTTTCCTACTTCGAATTGTGCGAAACAAGATTCAAATCTGGTTCATCTATGTCTGTCTTGGCATTACCGCCATTATCACCTCTTTTGCGAGCATAGTTGTTATTGTTCAGTGCTCGCCGGTCGAGAAGAGCTGGAATCCTACAACACCTGGACATTGCTGGATCAATTTTTCCAATGTCGGCTATACAGTTGGATGTAGGTATTCCACGAAAGCTACTCAAGTATAAGTATTCCACTCAGAACGCTAATACAAAACTTCACAGCCTGGTTTGTAGCCGCCGATTTGGCCTTTGCCACTCTTCCGTGGTTTGTCGTCTGGGATCTCAATATGAAACGAAAGGAGAAGATCACCGTCGCATGTGGTCTGAGTCTCGGAATATTGTGAGTTGAACCAACCAAAGATTGGAAAATCTACCACTCACAAGGGAATCATAGTGCCGGCGTTTGTGGTATTGTCCGTACTGTTGCTCTAAATGGCCTCGACGCTTCTGAGTACATCTGTAAGCTCTTCAACCCTCAACCCACCGCAAAATTACGAGTCTCTAACAATATTTTGAAATAGATGACACGGTTCCAATGCTCATTTGGTCCGCTACGGAAAGTCTCGTTACCATCATGTGCTCATCTATCCCTGTCCTTCGACCTCTTTATATCCGCGTCCGATACGGCAAAGACGGCAAAGACAGCTCCATCGGAAACAGCGGCGACAAAACTTCCTACAAATTGCCTATGTATGGTAGCGGTGCTCGAAAGTACGGCAAGTTCTCAATTTCCAATACGAATGACTCGGTCCTTGAGCCGAAGAATTCTACGATGGTGAAATATCACTCTCGAGATACCAGCGACGAGAACATCCTTCAGGGAGCGGCGGGTATTGAGAGGACGGATGAGATTTCCGTTAGTTATGAGCGATTCGATAGCAAGGTCTGAAGTAACAATATTTGGATTTTTTTACAAGGGTTGGGATTGAAAGGGAATGAACAGGTCAAGCCCCTTGAAGATTTAAGCTGGCTTTTCTATAAAGGCGATTCTTGTTTGATTCAAGTTTGAAGAATGTCTCCTTACCTTAGGCACAACGCCATTCTTTACAAAAGTAATACACTCATTTATGCTACTAGTATTGCCCCTCGTCATCAGCCCTGTGCATTTCCCCCAGGAATAAGCAGCGTATCTACACTCTCTACCGGGAAGCTCGAAACTTCACTTCGTGATTGTCAAGGCCAAGCGCATTCCTCATTATTTGGGCGACCTGTTACGAAGCACTGGATATGTTCGCTTTTTGAAATGTTCCGATGCAATGGGTATATAAATATTATGAGACAAGAAGAATAATGTACAAGAGACCAGCTCTGCGGATGTCTACTTGAACACAGAAACAAAAAACGCCAAATTATGATACTAACCCAATTTAACCACGAGTGGCGCTAAAGGAAATTCATCAGCCCGAGCTATCAACACAAGTGGTTGTTGAAAGCAACTTACGGTTCTTTCGAGATCTCCACGGCCAAGTGATCCTGGGCGGGGTCATGTTTTGCGTCCGTCCTGGTGGAAGTGTGATCAGCATCGCCCTTGCCCTCACCCTCACCCTCCTCATCTTCGGCACATCCGCAATCATAAAATGCGCCCAGGTTGGTGCAGTCGAATTCCGGCTTGTCCAGCATAGCGTTAACTTCATTGTGAATAAAGCAGCCCCAGCCTGCTGCGACTTTGCGCGAGGACACTTGCGGTGGATACTTGGTCAGGTGCTGCTGGAAGTGTTCGGCGCATTCACCGCTATTTTTACAGTTAGCTCAGTCACCCAATCTCGGCATGCTATATCGGTATTGCGGGGGCGGGGGTAGCAGAATTCCCGTGGGAACTGGTACGACATGGGAATGGGGGTAATAGCGCGAAAGGATGCAATAACAGGGGCGGATCGTACCAAGGGTATAGTCGAGCAAAGAGGTGGATATAAGAGCGTAGAGCTTCTTGTTGATCCTCCGTGGGCTTTTCAGGGAATCGAGCCATCACCGTGTGGAAATATTTCCATGTCGCACGCCCGAGTTCAGCTCTGGTAACATGGCGGTGATTAGCTAGTTATCCATGAAGGGCGCCACATGTATACAGAGCCCCAGGTAGGATTATTGTCAGTACATACTTTGCGGTTGCATTGCCTAGTTTTGGCATCACGACAGCCCCCTTCAATGTTTCTTCCTGGATTGTGATCCCCGTAGATGGCGCATTATGCGTGATGTGGCCGGGTGCTCGGATGGCTGGGCTCGGTGGGCCCTGAGGTCGGATGAAGAGGAAAAAGACGATAAGTATAGAAATTGCTGCGCTAATGGCGATGCGCCGTGTGATTTGTCGGTTGGCCATGATGGAGTGCGCGACGGGGCGCGCGGTGTGGCGTGGAGTCGTGGATGTTTCAGGCAGAGAACGGTGGCAGTGGATTGGACCTCGGGAGAGATATGATCAAGGGTTAAGTTGAGGATCAAGTGCTGCACAGCCCTGAAAGCAGCGGACTGGATGAGACGAATACCTTCAAGTTCAAGTTCAATGAAGGCAACGTCACCCAATCGATGGAATGACGGGAGGTCACGTGTTGGGGCGAGACTTGGCTATTCCTGCCTGAGGCAACAAATATACTACTAAACACATACTAACTATAGTACTAATACCAATACTAATACTATCATGTTGAGTGTTTATTGCTAATTAGAATTGAAAGTGGGAGATTGATTCACCCTAATTCACCTCAAATATTATCCTGAACAACAGTATCACTCAAACTAGGAGGCAAATCGTCCTTCCGCGTCCCCCAATCACTCTCCGTCTCGCCAAGGGTCAATTCAAGCGTCATACCTTCTGTGAAAAACGCATGATCAATCCAGCTCTTAGAATAAGGTTTCCCATTCAGCTTCGCACTTTGAATAAAGATCTTCTTATAGCTCGAATCGAAGTTGACATTGCGGATTGTAGCTGTCTTGTTCGTCTCGGGATGTGTAATCTCAACCGCTTTGAAGAATGGCGGACTGATGAGGTAAACGCTTTGTCCAGGATTAGGGAATAGACCCATCATACTCCATGCCAGGAATGAGCCCATTGCACCGGAGTCATCGTTTCCGGGGAGGCCATTGTTTGTAGCGTTAAATGTGCGTGGGATGTAATTATGTGCCCGCCTGGTAGAAAGGGCTGGTCGGCCTGCATAGTGATATTCGTATACTGTTAAGAAGACGGGCTCGTTGCCGATATCTGCCAGTCCGGAATCATGGAAATAGTCCAGTCGCTTCACGAAAGACTCCGGGCCGCCGACAAGCTCGATCAGGTTCGCCATGTCGTGTGGTACGTAGCTGGATGATGTTAGTGCCAGAACCATCAGCGGTGAAATTCAGAATTAAACTCACAAGAGATATTCCCAAATACTGGACTCGAATGTTTCGGACGGATTTGATGTCAACGAGCACCACGATGCCAAGGCACTGCATGCGATAGGATCCTGGAAACCCCAAGTGCCGTTCATATACTTCGGTTGAAAGAATCCCTTGAAACCTGTATCTGTTCCATTTTCAAGGAAAGATGTCTGATCCTCCTTGTAGATATTCCGCCAATTCCCAGCACGGGAGAGATATTTCGTATGATCATCTTTCCCAATGCCCTTGCCCACAACAGACAAACAATAGTCATTGTAAGCATATTCGACCGTCCGCGAAATACTTCGCGAATTAGTCCCGAAACCAAGGTAATCGAAATCGAGAAACGGGATATAATTCAAACTTTTCCAGCTCTGAAGACCGCCCCGCCCTTCATAAGACCACTCAAGAGGCTCGTTCTCCGCATCATTGACCATGGCTTTATACGCCAGTCCCCAGTCAATACCGGTGATGTTCTTCACATAAGCATCCGCAAGAACGACATCAGCATTAGACCCGCCCTGCGTCCAGCCCTTGCACAAGGACATCCGACAGTCTGGCAACCAGCCCTCATGCTTGTACGTGTCAAGCAAACTGCGCACCATGCGCGACTGAGCCTGCGGATCAACGATCGTGAGGAAGGGGTGTTGGGCCCGAAACGCGTCCCAAAGACAATAGAAAGAGTCGAAATATGGCTCATCGCTTTCCCATAGCGGATTTTCACCAGTCATATCTTGCGGCGAGAGCATCGTTCGATAAATTCCACTCCAGAATGCACTTAGCATATCGTCGCTGACACCATTGCCGGGTATCACTTTAATAGGACTCAATTTCTCTCCCCAAGCTTTCTTCGCCTGGTCCCGGAGTTTATCAAAATCGCCCTCAATATTGGGGACTTCGGACTCGGCGTTCGAACAGGCTTGGTCGGTGCTGATGAAACTGACTCCAACACGAGCGGTAATCGCATCTCCCTCATCCGGTCGCTCAAAACTCATCCACCCACCAGCCTGGATGAAGAAGTTATTGAAGCCCCGCGTAACGAACAATTCCTTCGGCTCACTCCCCGCCCGATCATTCACCCAAACACCACCATCCTTAACCCGAGCTCCCTCAAAGTCAGCACAGAAATACGTCTGGTAGGATCCCGCGCCGAAACTAGGCAGGAAAGTCCCATTGCCCTTGATACGACCACTCTCCACATCAACGGAGATACTCGCATTTTGCCTTGACTGCCACAGATCCGTCAAATCAATCGAGATAACCGGATTGACCGAGGCCACCCCATCACCGGATGACGGGAAAGAAAACCTATAGACAGCCGTCCTCCTAGCAGCCGTCATATCAACCTTGAACCCATCGTTCAACTCGATGCCAAAGTACCCCGGCTCAGCCCGAACACTATCCAATTTATACCCGGTCTTCCTCCTTTCCTTCGTAAACCCACACTCCGCAACCCCACCCTCCCCGCCGTCACAAAGATGCGGAAATAAAGGGAAAACGCCAAGAGAAGGATTGCCTCCGGTGCCGGAATCATGCAGGGACGAGAATCCAGTGACGTTACTCCCGTCCGTCGAGAACCCGCCTGTGTTCTGGCCGTCGACGTCTGCGACTGGTTTGGCGAGGCCGTAGGGTAGACTTGCGCCGGCGAAGACGTTACCACCGGCTGTTGAGCCGATTAAAGGGTTTATGTGGTTGATGTCTGTTGCTGTGGCGTGGGTGATTGGGATTTGGAGAAGGAGGAGGGATAGCCAGCTCAGACTCATGAGGGGGGGTTTTTTTGGGTGGCATTGTTGGTGATACACTCGATTTCTATTCCCTTTTGCCCAGGCGACTTTCTGGAAAATGCTTTGAGGGGTTTGTTTTGGTCGTGGAATGATTGCACCCCCTTCCTTCCTTGGTTGCGTTCACCGCGTACGCAACTTGAAACCTGGAGGAGAGAGGATGGAAATATGCGGCAATTTGGACATTTATTTAATTACTCCGCGTTGCTTTCGGGATAGTTGCCGAGGAAGAGGTTTTGCGCGTGGACTGTTACACTGTTGGTTATCGCAGGGTGGTATTGTTGTTGAGATCGACGGGCGGATCTCCGGGCAGCGTTAGTGTCGATGCAGGGACCAACTCGACAATGCGGGGTTCAAGTTGGAATGAGATAATTCAATTGTATATTATTGGTATACATTCCAGTATTGATGGATTGGAGTTGCAAGTTAAAGATAGTAGATTCGAATGATTCATCGTAACAATAAATTTTGGCTCTGCTTCGAGCAGGGCTAATCGTGAAGTGCATGCATAAAATGGCTATGGTACATATGATATGGTATGGTATGAATAGGGGTATGAATAGTTGTGGAGATTTCTCCTCTTTTGGGTATTATGAGCTTTCCCCGGCTCAGTATGAAATCCTCTTTCGAAACATGGTCTCGTGATTTTGTTCAGATAGTTTTGAACAGCATCAGTGGCATAGATCCCTTAATTAAAGGCCATGACACCCTTGTTCTGCTTCTTGCCAACATCGTAGTTCTTCCAGATGGCGACACCGGGAATGAGCAGGACCAGAACACAGGTCGAGGCAATGCAGTTCATTCTCTGGGCGTAACTCCAAGCATAAACGGTGGCATTGCGCAAATCAGAGCCCACGGGGTATGCCATTTGAGTGGTAATACCCAGAGTGTAGATCTCCGTGGCATTGGCCTTGAGATTCTCAGGCAGCTTGCTAGCGAGAGCTTCAACGAAAACATTGTTGTAGATCGCAGCCGAGACAGCATAGCCAATGGCTCCACCGATGCTTGAGAACAGACCGATCAGCGCAAGCATCATCGGTGTGCCCTCGCGACCACCGCCAGCCATCACGGCCATGTCATTGCCAATCACGAGAGTACCACCGCCGAACGCAATAAAGATCTGACACATCACGATGTAACCGATACCATGCTCCGATCCACGGAAATAGATCATCAGGCCCGAGCCCAGAATCATCAGAGGCACGCCGAAAAAGAGAGTGATGTACTTGAAGCGTCTGGTATACCAGATGATAATACCTAGCAAGGGAGCCCAGAAGGTCGATCCAACATTATAAATTTGGAGCATATACCCAGCCATGGTGGAGTCCAGATTGTAAGTGAGAAGGATGAAGTTGTAGAAATACTGGTCCCAGAGGTAGAAGCTGAAGAAGGAGACGGCGGAGCAAATGCAAGCACCGAGAATGCTTGGGCGCTTGAGGAGCTCGTATCGGATGAAATGGGTGCGAGCGACCCATTTCTCCCAGGCCGCAAAGATGAAAAGGGTCAGGAAACCGACAATGACCATCGCAATGAATTTGGCTGACTTATACTCCGAGCGGCCATACTGGGCCAAACTGAAGGGTAGGAGGAAGATGACGAAGGCGGCCATCAGCAGGAAAGCACCAATGACATCAAACTCGTGGATGTAGTGGACGATGGCCTGTATCTTGGTACGACCAGTATTGCGGCGCTCCCAGACACCCACTTTGATCGCCTTGCGCTCGTAGAATTTGAATACCAGGGCCAGTGGTAGGAAGACAACGGGCTGGACAATGCAAAAGATGCCATAACCCCAGCGCCAACCAGAATTTTCGCGGATCGCGGTGGCGGCCAGAGGTCCAGTGAAGGCGGTGCAGATGAAGGGGGTGGACACAAAAGCAAAGGCAAAAGCTCGCGAACGCAGGCCAGAGGTATCGGCGACGAAGATATCCAGGATCAGATAGAGGCAGTAGTAACCGATCCAATAGATGACGTATCCGGCAGCAAAGGCGTTGGCGTTGTTGCAGGCGGACAGGATAATCATGCCAAGGGTATAGACAACTGTAGAGAAGATCAGAGCTTCTGCGCGACCCCAAAGCTGGAGGGTCTTGGCCAGAGGAAGCTTGAGGACACCGCCGATGATGGTGGAGAGAATGTATGAAGTGGAGACCTGCGGGGCGAGGGCAAAATCGGCGTAGACGAAGTTGATCAAGTTACCGCTGATGCTCGAGTGGAAGGCCAGCATGAAGAAGCAAAGCCAAATCCTAGGAAGAGAAGATAAGGTTAGCAGCTTGTCCGAGGTGAAATGCAAGCAAGCCAGCGTACGAAGTACACCGAATCGCATTGATGGAATGTACTCACCAAGCGTAGATACCAATGACTGCGGGACGACTCCAGACGAGAGCAGCAGCCTCGGCCTTTTGTTGACCGAGGCCAATCTTCGCATTGACATGGTCTGGGTTGTTCTCTCGCTCCTTCTCGTCGTCGAGGACACCATTCACGCCGAAGGACGACTCGGAGCCGGTCTCATAAGATGGAGGAGCAGCTTCACCTCTTTCAGCGCCTGCTTCAACGAACTGAGGATGCTTGATTTCGGAAGACTCGTTGATGTTGTCGGTATCAGCAATAGAGCGACTAAGGCGCGCATTGTCATTGCGGCCATGGAACATATCGAAGACACCCATGATGAGGGGATAGGTGTGAACGATGTGAAACACCGAGGGGAGAAAGGTAAGGGACTTCAGCAGAAGAACCCCGGTTACCAGCTGAGGGGAGGGATAGAACTAGACAGTGAAGCCAAAGAGCGGATGAGTCGGAGTATTTGAGAGGAAAGAAGAGGGCATGCGATTTTTTCTACCTTTTTTCCGGATCAGCTCGGGGCTCGCAACGGAGGAGCCGACCATCAAAGTCAAAGTGGTGCATGGGGGTGGGTGAAAGTGTGGGACTATACCATGGGACATGCACCATCAGATAAAATGGCCGTGCTTGTACCTCGAAGGAAAAGCAATCAGATGGGATCCACTTGGATGGGTTGACCAATCACGGGATCAGCCACATGACGAGTGACTAATTTGATTGGTGAAGATTATATAAGCTCCTCTCGATATGGTTAAGCGCACCTTCCTAGTCCGGTGCCACCAGAAAAAAGTGGAAAGTGGAAAGTGCGACCCTGCCTCTGTCTGTTTGCAGTCGGCAGTCACTGATGGTCACTGACACTTTCCACGGTGGGATGTCAATGATGCTCCTCTCCGCTTCTTCCACTTCTTCGTCATCTACACTTCTCGATTTTATATCATATCCCCATTGTTGCTCTGGTTTCTTCACTGCAATTTTAAACGCAAATTAACTATGCAAGGCTCCCACTTTTATGCCGATCGAAATGCCCGACCACCCAGCTGGTTCAATCAGTGCAACCCAGCCTATCCACTTTACTCTACACCTCAATCCATGGTCTTGTGAGAACTATTCCTGCTCCTCATCGGCTCCCTGACCAAAACATGCTCTGGGTCCGACGCCACTATTTCTTATCTGATGGCAATTGGAACCTGGGATGCCTAGACTTCCCGTTGTTCGCCTAACTCCCCCGTTCGGCCCAGGTCCGTGGGTGAATTTGAGACTAGCGGGCGCCTCGACCACCATCCAACAAGAAAAAAGCTAGGGGTGCTCAATGCTTAACCCCCCTCAGCATCACTGTCATCGATTTGGCGCGTTTTCCGCCCCTGCCATAAGATTCACCTAGCTATATGCACGGGCTGCCCATGGGATACCATGCTCATCTCGGGGAGTATTCATGTCCATGGTTTCTTGTGCCTATGCTAGACCTGCAAATTATACCGCACACTAGGTACATCGCTGTGTGTACACTACGAGATGTGCAAGGCCCAAGTATGTGTAGCCTAGCCTGCTACACCACCTTGTCTTGATAACCAGTTTTGGATTTCCACGTTCAGCCACCGCCGCTCACTTCCGTCCGGGCTTGCTAGCCTTGGGGCCTTGTCCGCCCAGTTGTTGGTCCCATCTCGCCACAATGGAAGCTTCAGGGGCTTACGCGGATTCATTTCCTTGGCGCTATTGGCTAATTGCCCACTGAGAAAATTTCAGCTCCCAAAGCTAAGGTAATGGTGAAAAGGGCTGGAAGTTAATCAATGATCCCCATCTAATCTGATTTGATTGTGATGACTCGTCCATGGTCGCCACAATATCCGCTTTTAGTGATTCTGTTTTGGCCAATAATTGTGGATCTACACCGGTCTAGCCGATTTCTAGGGTTGTTTCCTTGTTCTGTCGAGCCGCCTATCGCCGACCGACGATGCTGTGGATTCCCATGTTCCATTCCTTATTATATCTTGGCATCGATTGTCCAGTCGGCTATCCCGGCCGATACTACGGAGTAGACATCGGGACATCGGGAAGCCGGGCAACTGCCGCTGCAGAAGATCCATCTGTAGGATCTGCCATCCTCACGCAACATTAGATCACCAGAAAGGTGGCGCTGCCCAGCTTTGAAAACATGGGAGCCCACGTGGTCTAGGGAAAAGATTGATGGCCAGCCGTTGACTCTTCCCACACCATGTAGGCAACCTTGATTTTCACTCGACCTCGAGTTCGGATTTTCAATGGTTCCGTCCCGCGCGTCGGCTATCGCGAACCTCTTCATCGCAATGTCTCTTCTTTCGGCCCCGAGGCGGGGATGCATTCAAACCTTCCACGGATGTCTCCGGTAGCAGCCTTGCACACGTAGTTCTCACAGAAAATTACCTATCTGCCACCGGCTTCATCCGCGCTGGGTGGCGTGTCGCGCGTGAACCGGTGGTAAACACCCGCTAAATTGCTCTCAGCTCTGCGTAGATCAATCGCGGTTCGATCTGATTTGCGAAGAGACCTGGCTGGACATTCAGAGCACACCACACAGCTCTAGAAACCTAGTCTACCTGAGACATCTTTGATAGTGGGTCGCACCCACTATACGATGGCCGCATTTTAGCGTTTCGATGGCTCGCTTCACGTCAAAGCTCCCGACTGGCCGAGCCTGAGTCTAACTGGAATTTTTCTTGCAATGGGGCCACTGATGTGGCGTGTAATGTGGCGTCTAGAATTATTTGAGACTGTGTAAGCAATTTCCCTGTTCATGCAGGTGCGTTGCATCAGGCGTCCATCCTTGCCGACAATTTTCAATTGTGTGACATGGAAAGGAACATAGGCAAGATCCCGTTGTCGACACTATCATGTAAATTATCTGGATGCCCGATGTCACCTTGAAGTCCTCTTGTGCACACCATGAAAGCAAACCCTGCTTAGTGTCGTAGTATCTAGGCAAACACCGCAGACCCAATTAATTGTTTCTTCGCGAATTTTTTCTTCTTCGAGACTCCCTGTTTCTATTTACATACTGACATTGGGTGGGACATATTTCCAGACATACCTTAAGACTGCAGCGCTTTTTGCAAATACATAGTATTCTAAGAGTCATTATGATCTTTTCGTATTCACAATAATGTACCACCTAGGTAATCTTGGTGTGACGTTCAATGATCGTCCTGTAATGTTATTTCCAAAATTTTCGAATTGTTTTCAGATCATTATCTAGATGAGATGCGATGCTTTGTAAAGAATTTTGGAAAATTCTTATGACAATTAAAGGGCGTGCCCAGGTGCTATTACTACTTACTATGTATACTATTCCCGATTAAGTCTAACGTGTACGCTGCGAGTCTATCTTGTAGCGCTGCCGTCCTCTCTTCTTAGCCTCTCCATGTTTATTTTTGCGCATCAAATGCACCTATTTCACAATAGCAGGCCAGTACCCTTCTCGCATATCCCAAGTTCCTGATAGCCCACGCGTGTTGCATATTTTGGACCAACCAGGTTTCATTGTGTTCAAAAATGCACACAATCGACCTTAAAAAGAAGAGAAGATTTGGGCTTGGTCTATCGTATGTATTTCTTCTTTTTCGAAGCGTAAGAAGCGCCTCATGGTACGTAGATGCAGGTTTTAATTTATCCTGCAGGCAACTAAACAGTACTATTTCAAGTGATCATCGTTGTTTCATGCCACCTCTCGTTGTAGACCCCTTAGTGAAACGAAATTGCAGATTCATTGTGGATCGTACTAGTTATAGCACAGACTTAGTTAACTATCGGAACATGTACTCCTACCTAGGTAGACGAGTGGCTTTTCAAAAGTGAAGCCAGTCCTCGCATAGCATATTGGTCTTCGCAAAGCTACCAGTTGCCTCTGGTATATTCGTTGGAACTTGAAACTTACTAGTAGCAAATGGCCCCAAATCCCTCTAACTTTTGTGACTGCCGTGGGTGCTCGCTAGTCCTGTCTAGTTTCTAAACTTCCATCCTATTTTCTTATGCCAGTGCCTTCTTTTTGAAGACTCGTGACTGTGGAGACTTAGGAACAGGAGAACGTAAGAAGATAACACAAATGGAATATGCATGTATTGACTGCTACTTGAGTATTAATTTTGTTTCACAAATCTTTCTATCCAATTCGTCAATTGGCTAAGGTGAAGCACATCCATGATATGACTGTGAAGAGCCTTCAGCTAAGGAGAGCGCTACGGTAATTCGGCAAATTCATGATTTGATCAACTTGAAGCAATTCTCAGATGGCAAAAGAGCGTGTCCATAGACTCCAGTCACATAAACTAACAAGGAGGAAGAGTATAATCCTGGTTATAAAGAAAACCGGATTCGGGGTGCGTACCCCACCCACAACCCACGACTCGTTCTTTGCAGCGAATCCTAGAGACGCGGTTCATTCCCCGCCCCAATTTAGGGGCAGAGTGCGAACACTAATCTCCACTTACGAAATGGTTCGAATGAGGCGGAGGCTTAGCCTTCCTTCTAGGCTAAACGAGAGGATGCCATAGGCCATGTCTCACTCTGTTTGTCAGGGGAAACGATCTCAGGCCCCGCGCTTTTCCTTAATAGGGTTGGAGGCTTAAAATTCATGCGGGCACTCCATAAGCCATGCCATTTTCCAGGGACGAGTGGCCCATTGATGACTCTAGAGCAGAAGCGCCTATATCTTGAGGGTGTTTTCCCTTTCCCGGTTCTTTCTGGTTTCTTTTTCTCACGCTGATCCTCAATCAAACCCCACACTTCCACTCAGCCCTACGGATCGATATCACGTCAAATTTGTCACTGATCAACATTCAATCATTCACTCGCCACGATGCGCGTCCAAACTCTCGCAACTGCTCTCCCCCTGCTGATGCTCGCGTCCAGCGTCGCAGCTGTGGACTGTTCAACCCACAGCTTCACCACCTGCGCCGACAAGATCGTTCACTGGTTCGACCCCGACACCGGCGAAATCTGCGATCCCCTAGACTGTGGCGGTGGTCGTGCTCCCCCGAAGACCGACGTCCCCGGATGTCCCCAGTACACGGGCACTGAGACCGCAGCCACAAGCAAGTCATATCTTTCTTGCTGGACCCCCTCGGCCAGCGCCACCCCCACGACCGAGAGCACTGCTAAAACCACTACTGAGTCCACTTCCACCTCCAACAGTCCTGATGTTGTTACTTCGACTTCGGTCGCCAGCGTCACTTCTCCCACTACTGTTGTCGTGACTTCCACCGCTACTGGAAACCAAACCAGTGAGGCTGCTACCAGCCCTTCGACTACTCCAGCGGCTTCTCTTTCCTCGAGCCAAAGTGCCTCTGGCAGTGGAAGTGGAAGTGGAAGCAGCTCTGCTTCAGCTCAAGCAACAACGACTTTTAACGCCGCTGGTGCGTTGACTGGGTCGCTTGCCGCTGCTGCTGGCGTTGCTCTCGGTGCGATCGCTTTCGTCTAAATGGTCTTTGACGGCAAATATATTCCCTCCATTTGATGTCTCATTCCAAATTCTGTATATAATAGCCATGATATCATCAATTAATCTGTTGCTTGAATCAAGTTGATCAGTTTCGAAATCAGCACCCGTGGACCCTGGTGTGAAAATGTGTATAGATCTACTTTTTGACCTGGTTCTAGATTGGAAATTGATTCTATTTTCAATTGTTTTTTATTTTCATAAATGTCCCAGCTAAAAGTTTCTTTCATCCATGCAATTCTATAGCCTCTATAGCCTCTTGGGTACCAGACTTTCATGGCTGAGGAAGAATGGGCGCGCACTGGTTGCCAAATCGGTAATAGCGCAGTATCATAAGCCTCTTTTTCTGTGGCTGTGTGCATCATTTGTGGGGGCCAAAGGTCTTGGTCCCAGATTCCTCGTTTACCTCTTAATCTTCAGCTATATCCCTTCCAAGGCCCCTCTTCCTTCTTCAAAAATAAAATACCCATCTCTTCCATATTCAAGGATCCCCTAGGTGTTGTGTGTGCATTCGGTAATTGTCTCCGGCGCCATTGGAAGCTTATTTGGAGAAAAGGCCACCCCAAGAATAGTTTACCCCTCCAATTCACACCGACCGCATTTGAGGGGCAAGCGGTGACGAATCTCACACAGCTTCAAGGCCCCTGACAGAAAATATTCAGGTGGTCCTGTTTTAAAATCACAACATGTCGGACAAAAAGCCAAGCGGTAATCCCTTTGAGGACCTGGATCGAAATTACGCCGAGCAGGAGATAGAGAATGGGGGTCTTCCACCATATTCAAGTGCGACACCCAACTCTTCGTCCGACGCTCCACGGGTTCAAGATTCTAAGGACTCTAAGAGGAACCAGCAAGAAATCTACGATGCGCCGGAAGTAGTGCCTCAGGTTGATCGCGAAACGCTACCTGAGGTAGTACCAATCGAGGAGAACCTGCCCGAGGTCCGTGTCTCGCAAAATGCCTCTTATTACAATCAAAACAACAACTTCGGTCCTCCTCCAAATGGGCAAGGGTATCCTCCAGCAGATGGGAAAGGATACGCTCCACCTAACGGGCCCGGATATCCTCAAGCAGGCGGACCTGGATATCCTCAAATAGGCGGACCCGGCTATCCTCCTCCAAGTGGGCAGGGTTATCCTCCAGCAGATGGCAGTGGATACTATCCAGCGGGCGGACCCGCCTACCCTCCCACATACGGGCAAGAGTACTCTCAAACAAACAGCCCAGGATATTCGCCAATGCCAATGCCAAATCCTCAAGACAGAACAATTGCCATTCCAGCCATCGACGCCTCACCAGGGTCACCTTTACTTCGAGCCTACGTGCCGATGTTAACCAAATACAACCTCCCCCAGGAATCTTTCTTCAGATTCCTCGACTCACTAAACGATGTGATCGCAACCAACCCACCAATGCAAGTCCTCGATGTCACCGGCGGCATCCTAAAGTCCGTTCCAATCCTCTTTCCTCTGCACTGGATCGGATCCGCATTCAGCGGACTAGCGAACATAAGCGAGCAAAGCAAGTCCAAGTCGCGATCAGACTCAGCCCTCAAACAAGCAAACAAAGAGATCTTCGGACCCCGCGGTCTAAAAGCCGAACTCGCGAACCTCGACGCACTCGCCTACATTGCGAAAATCCCCATTCTCGACTCACAAGGCAAGATCGATAAGAACTCGACTCTTGCTCGGCAGTTGGCTGATATGTCTCGCGCGTATCGGAGGCGGAGGAATGACAGCGACGCTAAAGATCAGGATCAGAAACATGGGCATCAGTTGGAGCTGCAGCAGCAAAGGCTTCATGCTCTTCAACCGTGGATTCAGGATCTTCAGCTTGATATCAAGCCGGCGGCTAAGACGAGGTTGACGCGCCTTAATTCTGCGCTGAAGAAATATAATGGCGATGATAATCGGAGGCAGGATAGGTCGGAGGATGGGGATGAGCAGGACCGGTTCCGAAAATGTCTTTGGTTGGTGATTCGAGAGGAGATTGGTGGTAATGGGGGACAGTCGCAAGCTGGGCCATCGAAGTGATGCGCTTGCAGCCCTTTTCGTGCCCAGGTGCATGAGATTTGTATATATTAGCTACATTACATTACAATGGTAATAGTCTGATTCAAAGGCATATTAGCACCTGCGGGCAACTCAACAACTTAGAGAGACCGGTTATTCGAGTCATCGCTCTAAAAAAAAAAGAAATGCTGCATTACCACCTGGGCAGATTTTAGTTTGAAGGACTCGGAAGCAGGTAGTAGTAATACAATTCGAATGCCGTTTGATTGAGCCGGACTGGAAATGCATGGTTAAGGTCTACTTTTCATGTATATCTGGACAGCACAGAAACCACAAGCTCGTTTTCCATCCGAGAAACGGCGAGTGGGTGATGACGCGGTGATTACTAGTACGGTAGGCCCATCGCCCTGTTCAAGCATAAACTTCTCAAGTCTCTCTGGAATTCTCGCGGGAGACCCTTGTAGTAATGGGCTCGGTGTTCTATTGCAGAACGTAGCTATCGGGTATTAAATTGTTGAAAACAAAGAAACGAAACGCTGGGGAGATCGGATCGAGCCAGCAGGTGAATGCTGAGCCAAATTAAGCAGAGGCTTGATAGTAAAGGCCTTCCCCAGAGCCATCAGTCATAAACTCATCTATCATGAATGCGACGATCCTAACCAATATGTTAGCATATCTCCTCTATGCCCGTCAAAGTTGTGGACTACATACGACTCAGTTGTGCGTTCGCCACGGTATAGTTCACGCGACTCGAGGCCACGGAAAACCTCCATTTTAGGATAATAGGTGACACCCATATCTCGGCAAAACTCTGCGTCTTCCAGGCAGTTCACCTTGGCCAGAGGAACGTTGTTCTCTTTCAGCTCCGTGGCTGCTTCTTCGTACTTTGGGGCCAACCGACGGCAGTGGGAACACGACGGCGAGTAGAAGTTGACCAGAACCAAGTCATGCTCTTCTATGAAATTATGGAATGTCGCTTTCGTCAAAGATACGGTATTCGACTCTATGGGCTCGGTATGTCTAGCAAACGCGACCGTTGCGGCTCCGAGGAGCCCGAGAAGATACGCAGAAGACGGTCGCATAATGGCGTAGGGTTCGGAAAATAGGAGAGACTAGAGTACTATCATAGGTCAGAGCTGCGATATGCGAACGAAAAAACCTGGAGTTATGCGAGATAGTGGGGGAAGCAGGCAGACCTACCAGGGCTTTCGCGAAGAGATGCGGGGAGGATGAGAATTGGAAGGACGAGGTCGGAGTCGGAGTTTTGGCCCCAGCGAAACAGCGCCACCAAAGAAACTTGGTTAACTTTCCAAGGTTTGGTTTGCTTTTGGTTTGACTGATTCTGCCAGTTGTTTCTTTCCGCCTGCTTCTCTTCCCCTTAAACGCATTCCCTGCGGTTTATGAAGATGAAAATGAGCTGGCTTTTACTGGAGTCGAGGAGTGCCCTCCAGGGCTCTCATAATCAAAATCAAAAATAAGGTCACTGCATTTCCTACAAGACATCTGCCCTTTGGATCTTCCAAGCACATTGATGGTGACGCTATTAGGGATTGCATGACCCCTCCATCTTATGGAGTGGTTTCTGACCCCGGCAAAACATCGAGTTCATTAGTATAGTGTCATGCAAAACAAATGATGCGTCGAATCACCCGGGCATCAAAGCTGTAATAAAAGGAGCCTTCCTGGGCCCACATGGAATCTGGACCCCGCTGTGGTGGATAATGGTCGGGGTCCAAGTTCTCCACGTTCTGTGCTACAACATAGACACCCTAGAGGCTAGTTGGATCGAATGGGATTCGATATTGGCTAGAAAGTACAAATTACGGAGTACAGACTGAAATAACCAGTCTATTCTGAGAAACCAGCAGACTGTCACTAGTCACTACTGGTAGTAAAAGTAGTCCAACTGCTCCGAGTTTCACCCCCAGAATTGCGGCAAGACCCGCTTTGGAGCCCTTTCTAACCTTTTTCGATGCCGCCCTTTTCGTTTTTTGAGCATCTGCTGACCATCGAGGAGTTCAAATCAGATCCTAGCTCTCGTATTCCGTATTCGCGTGGGTGCACAATTAATATGCCCAGTTCTTATGCATGTTTTGCTCTCGGATGCCCACCTACACCCGAGATGCACAAGTCGTTTGCAACAAGTATCGGCCTTGCACTTGGTGGATAACTCGCTGCGGGGATCTCTTTCGGTCTAAACTCCGAGATCCTGGTAAAACAATCGGTCAAACTGTTGCTGCGTTTGCCGTCGCATTTACAAGCTGCGAATACCTTTGGCCCCGGATTTTCCTGCGTTATTCCCTCCTCGTACCCGGCCCAAAGGCCTTGAACATCGTAAGTGGTTCCTCTTCGATCAGTTCCCAGTGCGATCTGTTGAATCATGTTTCCCGAAATTGATCTATTCCGGAAAGCTTGTCCACCGCGTGGTGTTCCTGTGGCTTACCTGCGCTTCCTCTAGTATCGCCACCAAGAATCGTACCACGCAGCGCGTATCCCATATATTTAAAGAGCAGATCAGCAAGGGTGCCGAGGCTATTCATTTGAAGTGCTCGCAATGGAGGACCATAGTACGTGTATCGATTGTGTTACTTGTCACCCTTCGGAAAACGAGATATTGACGTTTGAATGGCAATTGCTGACTTAAATGTTTGTTTTCAGAATCCCCATCTGTTGATGGATCTACGCCAACAGCCAGCAATACAGAAATTCACCAAGTGGACGACGAAAAGCACACATTCCATGAAAAGACCGATCTTGAGGCAGGGCCCCGAACGGACGAGACTACCCTAGAAAAGGATGAAAATTCCCGGGATCCTAATATCGTTGACTGGGATGGACCTAATGACCCCGAAAATCCTCTCAATTGGACGACAAAACAAAAGATAAGCGCAACGGTTTCTATCGCGCTGATCACCTTTCTAACGTAAGGTGCAAATTCTCGAGCCTTTAAAGCGACACAGCTGACACTATTCTTCAAAAGGCCTCTCGGATCATCAATGTTCGCCCCGGGTGTTGGGCAACTGGTCAAGGATTTCGAGATCACCAGTACGGAACTGAGCTCTTTCGTCGTTTCTGTCTATCTTCTCGGGTACTGCTTCGGTCCTCTTCTCATCGCACCTATCTCGGAGATGTATGGGAGACGCTGGGTAAGTCGAATCGCGATTGAACTGGAATCCAAGTACCAACCATCACCATCATTTAGGTCTACAACTTTTGCAACATCTTCTACGTGATATGGACGATTACCTGCGCCGTCGCACCGGACATTGGCAGTCTAGTTGTGTTTCGCTTCTTCGCCGGCTGCGTGGGTAGCTGCCCTTTGACCATCGGCGCTGGGTCAATCGCGGATATGTTCGTTCAGGAACATAGAGGTAGTGCAATGGCGGCCTGGGCTATTGGGCCCCTGATTGGACCTGTTGTTGGTCCCGTTGGTATGTTTCACAAAATTCATCCAAGCTAATTGTATCTGACTGGAAACAGCGGGCGGATATCTTGCCCAGGCGAAGGGTTGGAGGTGGACCTTTTGGGTTCTGGCCATGGCCGTGAGTGTCCCCATGACATATGATACAATTCGTTGACCTAGATGGTTACTAACGACGCCGGCTGTAGAGCGGTGCTGTCGCTGTCTGCTCACTCCTTACCATAAAGGAATCATACGCACCAACCCTCCTGGCCCGCAAAACAAAGAGACTGCAGAAAGAAACTGGTAACAAGGACTTACGTTCTGCCCTTGACACCGGTCGCTCACCCAAGGATCTCTTTCTTTTCTCAATTATCCGACCTACCAAGATGCTTTTTCTCTCGCCAATTGTCTTTTTGCTCTCCCTCTACGTTGGTGTGATATATGGATATCTCTATCTTCTCTTCACCACCATCAGCAGTGTCTTCGAGGATCAATACCACTTCTCGCAAGGATCGGTTGGTCTATCGTACCTGGGTATTGGTATTGGGTCTATCCTTGGACTTGTTTTTCTCGGCACAACGTCCGATCGCTTGCTCAAATACCTCACAGTGAAGAATGGCGTCAGCAAACCTGAATATCGACTTCCTCCCATGATTCCTGGCTCACTCTTCGTTCCCGCTTCTCTTTTTATGTACGGCTGGACCGCGTACTACAAGACTCACTGGATTGTGCCAATTATTGGAACCTCTTTTCTGGGCGTTGGAATGCTGATCTCCTTCGTAAGTCACACCAGCAATTGTGCGGCTCTATTTACTAACAAAGTTCAATTTATGTAGATGACTGTCAGCACTTATCTAGTGGACGCATTCACAGTATATGCTGCTAGTGCCATGGCTGCAAACACTGTTTTCCGTTCTCTGGCCGGTTGCTTACTTCCACTTGCGGGACCAAAAATGTATGAGAAGCTCGGCTTGGGTTGGGGAAACTCTTTGCTTGGTTTTATCGCACTTGCGTTGTGCCCGCTGCCGGTTATTTTCTACGTCTTCGGCGAGCGCATTAGAACAAGCAAGAAGTTCCAAATCAACTTATGAGACTGGAGCTGGTAGTGTTTTCTGTTCATTCTGACATCACCCCTCTTTAAATTTTTATTGAAAGTACATGGGAGTATTTATTTTCTACAGCATACCAAAAACAGCATGAGAACCTTGGAATGAACTAGAAATAATAAAAATATTACACTTATCAAGACCAGATGGAGGGATTAGGCAAAATACCAGAAGTAAAGTTAAATAAATAGGCACTGTCGTCCGCTTTGACTCTTTGATGGTAAATGCTCTTCGGACTTGAATGGACTGGAAGGATTTAAAACACTTTCCTCTTTTCCTTTTTCTACTAACAATACTTCACGGCGCTCCTCGCTTCTCAAGCGAATATCACATTAAAATGGACGCGGCCTAATGTTGAAGCCTTCCGTGTATGCAAACTTATCATACTGACGCGGCGAGCCATCCTTCTCCAACACTGGTTTGAATTCAAAAGTCCGCAAAAGTCGGGCTAGAGCAAAGTACTACTACTATCCTACCTAGCAAGTAGTGTCTAGGTATCTAATTCCAAGTGTTTACTGTAATCTAAAGCCAAATTTGGAATTCAATAGTAATAAAATTAGTAATTACCATGTATAATTTATTAAAATTAATCCTGATAGTGATAGCGATAGCGATATCCTAGGATCTTATAAAATAATGGGTGTAGTATAGGTATATTACTAGATCATAAATTTAGCGCTATAACTAGTATACGCCTAAAAGGAGCGCAGCAATTTGATCCACCATAGGTCAAACCCTGGCAAAAATAATTCCTAAGGTCATCTGGGCCCTTTTTAGACCTATCAGAACAAAGATGATACCATGATACCAGCGCACCTTAGCGTGTGCACGCTTTTTGGCCTAATGGTATGTTTTGACGTGTTTGCACTCCAAAACTCGCGACAAGACCAGCTGAAAAGTCACGTTACTTTTGGACCCATGCTCAGCTGAATCTCGAACTTCGCCCCAGATGCTGTAACTACCCTTCACGCCAAATCACCTGATAGTCAGTTTATGCAAACGTGGCCGGCTCTCATTCAACTCACAGGACTGTCTCATCTTGCGCTTAGTCGCCTTGAGGATGACATCAACCTCGTTCGGTGGCCCTAATTCCGGGCTTCAAATCGGCCATAACCACGGCACGATCGAGGCGCAGTTCCCAGTTACAGCGGGTACGTGTAACGTCTAGCAGAGCCTCAGGGTACCCTCACCCTGGCAGAGTAATAATAATTAACATGTAAGGACGCTAAAGGGCGATCAGAAGTATATAACACGCAGGGTGGGGCTGTCTTCACTGGCAATCTTACCGCAAACCGTGACATCAACATTCGTACGAGCCCCAAGTTCAAGAGCGTGGCTGGCCAGACTCCGCCCGTCCTAACCGCTTAAATTGTCTAGACAACACCGCTACTGTCAGAACATGTGCCCACTCTCTCTATAAATCTCTCTTCAGTTCATCCGACCTCTTCACCCAGGTCAGAAATGAGCTGGGCCTTCTCGTTTCTGTCCTGAACGTGACCGAAGAATACACACCAAGGTTTCAACCAGACGATCCAAAACTATCTGAGCTGAACGATGCGCGCGATAAATGCCACCATGCACTATATGAACTTTCGCAATTTAAGGACCACTTTGATAATGTCAGTCCTCAAACTCAGGTCGCCTGGGAACGAAGTGACTGGGGTGGAACAGAACTGTTGGACATAAGATCCAAGCTTACATTATACATCCAAATGCTAAATGCGTTAAATTCTAGCATTTCACGGTATGACCTTCAACTCCAATCCCAATGTGCTCAGATATTTACTGGCACTCTACCAGTTCGTCCATTGAAAACGTTGAAAGAATGTTGAAGATAATTATCAGCGATATCCGCAGCGGGAAACGTGAATCCGCAGCCATGTCAAGCGATTCGACTGGCTCGCTCACGGTCGACGAGAGAGTAGGCTGGAGACAGCTACGAAAAGAATTGCAAAGCACTGGTATCACTCCCGAAATCTTTGCCCAACACCGTAGTTTTATTCTCGACACCCTGCAAACTCTCTTTACAGAGAACGAGAGTGAGGATTGCTCCATTGACTTTGCGACGTCAGACGTGGCTCTGGAAGAGATGCCATCAGAGAGACTTCCTGAGGCTATAGAAGGTGCTTCCAGAATGGCAGTTGGGGAAGCACTCCCAGCATCCTCTGCTGTCACAGCGGCAAATTTGGAAAAGGAGAATGAGAAACCTGGTCGAATGGCCCGAGTGCTCCATATAATTACTAGCCTCATTACCAATTCTGGTGAAAAATTCGAATCCAGGCATGACTCCTGTGAGCATAAAACATCAACAGGATGCCAGCTGGCTTTTACGGGGCTCTGTTGCGCGTGCGCCGATCAAAGACCTATCTCACTGTACGAAATTTACGTCGATGGTAGAGGTTTAATCCAAACTTCAAAAAGGTCGCTACACTATTGTCCGTCATGTAAAGATTACTGGCGCAGGCACAGGATGGTGGATACTCGCAGAGTGTGGAGATGGTGGTAGCATGAAGAACCTAAGGAAGAAGTTATCTAGCTGTGGCTTCCAACCAGTTCACCCTCTCCGCCTGAAGTAGTCAGGATAATTAATTTGTTTCCAAGAAATGGTAGTGGTGTAGGCCCTGGTGGTAAACGAATATAGAGGAGAAAGTCGTGTATCAAAATGAATAGAGCAGGACAGCAAAGGAGACTGTGTAGGAGCTGGACTTCAAAAATTATGTGATGGGTAGTAGTGAATATTACTTAACCATCTTGGCAAGTGCCATTCTTCAGTTCTAGCAGACTGAGTAGTATAGAAAGCAAATTTTCTATCACTTGGTAGATTCTTCGAGGGAGAGATCAGTTTCGAGTCCCCTCCTTCACGCCTTGCGGAGTGATTATTTGGCTTCTCCACGCTTTCCCACCGGACAGGCCCCACGCCCTCCACTCTGAAGCAACTTGCGGGGATCTGATGGGGAAATCATGATGATTTGTTAGCGAAGCCGAAGGAAAATCAAAGTCAAAGAATTAACTATCGAACTCGATCTCTCGTTTCTGAAATCGTGTGGGGCCATTTCGGGCATGTTTTGACAAGTTCAAGTTCAAACTTTGCATTGATCTAGAGACAACGTTGTGCTTCTACAATCAAGAAAAAAAGGCGTGTCGGGTAGTTTTGAATCCACAGCGAGCTTGAATTTTTAGAATCCCCGAAACTCATTATTTCCAAAGATTCCCAACTTGAACACCTGCAGGTCACCTGGGCACCTGGGCAGTTTAGATGTATTCCGACCTCAGATCATGCCAGTCGCCCGCCATCTGCCCAGGTGGGCAGCCCTGGAGCGGGCGTCGGAATTCATTTGGCTTCGGATTGCTCCACATTATTCGGAAATTCCAACGTTTGAAAATAGGAATATATATCCGACTCCTGAGTTGATTTGCTCAAGTGGTCTCCCGAGGTCAACCTCCAGGGCTATTTCAGGTTAGGCTGGATGATCGACAGCTAAGAATAATAAGAGGGTCCATAATGCCTTACGTAATCCCACGCATTTGCGGGCGCGTCATGTGCGGATCTTCAAGAAACCGAGGTCATCAACTCCAGGGCCAGGCTAGTTGACCGCAATGGTCTGATCGAGCTGTTTTCCAGTTGAATTGCTTCGCTCAACACCTCATGGTGTCTGTGCCCGAACTTGCTAGTCAATGCCGTCGCGACGCACGCACACAAAGTCCCGCAAGGGCTGCTTGGAATGTAAAAGGAGACACGTCAAGGTGGGTAAAGCTTCCACATAGTCTTGGACGAGCAAGGACCGTGACTGTGCAGCTCGGACTGTCAATCGATACATCTTCCCTTCTGCTACTTTTGGGAAATACTGTTCCAGTCCAAGTGTTTCATCCATCTGACTCAATTCATAGTGCGATGAAGATCTTCCCAAGTGCACACTGTGCAAGAGACGAGGACTAGAGTGCAGCTATCCGCCCTCGCAGGGTGATCATGAAAGCTCTCAAGGATCTCCTTTGGAACGGGATGACTCCGAGGCCGGAGGTCGGGCTCCTGGTGATCTTCCAATGCCCACGCGCATGCTAGAGATGAAACTTATGCATCACTACATGACGTCTACCTACCGAACATTGTCCCAAGACGGGCTTTCGGCTCATCATTTGTCAATTTCTATCCCACAAATGGCAACGGAATTTCCATTCTTATTGGACACCATCCTCGCTTTGTCTGCGTTGCACTTGGCCTCGCTGGAAGCCGATAATCGTCTCAAATGGTTAGACGCCGCCGTGCGTTATCAGAGCCAAGCTTGTGCTGGCCTCGGCAAGATTCTACCGGAGATCACTTTGCAACAATATGAGCCTGCCTTTGTATCCTCCGTCTTTATTATAATTTTTGCGACCGGTTTCCATTCAATATCTGCTGAAAACACACCCGCGGATCCATTCTCGCCAGTCATCGAAGTTCGCACGTTGCTCAATGGCGCCTCCATGCTTTTTAACCGGTTCAACGAAGTTGGAGCAGATGGATCACTCGATGGCTGGCTTTGCATCCCGGACGCTGTAGAGGCTCTATGGCAGCCAAATAAGTAAGTTCTGATATTTCTATTTGTCTGGGGCTTCTTACTGACCCTGAAATTAGTAATAATTCGACGCCTGAGATCGGTGAAAAACTGTTCAATTTACACAAGTATGTCGCATTTCTAACCAGCAATCAAAATTATAGACGATATTAATCGAAGAATAGGGATTTGATGGCGTCCATAGAGCGGTTGAAAGTCAAAATAGATTCGGAGCAAAGACCACATCAAGCAGTCTACAAGGCCACATGGGAACTATTACATTATGCGATCGGGCCTTGGCCAAAGATCGGTGCGCAAGGTGGACCTATCGCGTGGCCTCTTTTCATCACCGACCAGTTTCTTTCATTGCTACAAGAAGGCAACTGGTTGGCAAAGATTCTTTTTCTGCACTGGAGTTTGGCTATGCGCTTACTGTGTAATCGCTGGTATGTCCGTGATTGGGGTCGGCAATTAGTCCTAGCCACATTGGACCCGTTGGAGGAGATACCGGCTATCTGGGCGGATGACATAGCTTGGATAAAAAAGGCGGCGGAGATCGATGAATAGACCACGGGGCCCCTCGTGAATAATTGAACTACCTCATATCATGTTACCACATGGATTGGCAGATTTTTCGTTGGCGTTGACACTCCGAGGATTCACATAGAATTTCACCCTTATACACTTGAGCCGGGTGTTAGCTTCGACAGGATGAGACCTTTTCCACTCAGACATAACATCGCCCTTCTTCAAGTCAGACCCTTGGGCCAGGCCCAACTTCAGTGCAAATTTTCCATTCTTATGCAATCGACGGATGACGACGCGATGGATAGCCATTGCACTGCATAACTACTCGTCATATCTACCATCGCTACCGCACTCACAAACTCGGAGTCCGCTGGGAATGGAACCGCTATTGAACTCTCGAAAATGAAAATGGTGAAATGGCGAGCTTCTTCCGTCACCACTAGCTCTCGGGGGTCGGGTCGGAGAGAGAGAGGGTTCGTATCCCAGTCTTTTGATATATTACAGGCAAGAATTTCTTTCCTACTATCTAGAATGAACTTGGGATCCATTGAGAGTTGTATAATTTGGAAACCGCTTATCTAATTGTCTATAGTACGATTCAAAGATCATTCCCCATATTAACATGGACAGCCTTGATCTGGGTATAAGCCTCCAACCCTGCGGGACCCAGCTCTCGGCCCACACCACTGGACTTATAGCCACCAAACGGAACACGGTGATCACTGTCTTGGCTGCTGTTCAACCAAACGGTTCCTGCTTCAATTTCAGCAGCGACCCGGTGTCCACGTCGCAGATTCTGGGTAAACACAGCGGCCCCCAAGCCGTACAGAGTATCATTGGCATATTCAATTGCATCTTCTTCCGTATCAAACGGCAGAAGGCAGCCAACCGGACCGAAGATTTCGTCACGGTAGATCTTCATCGACGGCTTAACATTGGAGAATGTAGTTGGCTGCACGAAAAAGCCTTTACCATCTGGTGTTGGGTAAGCTTCCCCACCAGTTTCAATGGTTGCCCCCTCTGATTTTCCAAGGCCAATATAGTGCAGCACGCGGTCGTATTGAGCACGAGTAACCTGCGGACCTTGGAAAGTGGACGGTTCCCACTGACTGCCAACAACAGAAGCTGTCCGGACGCGTTCTTTGAAAAGAGCGAGGAACTTGTCATAAATGGTGCGTTGAACGAAAATTCTCGAAGTTGCAGTGCAGATCTGCCCCTGGTTGGCCATAATTCCAATGTGCGACCATTTAACAGCCTGGTCCAGGTCTGCGTCGTCGAAAACAATCAGGGGCGACTTTCCACCGGTTTCGAGGATGACCTCCTTCAAAGCTGGAGCAGCGGCCTTCATAATTTGAGCCCCCCGTGGTGGTTGATCCTGTAAAGGCCAGCTTGTCCACCAATGGATGCTGAGTGAGAGCAGCGCCTGCCTCCTGGCCATAGCCATTGATGATATTGACAACACCTGGAGGGAAGCCAGCCTCCTTTATGAGTGTAGCGAGAACCAGGATACTCAGAGGTGTTTGCTCAGCCGCCTTGATAACCACAGTGTTTCCACAAGCCAAGGCTGGTCCAAGCTTCCAAGCAGCCATTGCCAGAGGGAAATTCCACGGAATAATTTGGCCAATCACGCCGTAAGGTTGACGAAGAGTATAGGCGAATTTTTCAGGGGATGTCTCAATAGTTTGACCGAAGCTCTTGTCGGCCCAGCCACCAAAGTATCGGAATGTACCAATCGAATCAGGGAGGTCGTCTTCCATAGCAAGCTCATAAGTTTTCCCTATAAGATGGAAAAATTAAGCATTATTGATCGGAGAGCTTGTTGATTTTTCAGTACTCACCATTGTCCCACGCGTCGATACTGGCAAACAGTTCTTTCTTTTCTTCGATCAACTCCGAAAGGCGCACGAGCAGTCTACCTCGATCAGTCGCTGACAACTTCTTCCAGGTAGGTGCTTTGAATGCTGCTCGGGCTGCTCGAACAGCTCGATCAACATCTTCAGCGCTCGCTGCGTGCACTGAAGCAATTTCCTTCTCCGTACTAAAATCGGTAAAAAGATGTTAGATAAATTTCCATAAGGCATCTGATCGCATTCTGGGACAGGAGTTGACTTACGCAGGGTCTAGAGATGAGATGGTCTCTCCCTTTGATCCCTTACAAAACTCATTGTTGATGAAAATTCCGGTCGGCTGTCGGTATTTATGGCCATTTGGCGTGGTGATGTCCAAGAAAAGGTCCGACATGGTTTGAGCAAGTGCTGAATTTAACAAACAGAATTCAGATTGTTATTCAAACACGGAGAAACCTGAAAGCTGACCGGGGATACTGTCTGATATACAATAAAATCCGATGATATGTTTCGGAAAGGCCTTCTCCCTTTTGCACATAGTTTACAGGTTTATCTGATCCAAGTGGGATACGTTTTGAAAAGGCAGGGCGGTCCGACGGGGACATTGACGTGAGCTAAACGCCTTTCTACCCCTCCATCGGGCAATTATTCAATTATTTTCTCATGTTCCTGAAACGGACAAGGAGAATCCAAGCAAAGAGACAAGTTTCTTTCCTATAATTACTGTCTGTAGGTATTAGTTACCTTCCTTTTCCGTATGAAAGTGGGGATATTCTGCGGGGGGATGGGTCCACGCAGTGTTTAGAAGGCTTGTTGCTTGCCTAAATCGTTACCAACGCCTCTGACCTGCAGGAGAGCTCATCACGAAGATCAGGAGTTTTGGAGATTCTTCGGAGCCATGCGATAATGAGGCGATTATATCGAGGAGGCAAGATGGGGGTTGGCAAATCCGCAAATACTTCATAAAGACCTCAAGTTGCACCAGATTTGTCCATCACACTCGAACAGTATCTACAAAGCTTCCCATCTTCTCATCTTCTCAATCTTCATTTTACAGAATCATAATCCCGGATCTACTATAACCATGCCTTCCAAGTTCCAGGGTGTCCTCGCTGCATTGATCACTCCTCTGACGGATGATGGTAGCAAGATCGATGAGGCTCGCCTCAAGACGCACATCGACAACCTTTTCGATGCCGGCATCCACGGAATTGTCCCTGGTGGTAGCACTGGAGAGTTTACCACTCTGACAACTGCCGAGCGAAAGCAGCTGGCTGAGCTCTCTCTGAAGTATACTGCTGGACGAGGATCGGTCATGATTGGAGTCGGCAGCACCAAGACCGACGAGGCGATTGAACTCGCTGTGCATGCGGCACAGATTGGGGTTGACGCCGTCATGGTTGTCCCACCCTACTACGATCCTCTTAGCTATGAGCAACTCCAGGAATTCCTCCTCGAGATTCACCAGGCTTCTAAGCTCCCTATTGTCTACTACAACATCCCCTCTATTAGTGGTTTGACACTCTCGCCTGAGCAAATTGCTGGTCTGTCGGAGGTCGGTGTCGAGTCGTTCAAAGACACTTCTGGCAATGCGCCCGACTTCACTGAACTTGTCTTTGGACACGGTGACAAGATCTCGGCTATGAACGGTTGGGATACTCTTACCTTCTACGGTATGGCTGCCGGTAACGAGGCGATTATTTGGGGTGCTGCCAACTTCATTCCTGAGCTTGCCGTCGAAATGTGGAATGCAATCGTTGTGAACAATGATATTCGCAAGGGTCGCGAGATTTGGGCTCGCGCTTGGCCCATTTGCAAGTTCCTTGAGGCCCACAACTATTCATCCGGCGTGCGGGCCGGAGTTGAGTTGAGAGGTCAAAAGACCGGAGGTTACCGGAAGCCAGTTGCTCCTCTTAAGCAACAGTACATTGCTGAGCTTCAGCAGTTGCTGCGCAATGCCCAAGTCAAGAGTGTTTAAGTTCTGCTGAGAATAGCGGAATAAATCAGATTAAGAATAGACACACATTGAATTTTACCTCATCCTTACACCTGGGTATCGTTTCATCTCTGCCAGTAGCTACCTAGTAGGTAGTAGATTTATCTTGCCGGTTCTCTTAAAATTATTTGAAATGTTATATCTAGTAGTAACTCAAAATAAGCAGCACTCGAGCGTGAAAGCATACAGTCAAAAGTCTCCTTATTGACAAAAGTAAATAGACGCATTCAAGCTCGAGCTCCGCCAGTCATGAGATTGAATTCAAAATAGCAATAGCCATTGGAGATTTTGCTTCGAGTAATCTGTCCAACTAAATGCAGCAGGTGATGGCTGCGACCCCGGTGAGTTCCCAGTTCCACAGTAGCTATCTCTGATTTTCCACACCTCCTCCATGATCCCCGCTGCGGACGAATATGACGAAAAGCCACTTTGATTATTTGCTTTTCTGAGCCAAAACAGAATGGCGTGGCGGTCCTCGCTAGAGATTGCCTCACAACCCGCCACAAATGCAGGCCATGCAGTACCGGGCCCAAACAAGGATTGTTTTTCTAATTCAGTATCCCAGCTCCTCAACTCAGAAACGATGCTCTTCACGTAGCCTTGAAGAATGCAAGGATTGACTGTCCGCACTCTCCTATAAAAGAAAATCACTAGCGCGTAATTTAGAGCCCTCAACATGTGAGCTTTCGGGTCCCCGCCCGAAGGTGGCAGTTCTCGCTGAGTGAAAACGCAAATCATGTTTTCAAGACACAGAGATCGTCTTTGCAGCGCGATTTGACGCTTTGGAGACACTATACAGCTTCCAGAATTAATTTGGTCCAACACGTTCGCTAGGCGAGTGGTCTGCGATAGGAGGCCTAGCCATGTCTCGGACACTCCGTTTACCATAGTATGCAGTTCTTCTGGATGATTTCGTGAATCCACAAGGTGGATGTCACCAAGACCTGCTTGATCATCCTTTGGATCGTCAATGTTGAGATCATTATCTGATTCTGTTTCACAAACGCGAAGGAAGTCATCGACGCCCCGGTTCTGCTCAAATTTCGGCACAGCAGCCCGTCGTTGATTCAGTCTGGTCAGCTCTTCCATGTCTAAACGACGAGACCAAAGAGCTTTAATAGGTGCTGTGTGGGCGATCTCTTGGTGCAATACTAGAGTACTCTCAGTCAAGATGCGGATCCAGGTATACATATAGTGTAGGAGTCTCGCTCGACGTGAGACGCGAGGCTTCACAAGGCCCCGCAATCGAATTAAGTATTCCATATTAACCATATGACATCTGCATTCTCTCTGATGGTTTGAAATTATCTTACGTGGAATGTCAGTTGATGTTACAAAACTAGGATTGGTCGGAACACTTACCGTAAATGTGGTCAAACTTATCATTGCCATGAGTTGCTCTTTATATTTTGCCTTTTGGGAACCCTCGAGCTCAAGTTCGAGTGAGTTATTTACATGAGCCTTTCCTTCTTCATAGGCGGCTGCTGATAATCGGGTCCAGTATTGGTCAGGCCTATCTGGAATGAGGTTGGGGTTCGCAGACAGGTGGAAGGCTGCGCATGCAAGTATACCGTACAAATTTGCTAGGCTGGCATGTTTTATAGTGGCATGCCCCATATAAGTGATTTGGTCTAGCGTGACCATGGCGTGAGGGATGTTAAGAATATGCCATGGTGACTTTTGAGTCATAGGGAGCCAGATTATTCGGGTAACGACATTTTCATTAAAATGCCTCAAGAGAAGTGGTCCCTCCCCGAGTATATCCAGACCTTCCAAGTCATTCTGTGTCAATTCTGTGTCGAGGCCATCAAGCTGAGGTTCAAGAAGAGGAAGGTCTGTGCTGCTTTGTGGAGTGACAATTGTGCCGTGTTCTTCAAATCCCGATATGGGCGACGTGAGCGTCCAGCCAACCGGTGGAGGATCTAGATTGAAAATATCGGCCCATTGAAGGTATGTGTCTAAGTTTCCGAGCATTTCCTCGGCAGTTGATAACCCCGGGAAAGGAACATCAGTGAGATCAGACACGCTCTTTGTGTTTTCGAGCTCTAAACCTGCTGCTTCATGAAACTCTTTGCGTGTTTCTTGATCGGGTGCCGCAATATGCTTTGTCAGGTTCAGGACGCCAAAAGGTCCGATCGAAATTCCCCGATTGGTTTGGTCGTCAAGGTCTCGGGAGGTATTATCGATTTCCATTAGACAGTGGTCGACGGGGAACGACGAGAGTTGATCCACAAGGGCGGAGCTCATTGTCTCTCTTTCCTTTTCTATTTTCCCGACATTCGATCAGTAAGACTTTCGACATTGATGCCATTCGATCGAGCTTTAAAGATTCACAAACCTGTATATAGATGCCGGCGAACATTCGGGCCTGAACTTGATCCAAATGTTGTTCCATCTGCATCCGTAGATGATGTGCCAACCCAATGGATTTCCGACACGAGTCCTTCGCAACCGAGGCCTGCACCAATGCAGGCTTTGCAAATTGGTCGCGTTTGGTCGCATCTGACGTGTCGTTTCCGGCATGTTTTGCATGCCCCAAGAGCATGCGCCCGGCGATTGAGGGGTTTTGTTTTCGTATTTCGCTCGTTCTTCATTTTATTTATTCAATTTCAGAGGATGCTGGGCTTTCTCTGAACAGTAGAAGCTGCTGTATATTCGAGCAGACTATACATCTTGGTGAGCGGGGTTGACGTAGCGCTATCCGGAATGGCCTTCCTGGAGGTTTAACCTTAGCTGGTGCGGGGAAGTGATGGATGTTATCGCCAACGCGGGGAGAGTCCCGAACCTGAACTTCAAATAGTACAGTTATTGTCAACGAATCAACGAAATGAATTGTGATGCTCGCTCTGCCCATGGCAAAGCAAATATACCCAGCTCTTAAATTCAGCAGTGCTTTATCTTATCTCACGATTTGGACGACATTTAGTGCCAAACAGCATGTCACCTACGAAACGAAGAACTGATGAAAGATCATTCTCGTCCACGTAGAGATACTAAAAGTTTCGTTTGCCAATTGCTAATCCTCCAACATTGGATAGAAACAGAAAGATGGAGAGTTGTCATCAGAGCGCTGAATGAGCTACTCGTGAAGAACATTGGTCGCAATGGAAAAGGAATGAGGATGGCTAAGGATCGGATGGACCTACTCCAAGGTCTTTTTATATGGCTTTCATTCTGGGCGTAACTACTACGTTTTGTTTGGTTGTTCATTACAGCAATGCAACTTGCTCCATTGATATGTACCTACGTTAGATCACTGTGAGGAAGATGATTAGCCGATATGCGTGACGCATCCTCCCCGGAATTGCCTTCCTATTAGACTAGAAACAGTCATCAACCAGTGCTGAGACGCCTTCCAAAGACAATTCCTAACCCCGCAGAAGCCTTTTGTCGCAGAATTCCCCACCTCAATGCGCCTATTGGCCGAACTTGGTAAGATTAAGAAATTATGGGTTATCAACACAATGGAAGAAAGAGATGAAAAGGAAGGCTATTACAGCATGTCTGTTTATGAACCAGTCTTGAAAATCCCTTGATAGTAAACTAATTTGTCATCTTTCCTCTACGAATTCATCTATCAATACTTGCTATTATTTGTTCCCCATACAGATATGGCGGAACGAAAGATCACGCTCGAAGAGCTCAGTCAGCATGTCAAAGACACCGACACCTGGATGGCAATAAATGGCACAGTGTGGGATATTACTGGCTTTGCTGAACTTCACCCAGGCGGTCCAGATATCATTCAAGAGTATTCCGGTGGCGATGCAAGTGGGCCCTACAACAGTGTTCATAGCCTCAAACTTGCAGAAAAGAACTTTGAGGCAAGCCAAAAGATCGGGGTATTGGAAGCCAAATGCGTCGACGACAAGCTGCCAACAGAAAATACGAGGAATCCCAGATTGGAAAAGGATCTCCCAGATCTGGATGAAATAATCAACCTCAATGATCTCGAAGTGGTAGCAGAGAAATGCCTCAATGAAAGGTCCTGGGCATACTTTTCGGGCGCTTCAAACGATAGCTTCACAAAACTCGACAATTCCGAATACTATCGCAAGATACTCCTTCGCCCTCGAGTTGCTAGAGCTGTTCGGGATGTCAGCACTAGAACCAAAATTCTAGACGATGTATATGATACCCCGATCTTTAATGCACCCGCATCTCTCATGATGCTTGCTCATCCAGACGCTGAGATGGCTCTTGCCAAAGGGCTTGCAGCAAGCGGAAGCACCATCATAATCCCTACTTTATCCTCTTTTTCCACTGAAGAGATCATTGAAGCACTGCCCGCGGATCATCCATTCTACTTCCAGCTTTACGTGAGTCCCAATGAAGCTGCCCTGGAGAAGATGATCGACACACTTTGCAAAATTCGACCGAAAGCAATCATGATCACTGCGGATCTACCAGTCTTCAGCAAAAGAGAAGCAAACGAACGATACGAAAAACGAATAGCAAAACAAAAGTTGGCTTCTGGGCCCAAGGTAACAACAGCAACCGAAAAACAAGGCGGACAAGCTCGGTCTGCTGGAGTCTCGATTGACCCTAATCTTTGCTGGAGCAATATCAAGTGCCTTAAGGAAAGAACGGGCATCCCAATATTCATAAAAGGAATTCAGTGTGCAGAAGATGCCATGCAAGCGTGGAAAATTGGTTGCAAGGGGATCTACATCTCTAATCACGGCGGGCGAGCTGCCGACACAGCACAACCTACGATACTCACTCTTGCCGAAATTCGACTGCATTACCCCTTTATTTTAGAAGAAATGGAGGTAATCATAGACGGGGGCGTACGAAGAGGTTCGGATGTCTTGAAAGCTATTTGCCTTGGAGCGAAGGGTGTTTGTCTCGGTCGGCCCTTTTTCTATGCCTTGATGTATGGGGAGGAGGGAGTTCGATACATTATGCAGTGTGAGTTTAAGCGACCACCTGCGCATTTTTACTTTGTTCAAGTCTTCAAGCCCAGACTAACCGCTGAACTTTTAGTGTTGAAAGACGAGCTTGAGACCGCAATGCAGCTATGTGGTATCACTAGTTTATCCGAGGCTCATATTGGGCTTCTCAACACGAGGGCGCTATACCGTGATGTTGAGACTCCTGGAAGCCTCCCTAGCAAGTTATAGGCTATTTTCATCATTCCTTTATTTGTCAGTTGATTCTGATTTATTTATTCATTTTCTTGTCTTCTCGGATCTGGTGCCGAGTTTCCGAATAACCATTCCATGGGTGTTTTCCAAGTAGCCCTTCGTTTCAAGTTCTTTCGTCCGCACAGGCGCTACGGGTAGTTTTCTGGCTTCCATCATTCCAGCTCGATTATCCAGATAGGTTATTAGTCTCCGCGAGCGGAATATCCAAGCTTTTATCGGCCAAGTCAGCCGATCCCCGCAACCAAAACCACGAGGCACGGCTGCTGTCAAGGCACTCGGGCCGATTGGCTTGGATGACCGACACTAACGTAGTACCGCGTCCCAGATCCAAAGAAGCCAACAGTCAAGACAAAGGAACGATGTCACGTTATAATCGAATGACGAAACAGATGCCACGCGACTCCAAATCTCGGTGTTTGACATTAATAATTTGCTTCGGGCGAAAGTTTACCTCGGGCAGTGCTTATCAGCGGGGTTCAATCCGACTTCCCAACCCTTGGGAACTCTACAAGTCACCCGCCAGGAACTCAAAAATGGCGGTGCTTTGGCTCTTAGATAAGGGCTATTGTGCCTTGATATCGCTATGGAGATCGGATTGCTCATTTTGACCATGACCCAGAGACTCTCGGATATTGCGTGAGTCGGACCAAGATAATTTACTATCCAGGGGTCACCGTGCTAGCGGCTTGTTTCGTTCTAGCTTCTAACGTGCTGCCATGCAGCAAGGGATGCGACGCACCCTTCAATATGCGGAGAAGAATGCAGGTCCATCCTTTCCCTAATGAGCGAATATTTTCTCCAATCTAAACCCACTTTCTTCAGCCCCCTCTTACATCTTCGGAGAGGAACTAATAAACTAATATATGACACCATCGATAGCCCCTACTAGAATCCTCTCCCTTCATCACCCATCCTAACTCCTTTTCCGAGTCGTCGAAAACCCGGTGGAAAACAACCATAAACATGTTCAAACCCGCGAGGTTGGGCCTATTGGTCATTCTGTCTTTGATAATTCTCGTCATTCACTTGCCGGGAGCGTTAACGACGCCATTGGAGTTTGCCCCGCGTTCCTCAGATCAAAATTTTGCGCCCGGAAAACGGGGGGCCGTTGCAAGTGAGAGCTCGATTTGCTCAGGACATGGTACCAAGATTCTGGAGTTGGGCGGCAATGCTGCCGATGCTGTTAGTCTCCCTTCGAAATGTGCGATTTAAAGGGTTTCCGAATGCTAACAAAGAGATTAGCTCATTGCGACTGAATTTTGCGTCGGAGTAATCGGTAAATCGTTCTCATTTTGAATCAAGATGGCGACATTTCTAATCTGAATTGTAGGAATGTATCATAGTGGAATCGGCGGGGGCGGTTTCATGCTCGTCCGATCACCCAACGGCACTGATGAATTTATCGACTTCCGTGAGACAGCCCCAGCGGCGGCCTTCCAGGATATGTACAACAACAATACAGATGCATCTCTTTACGGTGGACTTGCAAGGTGCGCAAATTGAATACAATTCAAATAGGAGGCTCTATCTAACATGCAACCCAGCGGTGTTCCCGGCGAGGTTCGGGCTCTAGAGCATCTGCATAAGAAATATGGCTCTCTGCCTTGGTCAACATTAGTGAAGCCTGCGATTCATACCGCACGGGATGGGTTCCCTGTGACTCCTGATTTGGTCAAATATATGGATTCTGCAGTCGGTACTGGGGAAGATTTCTTGTCTAAAGACCCCAATTGGGCCCTCGATTTTGCCCCAAACGGGACCCGTCTGGGCTTGGGAGACATCATCACCCGCAAGCGTTACGCTGATACACTGGAAGCCATTGCGGAGGGTGGAGCTGCTGCATTCTACTCAGGTGCAATTGCGGAGAATACCATCAAAGCGTTACAGGCATCAAATGGTACCATGACACTTGAAGACTTGAAAAATTATTCGATTGAAATTCGCAATACGTCCCAGATTGACTATCGTGGTTATACTGTGACTAGTACCACCACACCCTCAAGTGGATCTGTTGCATTGAGCATTCTCAAGATTTTGGACACATACCGTGGGCTTTTTGCCGATGAGAAGGCATTGAACCTAAGCACTCACCGTTTGGACGAGGCCATTCGCTTTGGATATGGCGAGGTACTTTTGTTTGTGTATTCTCTCTGAATGAACATAGGTGCTGACATTTGGTATAGAGAACCGAGCTTGGTGACCCTTCATTCGTAAAGGGTATGGCAGAGTATGAACGCGATATGTTGAAAAAGTCAACGATTGCCGATATTCGTTCTAAAATTTCGGATACACATACCCTGAACGTTTCCGCATATGATCCGTCGGGTCTAGAAAGTTTAGATACGTATGTGGGAGCTCTAAAGGTTTTAAGTCGAACGCTTCATGAACTAATCATCTATCAGACCAGGAACTTCCCACATCGCAACAGCAGACCATACTGGCATGGCAATCTCAGTCATTACTACTATCAACACTCTGTTCGGAAGCCAGGTACTTGTCCCCGAGACTGGTATCATTATGAACAATGAGATGAACGGTACATTATTATGAGGTCTCATAAATTTGCAAATCCTTATCTTACTCTTTCACCCAGATTTCTCAATTCCCGGGTCTTCAAATTCTTTTGGGTACATCCCATCCGAGGCGAACTATATCCGACCGGGCAAGCGGCCCCTCTCTTCTATCACACCTGCCATCGTGACAAAGAAGGATGGATCACTTGTGCTAGTTACTGGCAGCGCTGGTGGCAGCCGAATTATCACCGCCACTGTCCAGAACATCATTCATGTCATCGACCAAGGGCTATCAGCTGCTGAGGCGCTCGCCAAGCCACGTCTACATGATCAGCTGGTGCCCAACCAGGTCACATTTGAGTATGCTTACGACAACTCAACTGTTGCTTTTATGAAAAGTCTTGGTCATAATGTCTCATGGGTGGCTCCTGGACAGAGCACAGCACAGGCCATCCGGGTCTTACCCAATGGCACATTCGATGCCGCCGGAGAGCCTCGACAGCTTTCCTCGGCTGGTTACTCCGTGCCATAAGACGGAGCGGGTTTCTCTGCCCGTATATTAGCTCTCTGTGATGTGCACATATAGCCATTTCAAGGTTCAAGTTCCGAGTTACTGGCACCTAGGTAGATGTCAAGTTTACGTGAACATATCCTTTGATGCTCAGTGCAGCCCTGGGGAATATATAAATATTAGTGAATACTCCTACTAGTGATAGATGATGCCCACATGAATTATACCACTTTACCCATATCATTGACCTTTTTCCCACTCTAGTAAACCCTAGTGATAATTCCTCGCATTTGTTTACTTTTCATAGTTCCCCAGATGGGATACCCATGGACCATTAAGGTTACCCTGGGCAAGATTACCCTAGGATAGCCCCGATAAGGCTGATCGATAAGCTCTTATCGCTTATCAACGTCCAAAATGGCCCAACCAAATCGGCGCGCTTCAATTTAGAACAGGTTCATTCCATTCCATTCATTCACTCATTGCATTCACTCCAGCTGGCTGGGTCGTTTTGGCCGCAGTATTGAATTTGAAGTACTGGTGTTTGCTCATCCTCTCTCCTTCATCACTCCCTCCATTCGCCAACATCCTTACTTCCCACAAACACACCACGTCCTACCAGTGACCTCTTTCCCCGTGACGCAACCAAGCAACATCTCGCGCCGTGCATCCCACCGGAAAGGCTTTGGCGTTTCCAGACCTTCTGTACGTGTTATTTGCCCCAATCATTTGAATCCGAGTATAAAAAAGGCGGGGGCTCTTTTTCACATGACGATTTGACTAACAAATGTGCGCTGAGTAGTCAACCTTGAACCGACCCCAGCTCTCACTTCGACACATACACCCACATGCCTCTCCCACTACATGCTTGCTTCTACATGAAACTTGAACCGCAGAATGGTGGTCGCTTCGGGCAAAGGCAATGTCTCCGTCGTCGTCCCGACACCCACCGTTGACATCGAGAACTACCGCCCGTTCGAAGCAGCGGTCAATCACACAATCAACCGAATCCTTTCCGACAAGTCGATTATGGAAGAGTTCAAGGAAAAGGACTGGCCTGTCTACACAGGTTCAGAGTCCCATGACCTTTCGCCAATCATTCTCTCCTCCCCAAGCACGAGTCTCGCCCAGCATTCACCTTCCGCACGAGCTAGCCCTCTCGACGTGAATAAAACTCGACTTCGCAAACGACCGACTGCGAGCCGGCACATCACAAGAGTTTACATGCCCGCCGAGAGCCATAATGAGAAGCATGTTTCCCCTGCCACTGCTGTGACAGCCTCCTCTCGCAGCGAGTCGAGTGATGGCCAAGAGAACCAGGATCGCGCGAGACACCCCAAAGTACCGAAAACGAAGAATAAGCGGCGACCTTTGTACGACCATGCGGAACCAAGCAACCAGCAAGACAGTGATCTGCAGGAGGAAGACGCCCTATTCTCTTCATTGGAAGTATTAAAGCGACACGACTTGATCAAATACATCGGGACACACCCACTCTTGAAATCCTCGTATCCTTTGAAGCGATCTGCCTGGCGAAGATACGTGAATGATGTACGCACTACGGCTACTTCGTTCGGACTTTCCAAGTCGCTTACAAACCGTTTGGTTCGCTATGTGCACAAGAATTACTTCTCAACGCCGGTTGGCCGTGATGCCGGCCCGTCAGAGCCAGATCCTACCGTTTGCGATGAGCAGATGGCAAATAGTGTATCTAAGGCGAAAACTGATAGACCCTCTCGCAAGAGATCTCGGCTTAGTTCTGAACATCCCAGGGCCAAGAGGGCCAAGACCCAGGTCGCCTCTCCTGATATCGGAGTTGCTCGAGACCGCGCGGTTGAGAATTTACCATTGCCGAGCGCATCTGTCTCGAACTGTTCTGAAATATCTTCCTCACAGACCCCGGAATTTAAAAAAGCTGTTACTTTCAAAAAGGCCGATATTGTCAAGGTTGCTTCTACTGTCGACGATGCTCCGACTTTTATCGATCTTACTTTCGACGATTCCTCCGCTGACGAAGCTGCTTCTACCGTTGTACATGTTCCTCCTGTTGAAGATGCTCCTACTTCTGCCCATGGCCTTCCTGTCGCTGATGCCGCTCCTGTTGACGATGTACCCTTCGTTGACAGTGCTTCCACTCTTGATAAGACTCTTCAAGGTGATGGTAGGCCTTCAGCTGCTGATGCTTCTTCTGTTGCTGATGCTCCTGTAGTTGATGATACGCCTATTGTTGATGATGCCTCTTTAGTTGCTGATCCTTCTTCAGTGGCCGATGATCCTACACTTGATGATACTCCTATTGTTGATGTTGCCACTGCTGTTGAGGATGTTTCAATTGTTGACAATGCTTCCACTCTTGATAAGACCCTCGAATGCGATGATAGGTCTTCTGTTGATGATATGCCTTCTGTTGCCGATATTCACACAGTCGATGATGCCCATATTGATGATGATGCCCCCACTGTTGGTGATTCTGCTGCGGGCAATGTTCATGGTGTTGAAGAAGCTTCAAAATCTCGGAAGAGCAAGTCTAGCGAGAAGAGGCATGTCGCGCAGTCTGCAGTATCGCCCCAAAACAAGACCCATGCATTAAGCGCTGCAGCTGGAATTGCTCGAAAAATACCGCCTCCGCAGCTCGAGTCCCAAATTACGAATGACCAACCGGTCGCGATGTCCAAAAAGGAAAGGAGGAAACAGAACAAACGAGAGAAACGAGCATCGCAGATTCAACAGGCGATTGATGTGCCTGGAACTAGCCACAGCATGCTGACCCATCGGTCCTCGAAGAAGATGATCCGTCGCCGAAGCTTGGTTTCTTCTGCGCTGTCTACCGATTTGAAGCGAAAAAGGGACAAGAAAAAAGAGAAGGCTCGGAAACGAAGAAAGTCCGAGCAACAGCAGACCAATGCAAATGTGGATACCGACATGGAAAGCCACGACCACCACCACACCCATGTGGCGGAGCCTGCGGAGCCTGCGGAGGTGTCTGCATCGCGTCCCCATACCCCCAAGCGACAGATTCTGCCATCTTACGATCAATCACAAATTTTGCAACCGAGCAGTGCTCACAAATCTCCGTTTGCAGTCCTATCGCCCGATCCCACACAATGGGAGATAGGAGAGATGGATTTTTGATTCCCAATGATTCGCCGCCAATGACCCCGAGCGATGAGGCGAAGTCAAAATATTTCCAACCGAAACCAAAACGATATTCCCAGCAGGCTACAAGACCCGAAATGCATGAACAGACGCTCCCGAACTCGACTCGGGAAATCTTGGCAGAGTTGAATCTGCCACTTGACTTTTTGTCTTCTGATTCTTCATTGAGCGATTTAGAAAGCGATACAGATGACGATGGATTTAATACACAACCACTCGTCGACGTGGCAACCTGCACAAACTTGAATTTCTCACCCCCTGACCCGATATTATCACCCAAGACTCCGACGAAAAACAATTGTTCACTGCTACAACCCGAAACCAATTCTTTTCTACTTCCGCCTGCCACTCCCAAATCGAAGTCCACTCGCCCCAAGATACCCAAAGTCTCACCCTACTTCCCGACTCTCCCAACAGAGTCAGAGTCATGTCTACCCTTTCCACCAATTGATGCCCCATATTTTGGCCTTGTACAAGAACAACTTGCCCATGAGCCCTTCAAGCTCCTCATCGCGACTATCTTTCTCAACCGCACCCGAGGGGAGTGGCATTGCCTGTCTTGTTCCAAGTCTTTGAGAAATACCCTACGATTGACGCCATGGCGAATGCATCGCCATCCGAACTTGTATCTATGATCCGGTGCCTTGGTTTCCAAAATCAACGTGCCCGAAAATGCATTGATCTTGCCCGAACGTGGCAAGCGCATCCACCTACCAAGGGGAAGCGATATCGCGAGCTACACTATCCTCGGAAACTGGATGGGCGAGATGTTGGACGTGACGAATGTATTGATGATGAAGATATGCGAGTTGCATGGGAGGTTGCCCACTTGCCCGGCGTTGGGGCCTATTCCCTGGACAGTTGGCGCATCTTCTGCCGGGATGAGTTGCGCAAGGTGGCTACCGACTGGCAAGGGACTGGGGCAACGACCTTCGGGTTTGTGCCCGAGTGGAAGTCTGTGCTGCCGCAGGATAAGGAGCTCCGGGCATATCTGACGTGGCTGTGGCTCAAGGAAGGGTGGGTTTGGGATCACCATACAGGGGACCTGGAACCAGCTAGTGAGAAGATACGCCGAGCAGCTGTGGATGGTGGCGTGGCTCATGAAGAAGATGGAAACTGGGTGCTGGAAACGTCGCCGGTCAAGAAAGCCACCAACGGATTGCATGCGGAGGACCAGGAGAGTCCTTGAAGGGGGAGATCAGCTGCCCGATAATACTTTGCTGTTAATGATACCCACATACGAAATTGCACAAATAGATTTCAATCTCTGGTCTGATCTAGTGAAGTAACAATATATTAACAGTAGAATGGTCACTGCCTTGGTAGTTTCCTGTATCAACTCAAGTTGAGAGATACTCGAGTTCAACCCAAGGCAAGGCTGCACATCACGTGCTCTCTATAGTCAGGTACGAAGAAGTACGGACGGCTGGTATTATTAATGGCGATCCATATAGGTAATATATAAATAGTCGAAATAGTAATAGATGGAATGCTCGTTAATCATCAATCCAATAAATAAGAGTACTCTTAGTACTACAACTACTAATCACGATTGTGTGTACTTGACAACCTAGGATGGTACCTAAGGTAGGACTCCGCTGACTCGGTGGGGCCACTTCCGATTCACCGCATCTTGTCTTGTGTTGACCCTCTGACACACCCGACATCACACCCAATCTACCTCCCGCGCATGAGCTTATTCCCATTGTCTATCATTCCCAGCTCATTCCTTTTTGATTTGCTCCTGCTTACCTACCCCCCGCGGAATGCCGGGGCTTTTCCCGACCTGTGATCGACAGCAACCGCTGAGCCCCCCGGGCAGTTGGCAGCCAGTGATATCTCACCTCTGCCCAACTTAAGCGCCAGGCAGCACATTATCGGTCACAAAAATAGCATCGCGCTGCCTTCCATCGGGCGAAGTATACTGCACGAGGCTGCTACGGAGTACGGAGTACTGAGAAAGTATATCGCCAGAGAGCAGAAAGGAAAGGACGGACTGCGCCCGATGAACTAGCGGAGACGGGGTCTTTTGAAGGGATCCACCTGTCTGCGGGCTACGAAGAGAAATTCGATTTGACCCCAGCCATGTTTTTTCCGGTGAGACCTAATCAACCTAAGAAGTCCAAATCCTCCAAATCCTCCATCGTCACCACCAAACAAGGCCTGAAGCGTCCGTCCCAAGGACGCTCCTCCCGGGTATCGTCGTCAACCAAGGATCCCCAGCCTGAACCACCGGCTGCCTCCTCCACTTCTTCGATCTCCCACACCGCACCACAACCACCCCGCAGGGCCTCGATGCCTGGCGTCGATACTGCCATCTCGGGCACCGCCTCGTTCTTAGAGTCGAGGTCAAGCCTGCCCTACCCAAACTTCTCCAAAGCTCATAGTAAGGAGGATGTCCGTACCGCCAATATTCCTACCCCGGACCCCACCGATGTGACCGAGCACGATCAAGATAATGGCAAGGCCAATGGAGCGGGTCACGCCCGTGCTGAGAACCCAAAAGCCCCTCCGAGTCCGCCCTTGACAGGTCTCAGTGACCAACCGACCTCTCGAAGGGGTAGTCCAGCCGTGGGTGAAGACGACAAGGCATCGGACAAGGATAAAGAAAAGGAAAAGACGAAGAAGAAAGCATCCAACATCAAAATCAGAGCCGAGGTCAACAGATCGTCGTCTAGTCTTCGTTCCAAGAGAGATGATGGAACAAAGTCAAGTAAGACGACTCGCGCAGAAACCCCCAAATCAAAGTCATCGTCGTCCAAACCCGAAAAGGAATCCTCGTCGACGCGAACAGTCCATAAATCATCCTCCAAATCCAAGACCGATGAGAAAAAGCCTTCCAAACGCTCCAGTCGCTCGACTTTGTCGCCGCAGCGGTCAAACATCACTGTCCGGGATGCCACCGCGGAATCAACAAACGGATCTGATGCTACCTCCATTGCCCCCAACCAACAATATACCGTACCACGCAAGCCGATGACCCCTCCGACGACAAAGCCTCCCTCGCGCAACCAGATTCGATCCTCCAACTCCCATCGACATACCCCTAGCGATGAATCAATCGACTACGGAAGACCGGTTGTTTCTAGCCCTGGTTTCGGTGGCCCTCCTCCTCCCCCACCGCCGCCCGAAATGCCCGTGACGATTCCCAGGGTTGATTACTTGCTGAAAGATGGCGGTCTGGAAAACAAAGTTCCCCGGACTCTATTAGGTAACCCTGGTTTGACGGATCCGTTCGCCCAGCAAGCTACTCAACCTCAACTAGCTGCTGCAAAGGTCTTCGATCGGTATAACCGTCTTCTCGATGACTATCAAAAAGTGATGAGCAAGAGCGGCTCGTTGGCTGTCGCAACGGGTTACCGATCTGTAGCTCGACGCCTGCTCGACAGGCTGGAGGCTGTCTTTGCGCGCGATATCTCGTCTGAACCATGCAACTGTTTGATGTGCGGGCGCGAACCAGAGGAGGAACCACAAGAGGCTGTGAGCTGGGGAGAAGTTCTCGAGCTTGTTTCGGGGCGTCGTGAGCTTCCTATGTGGCCGCCGTTCATCATGGCGCATTCAAGTCTAGATTCCGATTTGCCTGGGGAAGAACACATCCCAATGCAGAAGCTTGATGTCGATGTCCCTGAGGAGTACCGTGACCACTTCATTCGGCAATCTCGCAAGACGAAGGTGGCGGTAGACAAATGGCTCTCGGAGCAAAATGAAGACGCCAGCAGTGCACCCGACGAAGTTGATGACGAGACTTTGACCTTCGCCATGCTCACCCACCTTGAATCTCACCAGCGCTCTTTGTTCTGCGCCCTTCTTGGTATCAACTCCTCAACGCCCATCCCACGATCTGACGATGAAAAACCTCGACCAAAACCCTCCGCCCTTGTCTCATCCTCACTGGCAATCCAAAGATTATATCGACTTTCCTCTCTCCCCCGCGACCCTGAAGCAGCCATGTTCATGCTCAACAATCCTGCTCTGCACCACGTCCTCGCCACACTAGCCGCGATCAGCGACGATGAATGGGAGATCCTGATCTCCGGCCGGTTCGACGGCTTCCTCCGTAGCGGCGCAGAGGACTCCGTCCCTGCATCAGGTTCACACTGGAACAGCAACCGCTCCAGTACACCCCTCACCACAGGCGGAATCTCCCGCGGAGCAACACCCAACTACATGGACAAGAGTCGACCGGCCAGTCAGCCAAACGGCAACCCTTCATCGCCCGCATCCTTCGGCGGCCCAATCGCACTAGACGAAGAAATGGAGATCGCCGCACTGGCCGAAGTCGAACGCGACATCTTCCTCGGAATGGAGGCCCTCGAAGACGCATTCGAAGCCCTCCACCTAAAAGCCGAAGTCGTCCGACACGCCCTCCGCGAACGCGGTGCGGGACTCGCAGTCGCGAACCAAAGTCGGCGCGGCTCAACCGTCGAAGCGCGCATGGGCACACCTTTCTCCGTCAATGCGTGGGAAAGCGGGACTGACGATGGCATCTTTGATGATGATCGCTCACTTGCTCCGGATGATTCGGCCAGTAACATCAGTTCGAATCGGAGGAGGAGACCGAAGAGACGGACTGAGCGACGCACCCCTGCTCCTGTTGAGGAGGAGGATGAAGAGGATGATCGCTCGCCTATTGCCGGTCGTCGCGATTCGCGGAATTCGCGACGCAGATAAGATTGCATCGATGAGGTGCGAAATGGGATGCGAGATCTTCATGCAAAATTCTTTTTTCTTTTCATTCACCGCATAGCTCGGGTGGTAGCATTTGCTGGTGAAATGATCCCCAGCATAGGATGGGATAAGATGGATATGATAGTGAGGAGGATGGAATGATGGATGGATATATTACATGATTGTAGCGAGCGAGCGGACTGATCTTGGTTTGATGTTGATGTTGATGTTGTTGACGATGATGATACCCACTCCCCTATCCTCTATACCTCGCGCCTGATATAGGTTTTGAGTGCTAGCGCTGATATCGTTGGTTTACTGAGCTCTTGGACCCCCTGGACCTTTTTTTTATGATTGATGAATGCATGAGCTCCTTGTTGAGTGGAAAATTTATGTTGTCCCTTCCAAGGTTGTGATAATAAGCTTCTATAAATCTTTAAGGTTATACTACGGCCCATGGTCTTGAACGGTTTGCCTGTGGGAAATGATAGAAGAATTCCCGAGGTCTGGTTAGGATGGAAAGTTACTTTGTCACTCAGAATCCAATTCTTAACAAGCCCTCTTCCTGCTCCGAGTCGGTACTGGTGATACATGGCAGCAACCTCCAGGGCTTGAAGGGCTACTAGCATTGAATTCTCATCTCACTTCCCTCTGACCACTATAGGCCCGAAGTTCATATGCCAACGCGTCCACGGTCCGTTCTAGCTCAGATACGCTTCTTTCCAATCAAGTATTACGAAGAATGAGATAGGAAGACAGCGGCGACGACAAAAATATGATTAATGAGCGTTTCTCACCCGATCGAGGCGGCACCTCTTCCCCGAAAAGGTCGCAGGCGAAGACTGCGAGCATGTGCGTCACCATCTAAACGAGACATGGTTAATATCAATGATGCAAGGAGAAGACGCCATTCCTGCCTCTTTACGTATGCTGCTCAGGTGGCGCATCCATCTCCTTGGTTGGCCTGCCAGTCCTGCGCTGCTTTCCGCCCACTAGTAGCTGCTCGATATCACAGATGAGATGAGCAGACCAAACTGCCTGAATATACACTTGACCCCGAGAGCCCTGGAGTGCTCCCGTATTCCCCTCTTTCTACTGGTATTTATCATATTTTTTTTGGCGTTTTCCATGGCAGTCGTCATTTCTTACAACCAAACGACCCCAATGATATTTTGGACTGCTTTGCTCGGGCCATTCCTCAGAATGACGATGTTGGGATGAATTGGCCCCTGCTCGACACCTGGGCAGCGTCTTCCACTATGCGGCCCCAGGTTATGTTCCTTGGAATTCTTGATTTCAAATAGCATCGCAGCTTTTTACTGAGTTGGGGACTCCTTTTACAGCCCTATCTCCTTCCCGGCTTCTTACACGTTCTTTGCCTCTTCGACCACCCTCGGAATGTCACCGAGAAGGCTGTCAATCACGACTGTGAGATCTGGTTTGCTGATTTCCAACTCACTTGGCGTCATGACCGAAAGTTTGGTTCAGTCAAGGTAGCAGAGTAGCTGATGAAAATCAAGGAAGTAGAAGATGACCGGGTGATCATTCTAGCATTCGGCATGGATCCAACGAAATCGGGAAGATACCTTGTGGGTATACTGATACCCGATCCGGCAAGAAATGAGAAGCGTATACAGCCGCCTGAACCAGATCAAGAGCCGACCTGTTGCTTACTCGAACTTGGCCCCGTGTATAGTCCCATCTCAAGGGAGCTCACGGTGCTCTGCCTGGACTAGGATCGACGAGGATGTCGTCTTTGATGATCCGAAAAATAGAGTTGCTCTCCTGCTGAAAAATGGTCTTGAGAGCGCAACTCTCCTCTATACAGTACAATCGATGGCCCGGACGATCCAATGCATACCCCTATTCATTGGAGAGATAATCGCAGAGTCCATCTAGTGCTACAAGGTATTGAGATCTGCCGCGGGTGTTCCTCGGGAATATCGGAGTTCGAAAATACTATACATAGTGAAAATTCAATGTGGATGTGCGAAGACCGGATGGACAATCATAGGTTCAGTTAATACCAGCTACAAAGAGTACAACTTAACAGCGGAGTGCATGAGCTTCAGCTTGATAATGATCGGAACCTCCGCGTTTGAATTCATTAGCTCCTTGTCAAAGAGATGCCATCCATGGATTATGCGGTGGATCTAACCCTAGTTGATGCTTTGGCACGGTCGCAGGCAGGTAAACCTAAATTGACACCATTGCCGCCGAAATCCAAGAAGCTGGGACGCTTGTTCCAATCACTTGGTGATCTTCTCGGCACGAGCCAAGAGAATGTACGATGTACTATGTATCTTAAGGTTAATAGCGCCGTCCACATTGTGATCTACGGTTACATACAATCACATGGGATGAGAAGTGCCGTCAATTACATAGCTGAATTGGGCAAACGGTTATCTAAGACATGGAGATCGACAGTTGTGCATGAACCTTGCTCGTTCTTTTCAACGTTAGTTTAGTTTATTCTCAATTTTGGGGCACTTTGACGTATGCTATGAAAACTTGTACCTAAGTACAGTATGCAGATAACACGAACTTAAGAACTCTACTTATCTATCAGGTGAATGTCGGATGACAATCCTTCGGTGGCGATCTTATTCCCTGTTCTGTCAACGATCGCATGGGTTCAACTTGAAGTTCGCAGCTGGGCAAACCAGATGTATGTTCACAAATTTAGGGCACACAGGCCAAATCAGTGGCATGTACGGATTACGGGGGTGTTCCGTACTCGAAGAACCTGAAATGGTCTAGATTGGGTAAATAGTCCCAACCATCATGGTGGTTGTAGCTAGCTACTATCGGAAAATGAGTCCCTTTTAATCTCCGTGATTCAGGCTGAAGTCAAAAGACTGCGGGGCTTGTCTTTTTTTGCACTTCGACCCTTTGACTGAAGTTTATCAGCTTAATATCCAATGGATCAGAGATACAATGACACCCCTTGCCCAGTTCAGGCCCAGATCCCGCGTCCATCCGTGGTTCAGCATGCAGATCGGCGATGGGCGGGGCAACTAACAAGAAACAGGCAGGTGAAGCAGCGACTCCATTAAGATTATGGTTTGTGAACATGGTACTCTGAACCGACAGAACCGTGGTTTTCTAAAGATTCATGACCCGCATTCTCGTCAACCTGCCATGCTGGAAAGAAAACAAGCTTGTGGCTGGCTACGGAGTATAAAAGCTCACAAAGGGAAATTAGCGGAAGTTTCCACGTGGGGTCGAGGCCACGAGGGCTTGTCACTCGCCAATCAACCCCTTAAATCCGACCCTACCGGCAAGCGTCCCCCCCTTAAACCGGTCCGGGATAGCTGAAGTCCAATTGTTGCCACAGCTCGAAAGCCGAGCGCTGTCGTACCCGGGAAGAAGATTCCCTTCGGATGGAGACAAGTGGGTTCCCCTGGAGCGCATTGCAATTCGCAAGATCGCTGCTAGCGGCTTGAAAGGGTTTGGTTCCAGTGCGTATTCATCCTTCGTTGGCCATTTTGGATGATCAAACCCCCATCAGGTCTCCGTTTACTCCGTACAAAACGCTAGCCAGCCGGAAGGCTCACCGCAAATCTCGACCATTTGTGGGCCAGGGCCGACCTTGTCCCCCTTACTTGTTGTTCCTCGGCACATGGCTGCCACCTGGCTGCCAGCCCCTGTTGGCGGGTCGGCAACCCAATCATATTGAGTGTTGATCAGCATATCTGAATATCGAGAAGGGGCATATCCCATCACTCACTATAACGGCACTGAATGGGTCGAGAATGTTTTTTGAAGAATATAGGTTAGAGTTCTGCTTACGCTTTACATGACGCATGCCACGCCTTGAGAAGGAATTCCCTAGGGCAAGATGTGAGCGGGTCAGGTCTCAGTTGAAACTTGGCCCCCCGTCAGCTACCCACGGCAAGGCCCCCCGATGGAGACGGGGTAAAGCGTGAGCCAGTTGGAAGCCGTCATATTATGGGAATGAAGCTTATACCGGCCCAATCGAATGGCCGCAAGATCAATATTGTACTCTGAGCGACTCCGTCTTCCGGAGAGAGTACATACTATTGCGAACGATCTACATTTTTTCTGGAACGGTCGCCCTTGGCAGCGTCACATGAATTTGAGTACGGAGTACGGAGTAGTCAATTCTACAGTATGTATGTACATACAATGTACTCCGTAATTCCTGCGGGGGTTGATCCTGGTCATGTACGGCCATTGGCCACGGTCCCTAATACATAACACAATAACACTCAAAATTTGTGACCACGCAAATCAAGCCCCTCCTGTTTAGGCACGGAGATCTAACCCAAAGTAGCGGAAGGCTCTGTAACTACTCCGTAGCTGAGCTCGCACTCATGAGACGATACAAACTACTGCGGGGGTCAGTACAATGTACATATTTAGGCACGCGGCGAAACGTGGCCGCGTCTTCCGTTGGCTTTCCCGACTAGATGCCCTTGCATCGATATGACAGGGATTTTTAGCAAATATAGTCTTTCATTGGCAGGAAAAGATCCGGGCGTTGGACGCCGTCGCCTCGTCTGGGAAAGTGTCAGCCTCACACGGAGAGACAAACTTTCTGTGGCGCTTTCTGGTTTCTCACTATTTCCCCAGTTTCTCAACGCCTTTGCTTGAAATTAAGACATCCTTGGTGCGGTCGGCCCTGCAGCTAATTTTTCCACTCCCCCTTTACATCGTTCCCATGCCGTGCAGCGCACGCTCGGACGATGATCGTGGGTGGATATAGCCGTCTGGACCAAACTTTCACCCGGTTCGTTAAAGGTTAGACATTGCTATCGCAGAATGTTCTTCGAACCCACACCCACGCCCCTGTTCAGAGAGGGGTCGTGTCCGCCCAAAGTGGATACTATGATTGCTAATTTGGATCTTGTTGCATTGAGCACTGGGGTTATTTGCCTCCATACTGGACGTGAGCCCACTTCGGGGCACCCTAACGGAGATGATCCTGGGTGGGCTCCGCATCGAAGGTTCCAAATTTCTGGAAACTAAGTCATTGACAA